GTGGACTAATGGACCTTAGTGCTATACAGAGAAACGACAAAAAGAACGACAGTTGGAAGAAAGATAGACAGTGCTATAACTGCCAGAAGATTGGACGCCTAGCATACGAATGCAGGTCACCTAAGAAGGAACGCTTCCAACCGGTACCAGAGAAACGACAAGCGAGTATCGCCACGAAGACGATCCCTCATGAACAACTCAACTGGACTACCTGCTTCGATGACAACTGCTATATCTACTCTAGCAGTAAGGAACACGCAGGATGGTACCCCCAGAAACCTCAAGAACGATCTGGTTACGACACCACCAACGCACCTAAACGGACCCTCGCTGTAGGATATAGAAGCAACAGCAAAATCGAGCGCAAGACAATCGAACAGCTCGACAGTATGAACGACAACGAGGAATTAGAACAAGACAATCAGCGAAGACTGAACCTCCTCTACGCAGGACGACAAGCCAACCTGCAGCGGATTCAACAGGACTCACAAAACCCTATGTGGCAACGACAACTCGGTGCGCTGGACGCACACATCGAACGACGACAACATGCACAAGGAGATCCCGCACGGATCCGCCAAATCAACCAAGAACTAGAAGAACAGGTCGAATCAGAAACGACCAAGAACACCCCCAACGACTCGGAAACACCTCGCGATGTTGCCTGCCAACATGCCCAACTGGAAGTCGCCTTTGAAGTCGCTTCAGTCAACGACACCAGCTCTGGAGAGGACTCTGACGAAGAAATACAGTGGTATCACTGCTACCAAGACCAGCGCCGAGTCCACTATATCAAGAAAGACGAAGCATGGAAGAAACAGCAAGAAAACGACGAACAAGGAACGGACGAGCAGTCAAAAAACTAGACTCGCCTACCGAAGACAAGGGACAACGACAGGCAGTCCAGACAAGGTCCCTATGTAGCGCAACGACGCCCACGACACAACGACACGAGCATGTACAAGTCCAAATACAGCTCAACGGAAGAACAGCTACCGCCATGATCGACAGCGGAGCCCAAGGAAACTTCATATCACCAAGAACGGTGAATGAAAGAAAGATAACCTGGAAAAGAAAAGCAGCCGAAGACTGCTACGAACTCAGCACCGTTGAAGGAGAACAAGTCCAGTACGGCGGAGGACGCATTGCTATGGAGACAGCGCAACTCCCTTTGCAGATCCATGGCCGGAATGAGCGACTGAACTTCGATATTACGGAGATAGGAGACAAGTACGATGTCATCCTTGGAAGACCATGGTTATACGACAGTAACCCACGGATAGATTGGAGAACAGGCCAACTCCATTAGGACCAGGATTCAGTCACTGAGAAGCAACCACGGAACGGTGCCTCAAACGAACCTCTCAAGACTCCTGAAGCGAAGAGATTTCTAGCATACCTACGGATAAAGGATGCAAACGCCAGGACGTTATCAGCAACAGACATCGGCAAGGAAGACCGACTTCTGTCTATCCCAGAAGAATACCGGCAATACCAGAAGCTATTCGCCGAAGAACTCGAGACCGGACTCCCGGAACACAGCAACTACGACCACGAGATACCCCTTAAGGAAGGGAAGGAGCCAAAGCTAGAAGCAATCTACGGACTCAACCAGAAAGAAATGGAAGCACTCGACGCTTACCTCGAAGAAAATCTACAGAAGGGATATATCAGACCCTCTACATCACCAGCGGGATACCCAATCCTGTTCGTACCAAAAAAGAACGGCAAACTACGACTCTGCGTCGACTACCGGAAACTCAACGACATTACGATCAAGAACTGCTACCCACTACCGCTCATCTCCGAACTACGAGACCTGTTGCACGGAGCACAGTGGTTTACAGCACTCGACCTAAAAGGAGCCTATAACCTGATCCGGATGAAATCAGGTGAAGAATGGAAGACAGCGTTTCGAACACGCCGAGGACATTACGAGTACCTTGTGATGCCCTTCGGACTCACCAACGCACCCGCGACATTCCAGACGATGATCAACCACGTCTTACGAGAATTTCTAGATGTGTTCGTCGTAGTTTACCTCGACGATATCCTAATCTTCTCCAAGACTCTGGAAGACCATAAAAAACACGTACACCAAGTACTGCGGAAACTGCAAGACGCCAAACTCCTAGTGGAACCCGAGAAGAGCAAGTTTCACGCCAAAGAAGTCGAATTCCTAGGTTTTACGATAGCCCCAGGAATCCTCAAAATGTCCAAAGACAAAATCGCAGCAGTACGAGACTGGCCTACACCACAGAACGTTAAGGACGTATAATCCTTTATTGGATATGTAAACTACTACCGACGGTTCCTAGAAGGGTACTCAGACAAAAACGACCCTCTCACGAGACTCTCGAAGAAAGATGTTCCCTGGCAATGGGAAGAAGAACAAGAACAAGCCTTCAACGAGATCAAACAACAAGTCACATCGGAACTAATACTTGTTATACCAAACCCCGAGAAACCATTCGAAGTCGAGACCGACTCCTCAGACTATGCTATAGGAGGACAACTAGGCCAACGAGACGACGAAGGACGACTACGCCCTTGCGCCTTCTTCTCACGCAAGTTACACGGCCCAGAACTCAACTACCAGATATACGACAAGGAACTTATGGCAATTATCGAGGCATTCAAAGAATGGAGACCGCAACTCTCAGGAACCAAGTACGAGGTCAAAGTATATACCGACCACAAGAACCTCGCACACTTCACCACATCGAAAGATCTTAACAAACGACAAATTCGATGGTCCGAATTCTTGTCAGAATTCAATTTCAGAATCATCTACCGGAAGGGCAAGGAGAACGGCAGGGCCGACGCCCTCAGCCGACGACCGGACCACAAGGTCCAGGTACCTGAGGAAACCCGAGTTATCCTCAAAACAGACAAAAACGGAGACCTTGTGCCAGCAGCCAGACTCTTAATGATGGCCAGAAGAGACAGTACCAGCACGCCTGGAAGGATGTCTCCTGAAGCCATTAGGGAGATACACTCCGCACCCGCACATAGTCACCAAGGCGTAACCAAAACGTGGAAACGCATCCGTCAACACTACGACAAAACGGCTACACGACAAGAAGTATCTTTAGCGATTAAGGACTGTGAGGTTTGCGCAAAAAGCAAACCCAGCCGACATCAGCCTTATGGAAAGATACAGCCGCTCCCAGTGCCGCAAACCGCATGGGAATCCATCTCGCTGGACTTCGTCACTAAGTTACCTAAGTCCCGAGAACCGATGACCAACGTCCACTACGACAGTGTCCTCGTCATCGTCGACAGACTCACAAAGTACTCATACTTCATTCCGTACATGGAGTCAAGCACTGCAGAAGACCTCGCCTACAAGTTTCTGCAGGTGATCGTAAGCCAACACGGAATGCCGAAGGAAATCGTATCCGACAGAGACAAGCTGTTCACTTCCAAGTTTTGGAGATCCCTGATCTCGCAGCTAGGATCTGACCACAAGATGTCCACCGCTTTCCATCCGCAAACCGATGGCCAGACAGAACGAATCAATCAGATCATGGAAACCTACCTACGCTGCTACGTCAACTATCAGCAAAACAACTGGGTCCAACTGCTACCTATGGCCTAGTTCGCCTATAACAGCGCAGTAGGAGAAAGTACAAAAGAATCACCATTCTACTTGAACTACGGATTCAACCCGACAGCCTATGGACAACCCCGACAAGGCCCAACAGCTCTGAAAGCTGTGGCAGATATCAACAAACTCAAGGAAATCCAACGAGATCTTCCCAGAGACCTTGAATTTGTGCGCGAACGCATGCGCAAATACGCTGACAAGACAAGAGTTGAGGGACCAACTCTAAAGGAGGGGGATAGCGCATACCTTCTCCGCCGGAACATCAAAACAAAACGACCAAGCGATAAGTTAGACTTCAAGAAACTTAGACCCTTCGAAATCACGAAGAAGGTATCCAACGTCAACTTCAAACTCGCACTACCAGACACTATGAAGTGTCATCCAGTTTTTCATATTTCACTTCTCGAGCCAGCACCAAAAGGATCACGAACTATAGACCACATCGAAGTCGACCCGGAACAGGACTACAAGGTCGAAAGGATCCTCGATCACATCGATCAGCACGATGACACAGAAATACAATACCTAATCAAGTGGAAAAACTACGGACACGAAGAAAACACATGGGAACCCGCATCAAACTTGGAGCACGCACAAGAGGAACTTCAAGAATACTGGACGCAATGGGAAACACGACAGCACGCCAAAGTCATGCAAAGACCAACACACAACCCTCGCGTCAGAAACCCTCAACCTAAGTTTCGACCAACCAAGAAACCCCAGGGCAACAAAACGTTTCTTCGCCTAGGAACACCTAGCCCTGAGTAGCCGAGGAACCTCCAACACTCCCCGCACCCGCGCCATCCACCAGAGGACCCAAACCCACAAACTCGTCACCAAAACCAAAAAGGGACCAAGGAGGATCATTCCCGAGACCCACTGCCTGGAGGTCACTAACGACGAACCTCTCGTGAGCATCCAAGGCAGGTAGGACTTCGTCGTCCGCCAGGACGCCATCCTCCCTGTCAACCTCCTGCATACCACGCTCAAAAACTTCGGTCTGCCGCTCCCGAACCATCTTACGGACCGTCCGAATCCGTTTCAGACGACCCGCAGCATCCGCCATTTGAACTTGCAAACGAGCAAACTCTTGATGAAGCGCGAATAGCTCCTCACCCGCTTTCTCTTCTTTCTCATCCCACTCCTTTTGCTGAGAGTTCAACTTCTGAACTAGAAGCAAACATTAGCAACCCCCAGAACAGCGAAAACACAAAAACACGACTTACGAGTAGACGCCACGAGGACGCCGTCACAAGGTTTCTTCGCCTCGATGCAAGTCCTACAGCGTGTAGACTTCTCGCCAAAACGACACGGGACCTTTGCACGGAAACAACGAGTGCAAGGCATGTCGCTAGCAATCGATCGGGACTCCACGTATTCAATAAGCGCAGCTCTCTCACGATCTTTTATCATAGTCAAGTGCGACTTTGTCTTTCGAACGCGACCTGACATGGTGTCGGCATCATGAAAAACAAAGGAAGCAAATTTGTGGATCCCCAACCTGGGACCAACGACCTACCTATACTCAGGTCTCGAGGACAAGACCTTTAAGAGGGGAGCTGATGTTACGACCCGACAGTTAACAGACCACTGACGACGACCCCGCAGGGGCTCATTGATTGATTGATTTATTCCTACTCGGTTATGAAGCCGCTCTTATGCCAGCAGCTATGCCCGGAAAGCGGGGTTTGGCAGGTAGCCGAAGCGTCGACAATGAACAGCGACGCCCCACTTCGCCCTGATGTTGCATCAGGGCCAGCTATCCCCAAGCTCCCCACTATGTTCTCTATTCTGTGTGTTTGTGCCCTCTGTTGAAGAAGTGTGTTGCTCTCCTGTCTGCTTTCTCGCTTTTGTGTTGCTCTCTAGAATGCTTGTTTTGCGTCCTCCTGCTTCGGTTCAGTTGGTGCTGGTAGCACCGTATCTGGTTCTTTGTACCTACAGTCTCCCCCCAGCGCTCAGCTTTGTCTCTTTGTTTTGTCCGTATCCTCCCGGACTTGTATGTGCCGTTTTCTCAGTTGCATCTGTAAATTCTTTGTTGCCTCCTGCCGGGTTCCTATGTGGCCTCTTGTTTCTTGCCTGTTGACCACTATTGCCCTCCACCACATTGGCCCAAGGGTCTTCCACGAAGCACAATGCTCCACTGACTCCGACATGTTCGATTACTGGGTATGAGAGCTCCCGCACAGATTCCGCAGACATTGTCGCGCGTTGAAGGGACACCAATCCTTCTTCGCAAAAGGGGCGACAGGGGACCAGTCTGTCTGTGGTCTGTAGTATTGTGTGGCATCGATCGTAGCATGCCTAATGCCTGGTGCTTTCTCCGTGCGGAAGGTGATACTGTTCTGTCGGACTCATCTTCGTCGTTGTGGGACGTTGCAAACTTTGTCGGGGGTGACAGGTGACCCAAAACCTGTCGGCGGCTGTTGTGTTGAAGTTGATTGTTTGGGCGCAGTCTTAGTGCTTCGTGTAGCGGCTTGTGGCTCGCCTGTGGTGGTGGTAACAGTGTTGTCTATTGATATGTCGTATTTTGCGGCTTGCTCTCAAGTTTTTCATTGTAGTCGGGGCGTGCTCTGCGGCCATCTTGGGCCCCTTTGGGACGTAGAATCAAGGCCGAGGATGGCATTGCATCGAAGGGGGCTCTGTGGCCGCGAGCACGCGTATTTGGGGCCGTTTTTGCTCCGATTTTCAAAAATTTCGTTCTCGCTGTTGTTGATGTTTTTCCCCGCAGGGGCTCAGCGGTTATAGGGACGGCCGTCAGCCGTTACGTCGTAACAACCCCCACGGAACGGAAGAACTAGGATACAGGTCACGTGACGATAAGCAGGACCGACGGACGATAAGCGGTCCTGGGACAGGACCGACGGTGCCAAGGGCGGTCCATGGCGATGGACCGACGTCCTGGGTGTCGGTCCCCCAGGATCAGGAAGTGTTCAGCATGGAACCAGACTTGTATATAGTTGGGACTCGAGTCCTCTCGAGTCCTACCTTTCCTAGTTCTTCAGCAATCAACTTTGTGATTACCCTAACCGGTACTTTCAGCTATACCTAAGTGACGACTACTCTACGACTCTTGTTGAGGCCTTGACTGATCACCAAGACCTTTGAAGATCTACGATTCAATCGACCAGACCCCAGAACGACTGTTACTGTTGTCAATCCCTGGCTTACTGTTAACACAAACCCACTGTCAGTTAGCTGGCCGTAACACTGAAGAGTTGCCGGAGCTTTGATTTGTCTCTCACTCCTCTTCCATCAGATTGGGGTTCTGATGAAGCAAGTCTTTCTCAAAACGACACGTCTCGTCGTGGATCACTTTCTGACCCTGAAGTTCCTGTGTTACAGGATCCGCAAACCAGAAGTCTAGCCGAAGTGAAGGCCTGTCCTCTGACTTGGTTCTTGTCCCAGGACTTTCTGGACGAAAGTGATGTTTATTCTTCGCAACTTTTTTCTCCTAACACTATTTTAGAGTCACAGTGTGGTGCCGGAGACATCGATCGCTCCAGCGGCATCAGAAGTGCCGGCAAAAATGTCCGATATCCCTTTCCGGACCTCTCTCTTCCAGATTCGAAACGTGATCACCGTCATGATGCGTATTACAACATCTTTCTCCGTCGACGCAAAGTTCATAAGAGGTATCGAGATCAAGAACTCCTAGACCTAGGCCAGAAGCCGGACCCGGACTGGCGCTGGTGCGGTTTTCTCGGCTGCGAAATGTCGACCTGTCGGTACGCAACTGATTTTCAATCGAATGAGTCGGTAAAACCACAAACTTTCCTGTTAATGACAGGTTATGCTGCCAAGGCCCATACTTCCAGCTGTTTTCTGTCTGCATTTCAGGAGCTTCCTGGTAACAACATTCCTGATTCACATGCTCTTGTAGCTTTTGCAGTATCACCACCTATCTTGCACGCCATCACGAACTGCGAGTCACTCTTTTCCCATGATTCCGTAGATTCTGAGACGTCCTTCGAAAATCACTTTCAAAAGGCTGCATCTTGTCATTTGGAGCTGAATAGTGCAATTTGTACGATGACATTGCAGGACATGGAGAAGATGCATAAACAGATTTGGCCTGATGAAAATGAACATAAGCCAAGTCTTTTCGTTTCCATTTTTCAGTTCTTAATTCACGCTGAAGCCTGGCGAAGGAGACAGGAGAGAAAGGGATATCCATGGAGTATGTCGGACCAAGAAGCCCTCTTGGTGCTCAAAATCATATTGAGTACCTACAAACGCTTATTTGAAAAAGGCTATGTTGTTCTGGAAGATGTGTACGAGGAGAAAGACTTGGAAAAGACTTGGAGGGCTTGGTTGGAAAGCTTTCGGCCTTGGGGCGACTCCAAGGTACCGTTCCTTGTAGAGATTGAAGCTGGAGAATTAAGGAACAAACGCGAAACCAAAGGGCAAGGGCTGAAAGAAGCAAGTCATTATGAAGGAGTTGGAATTGGCAAAACAACTTGGTGGCCTAAACGTTCAAGGGCTCCCGGGGTTGACAGGTCAAGAGAACACTGATGTTGGAAGTTTTGAATCTCAACATTCATTTGCCAACGCCATCCCACTTAAGTTGACTTCATTTTCTCTTTTCCTTCTTGTATGTGGGAACGATAAAACGTGAAGCGTGCTCTCGCTCTTGCCTCTTTAAGTCGACGACTAATCTCAAGAAAAGGTATTTTAACGCTCTCGTTCATTTTCTGCCTCATTCACCTTTTTTCTCTATTATCTACCAAGTTTCGACAAAGACTTATTGCTTCTTTCAGTGTTTTTAACAATTACGCAGTACTCCTCGTTTGCCTCCTTTTCTAAGAGTGTGGCCTTCATTCCTTTTCCTTCATCACTATCGCCGCCATCTCAAAGCGAATAACCAGAGCCTGACTACCTCACCAGCATCACCAGATACCGCAACAATGTCTGAGGGAAAGGGCCTGTACCCAACGCCGACACCTTCGGTTTTCCCCTTGGGAGACTATCACCACCTCATGCGTTTAATCGATGTGGCCGGATACAATGTAACTCCCAGTGTTCTCATTCTGATGTTGACCTGCACTGACCATAACCTCAGCGCAAAAGAAGGGGGTTTAAGCTCGACGAAGAAGCCCGCAAAGACCTTCGCGAGATCGACTACCACCTTTTCCAGGAGAATCTCCCTGGGTATCTCGACCGCTCGAAACGCTATGACTGCATGCCTGGCGACCCTCTCAACCGTCTCTTCGCCGCACTCCCCTCTCCTGAGCAAGATGATTGCGGTTTCACCCCTAGGCTGCCACAGGCGCACGCCGCCCACGACCGTCGGGTCGTACTGGCAATTTGGCCCTATGCCAACTCGTCTCTTGAGCGCGTAGTCCAGACCTCATCTGACCCCAACGCCCATGACTACTGGTGGCTCGCACGGTTTGCCTTTTCACTCTGGGATCGCTCCGACCTGAGCATCCGGTGCACTTTCACTCAGCTCCTGGGGCAACTCGCCACGTCAGGCGCCGTCACAGTTGGTCCAGACCCCAGTATTGACTTTTCCGAATACTATCGCGTTCCGGGCTCTTATCCTACCTCGACCTCGGACGCCTCGACCAAGTCATACAACAAGCAAGCTTGGCTACGATATGCTCGGTGGATCTACAAAGGAAGACGTGATAAAGATGCTGACATCCCCTCACGAAAGGCTGCCGCCAAGTCGAATTCAATACGTCAGGCACTCGAACTCGACAAATGTAGTCACTGCGGCAAGGGCCGCGGCGAGCCTCCTAACAACAAGATGTCCCACTGCTCAGGCTGCTACGTCAAGTGGTTCCCTTACATAAAACGTATTTACTGCTCCAAGGAATGTCAAGCCGCTGACTGGCCGGAGAACCATTATCAAGACTGCCAGCGGCGTAAACATTTCCTTCGAGCAGTGTACATGCTTTTCACCATAGTGGCAAAGTATCAGATTGCGACATACTCGAGCTTTGTCTCGGATGTTGCCACAGAGTCGGAAAGCGAAGAAGGTCCTGCTGACGACCCCGTTCGCACTTACATCTCACCTGCTGCCTGGGGTATGGGCCCCTGGGTTGGCCGACCAGTGTTTGATGAGCGTGGCACTTTTCTTATGAAGCACAAGGCCGGTATGGTCCGAAGGCTCCTGGCCGGTGATTCGGGCGACAATCTATACTACCACCTTCAACACATAATTGAGTTGGTACTTGGGCGTAAGTCACATCCCTCACTCCTTGCCCAGCACAACTGAAATGGTTGTCTCAATCCATCGTCATCTTCATCGCGTTTCTACTTTATTTTTACATGTTGCTTTTGCTAACATAATGGAAAGCCCATTGCGATGCTCTTGTTGAGATGGACGTCTTCATTCGGAATGCCGGAGATTGGATTACCTCAACCTCGAGCGATGCGTGCCGCGAGACCGATGACCTTCAAGTGTCAAAGGGAAAGGACCCCATGTTTTGGCCGCAACCCATCCTCAGCTGTCGACTCAAAGGCAGTAACCCGAAACGAGATGTTTTCGTCATTGATCTTGCCTGCCTCAGGTTCGGTTTCGAGCACTTGGTTCTCCCCTTCGACGTGTTTGTAAAGACGCGACACGCCTCGTGTGTTGGCTCAAGACAGCTTCATGACATGGCACCTCACTGGTCGCCTAGGGCTCAGAAGGGCCTCATTACCTGTCGCGATCTCGTTGCGTACCGTTGGGGCGAATACATAAAGGAGTATTTTGCGGAACATTTCCCAAAGTACAAGATCCCCGGCCAACTGGCGAAGCTAAAGAACGATTCCTTTGAAAAGCACGCTGGAGAATTCATGTCAATGACGAGTAAGGCTCTGGGCGAGGCCTTGGCGGCGATCCAAGGCCTAGGCGTCCACCGGCAATACCTCTATCATGAGCCGAACCCATACGCACACGAATTCACCATCGGTGTCACGGACGACAAGGAGGAAGTTAAGCTTTATGAAAACATATGGATGACTGAGAGTGAGCACAGCGTCATCATGGGCAAGATCAGCGAACAAAACAAGAAGTTGCCTGTGGGTTCAGAAACACGTCGCCTCGTGGGTCTCTGGATCAACCGCCTCATGAAGCATGGCCTCAAGCACCCTTTCGACGCCCCTAGGTTTCTTGGGCCGCGCCTCGCGAAGCATTACAACATTATGGGAAGCTTCCCCTGGGAAGAATGCCGTGCTATCGAGACATCCTGGATGCAGTGGAATGGCATTACAAAAGAGGATGTTATGCGGTTCTACAGCATCTGCGATCGGGTCATGGGCAGAATTACAAAGAAGGGACCAGTGACTCCGGAACTGCTTAGCAATCTGATAAAATCAAAGGGCGGTTTCGACTGGACGAAGAACTTGACAGCGGAGGAGGGACAGATATTTCTGACGATCGGAACATTCATCGCGGCCCAGAACTCGCCTGGGTACATGAAGGAATTGTATGAATCGTTTAATGAAAAGCCCGGCGATAAATGAATAGCTCCAGCTTCTCATTTTTCTTGGACGAGATATACCCCGCGGCAAAACGGGTTGGATTGGTTTGGTAACTTTGCAATTCTTGGGGTTACCCACACAATGGAAAGTCGTGGATATTGCTTTCTCGAGTTTTGCAAGTCGGCAAAAGTGAAGGAAGGTCTCGGGAAAAAGTGTACAATAGACCCAGCTGAATAGGCTTTGATTTTTTCTTCTTCTTTATTTCTTTTCATCTTCATCATGTCAGTGGTTCCTCAGTGTGTAAATGTGACGACCTGGCGTCGTCGGCTGAAATGGAGGATCGTCAAACGGTCGCGTCTGATTGGCCAATCAGAACCAGCGGCGTTGTCGACGCACGGACCACCAGAAATTTGTCCGATTGATGGTGAAGCTTAGGAGCTCCATCAACTTTTTCCATCACCACCATATTAAGCGGCAGGACAGGCATCTCCTGCTTAACAAACACGTACGATACCCTAAAAGACTCTTCTGGATACTCTAACTAATCTATTGTTTCAGAATGCCGCCCAGGTTACCACAACAGGCCGCGCGCGCCCTGCGCAGGCTGGCGACCCCATCGACCCCGATCACACGATATCTCAGCACGTCGACGCCTTACCTCGCGGCACCCTCTGCTGCTCCCGCGGGTAGCTCTCTCTCTCGCATGCCGGCCGATTACGTCCCCGTAACGAAGCCCCCTTCCGCTCGCCCCCCTGAGACGCGCAAGTCGCAGCTTATCCGAACCTACACCTCCCTCCTGCGAACGACGCCCCTGGTCCTGTTCTTCCAACACAGCAACTTGACCGCAGACGAGTGGTCCGCCGTCCGCCGTGAGCTGAATACCGCTCTCGAAGCCGCCACCCCCGAGGGCTCGCCTCTGTCGGGCCGCGAGGTTCACCTTCAGGTCCTGCGCACGCGAATGTTCAACGTCGCTCTAAAGCTGGCCGAGTTCTACAACCCCGAGGTCGCCAAGGCGAACCCCAACACGCCCACGGGCCCCAAGGGACCCCTTGTGCACGATCTGAGTATGGCGGCCTACGAGGCCATGAAGAACCTCGAGGTACCCGAGGACTCCGCCTACGCCCAGATCTCGCCGTTGCTGTGCGGACCTACTGCCGCGCTCGTATTCCCCGCCGTCTCTCCCGCGCACCTGGCTGCCGCGCTGAAGGTTCTATCCCCGAGCGGGCCCAAGTTCCCTGCGCCGACAAGAAAGAAGAATCCGAGCTACTACGACCCCCTGTGCCAGGCCGGTCTGCAAAAGCTGCTGCTCGTCGGTGGGCGCATCGAGGGCGACGTGTTCGACGTTGAGGGCGTCAAGTGGGTTGGTGGTATCGAGGGTGGTATTGACGGCCTCAGGGCGCAGCTCGTGCACCTGCTCCAGAACGCCGGTCTGGGTCTTACCAGTGCTTTGGAGGCTGGCAGCAAGAGCTTGTGGCTGACGCTGGAGGGACGGAAAACTATGTTGGAGGATGAGGGCAAGGAGGGTGAGGGAGAGAAGAAGAGCGAGTAAGGAGGTGGTATTGTATGATAGTGCTGTACAAGTCTGTATTATCAAGAGACAAAAGATCTCTACTATAGAGTTTATTCATGGCATGTTGTGTGCATGGTGAGTGGCATTTGAGCCTATGGGGACTCAAAGTGAGAGCGGCTTGATTGGATGTCTACTATACACTAGAGTTTGAGTGAGAACGCCTTTGTACGTTTCTGAAGCGGTTGTAAACTAATTCTGTACTTTTGTTGGTACAGCAGCAGATTGATTGCTAGTTGCATTCTGAAGCGTCCTGCTGAAAAGGGAAGCTGAGTCCACGATTAAGCGGCCACTATGGCATGAATTAGTCTCATAGTTTCCCCTTTCTAAGCATAAACGTGATTTCCTTGAGCATATGCAAACCTGGGGCAGCTATGTGTTATGTAAAGGGTGAGAATCCACCATGTTAGGAGTACCAGAATTGAGATCAATTCTTTGGTAAGCTATATTGCACAGTCACTTCAAAGCTTTTTTCTACCTGAAGTTAATAATCATATATGTATACAAAGTCTGGCTTAATGTATAATTAAATGCACATTCAACCAGTAAGTATATGTGGTGACATTGTTGATGGATGGCCGGATATGAATGGCTGATGCGGGGCGGGAGCCACTAACATGGCCATTGCAGGTGACCTGCATGATCGCGCCGTCGGACCGGAAAAAGACCCCTAATTAAGCTTGAAGCACAAAGCTCCAGTGGAAGGAGGGTGCCAACTTGGGGGGGTCACTACGTACCTGACACTATGCGATTGCGCGTTTCTGAGCTCTCCAAATCGACCAGCTGACGTACCTCTCGACGCATTCCTCGACAATACACAATCCCCATCAGCAACAAACAGCCTGCAACGACCCGTCGCATTCTCGACGTCCGTTCCTTTTCCCAAGCCGAAACTCTTCGAGCGACCCTTAGCACAACTATCATCCGATTGAAACGCTTCGAAGCCGAGAATCACCATGGACTTCGCTCCCTACCAGTCCTCTCCGCCAGAGCGCGAAAGAGCTCTTTCCCCTCCTCTCGCATCGCCGCGCGCGTCGGCCGACTTTCGAAGACCATTCTCTCCATACAACCAACCCTCACCACCTCCGCTGCAGCATCCACAGCCCCAGCGTGGTTGGCAACCGAATCTACCGGGCTCTTTCCCAACGGCGGATGCACACAGGGAGGGCGTGAGCGAGTTCGACACGAGTTTGGGAATCCGACTGGATTATGAGGCGGCCTTGGCTTATCTGGCTTTCCCACCGCTGGGCGCCATCCTGTTGTTAATTGGAGAACGGAACAGTGATTATGTGAGGTACGTGGACATGAGACATGGGCAAGGCTGCTGGGCGCTCTAACGCCGACCTGATGATGGCGTCGATGCCGCGGGAACACTCAAGATGCCCCGCAATATACGGTATAGTTTAGATTACTGACAGGGGTAAACAGGTTCCATGCGTGGCAGTCATCTTTACTCTTTACAGCGGTTATGATTTTCCATTTGGTCTTCCTCTCTTGGTCCAAGTTTCTCAGCTGGCTCTTCTTCATTGGCGATATCTTGGCGATGGTTTGGCTGGCGCTGAGGGCGTATCAAGATGCAGATACACTGGACAGGTAAGGTGGTGAACTACCCAAACAGGGACGTGCACTAACAGGTCGCAGATTCGAGGTACCCATCATCGGGGCTCTGGCCAGCAGGATTCTGGATGACGAATGATCTGACTGCCGTTTTGCGTATTGTAAGATGGCCAGTATGCGGTGTAATGACTGTTGTTGTGCATATCATATACCCTTTTAATCGGTTGGAGATGTATGAGTGACCCTTTTGAGTCTGATTCAGCGTGAAGGTTAGGAAGTGTCACTGCAATGGCTGAGTTTACTTGATGATAAACGGTGATGAGAGACTAGTTCAGAAATGAGCTTATACGTTAACCTTGTTAGAAGTTCAATAGAAGTGTTGGAATAGATATCTTGTGCCCATTCACATATGTGTATCTTGTTTCTGTTGCCCAGCTCACAGCCTTGGAATGCTTGTACAGTGCTCATGACCGTACGTAAGACGCACTATACACTGTGACCGGATCCGGTCGGACTATCCTCCTAGCGCTTTCCGGCCTGGCCACTGGACGACGCACAGGGCAACACCAGGCTGATTACGCGACTGTTGCTTGCCTTGAGTAGCTCGAGCCTCACTACCTACGCAGCTCCGAAGCTGTCTGTCCCTTTCCGCCTCAACACACAACCCACTTCACAACAAACAACGGTGCTCTCCCACACCCATCGCCATCATACCCGACGCATTGACGATATTAACGGCGGTCTTTCCTTTTTGAAAATTCAACTACCACTTTAATACCCTCCAAACTCCACACCCCGCCGCCACCATGTCGACCCTCGAAGAGCTCGACGACCTTGATCGTCAGGATCAGAACGACAAGAAGAGAGACGAGGGCGACAAGGACAAGGACAAGAAGAAGCCTACAGGCGATGCCGATGCCGACATGAAGGACGCAGAGGAGGAGGACGATATTCTGGACGACGAGATCTTGAACCTCAGCACCCAGGACATCCAAACCCGCAAACGTCTCCTCGAAAACGACTCCAGAATTATGCGCAGCGAATTGCAACGGCTGACGCACGAGAAGGCTACGATGGGGGAGAAGATTAAGGAGAATCTCGATAAGATTGCTAACAACCGGTATGCCCCTCCACTGGTTCGTGATGACGAAACGAGTGACTGACTTGCTCCACCTTCGAGGCAATTACCCTACCTTGTCGGCAACGTCGTCGAACTTCTCGATCTCGACCCTACCGCCGAATCATCGGAGGAGGGCGCCAACATCGACTTGGATGCGACCCGTGTGGGCAAGTCCGCCGTCATCAAGACCTCCACGAGGCAAACCATCTTCCTTCCGTTGATTGGTCTTGTCGACCCTACCACTCTGAAGCCTGGTGACCTTATTGGAGTCAACAAGGATTCATACCTTATCCTAGACACCCTGCCTGCCGAGTATGACAGCAGAGTGAAAGCTATGGAGGTGGACGAGAAGCCTACGGAGAAGTACACCGACGTCGGTGGTTTGGACAAGCAGATTGAGGAGCTGGTCGAGGCCATCGTCTGGCCCATGAAGGAGGCCGAACGGTTCAAGAAGATTGGTATCAAGGCGCCAAAGGGTATGTTTCTTTGATGTCAATTTCTATTGGTAACAAGGTACTGACTTCTCCCAGGTGCTCTGATGTACGGCCCTCCAGGAACCGGCAAGACCCTCCTAGCCAGAGCCTGCGCAGCGCAAACCGATGCCACCTTCCTCAAGCTCGCCGGTCCCCAACTGGTTCAGATGTTCATCGGTGACGGTGCTAAGCTCGTGCGAGACTGTTTTGCCCTCGCCAAGGAGAAGGCCCCCGCGATCATCTTCATTGACGAGTTGGATGCCGTTGGTACCAAGCGTTTCGACAGCGAAAAGAGTGGTGACAGAGAAGTGCAACGAACCATGTTGGAACTCCTCAATCAGCTGGACGGTTTCGCATCAGATGACCGCATCAAGGTGCTGGCTGCCACAAACAGAGTCGACGTTCTGGATCCCGCCTTGCTCCGTTCAGGTCGTCTCGATCGCAAGATCGAGTTCCCTCTGCCGAACGAAGAGGCCCGCGCTCAGATTCTCAAGATTCATTCCCGCAAGATGAAGGTCGATCCCGCCGTCAACTGGGGCGAGTTGGCTCGCAGCACGGACGAGTTTGGAGGTGCCATGCTCAAGGCTGTCTGTGTAGAGGCTGGCATGATTGCTTTGCGGATGGGTAAGAACAAGATCAGCCATGAGCACTACGTGGATGCCATTGCCGAGGTGCAGGCCAAGAAGAAGGACGTAAGTTTTGCTTTTCTCGACTGGGTCTCCCCTTTACTGACATGGGTTAGACGGTCAACTTCTACGCTTAATCCATCCAAATTCTGGATGTCGCTGGGTACCTGGGGTTGTTGCTTCTGGCGGGATTGGGGCATAGAGGATTCGAATGCGATAGACAACATTGTACGATTACCACGGACACTCATGCGGCCCTATAGGAATGGAAAGCAGGGTTGGCGAGCCCACTATCATTCGAACCTGTGATTTTGTGTTGTGGAATGTTGCCTGCAGCCTGGTGACTTTGGCTGGGTGAGGCCTCTCGCAAGTGGCAATAGCACCGTTATCGGGTGTAAATCTTTGCCTGCTAACCATGATACAGAGGGTTAACTCTATCAGAATTTGATTACTGAGCTTGAGGACTAGCCAGGCAAGCTTACGCATCGGCAAAGCCCCCGTTGCCCTCAAATTGAGGTAATACAGATGATAGGTTAGGGGCAACGCCGGTCTCCCGTCTATGTGGCTAGATACCTCGTCGAGCTGATGTAAATCCCTTGCGGAAGGCTAAGAGACCGCCTGGACGTTCTCGCGGTGATAACACGGCTGGGCTGTATGCCACTCAGACTCAATCGTGGCTTGGTCTGCAACAATGGCTAGTGACAACACATATCCTGACGCCGCATCGTTACGTACTCGTCAATAGTCCCTGTCGATAATCACGACCCCAACCGGTGCGAAGGAGCCAATCGAAGCGGTCAATGGCAGTCAACGCATATCTAAGCGGCAGTGCCTTTACAACCTATAATCTGTGGCGTTAATTATGCTAGTCGGTACGGGCGTCGTCTTCGAAGCCTCACTGGGGCGCGAAAAACACAACCTTGGCCATCAACCTTGATTTTGGTGGCTGATCCCTGCCCAAGTTGGCGTCACGTTCAGACGATCTTGGTGACAGGGGTCCCTAAGTTGGCAGTCAACCCCTAGCGCCTCGCGTGTCTTATTTTGTTCTTCATTTCGACTTTCTCTATGGCTACTTTTCCGTTGAGAAAGTCTTTGGCGGTTAAATTGTCTTGAAATGTGGCGTTAGGCAAGCAGTGCAGGTGACATCGTGTGAGGTGGGATAGTATGGCAGTTGCACGAAGGTTGCTCGACCTAACCCGCTTGGATATTTGGCCAGCGAGCAAGCTATTCACTTGTGGAAAACGCCAAAATCTCTAATAGGCTGCCTTATGTGGTTTTGAGTGCACTATGGCCTGCTGTTGCAACGACTGAGGGTATGGTTACCGGTGGTCTGGACCAAGGCCAGGGCGACGATGACGCGATCACGGCATCCCCCGTTCGGCAATTTTTCGAGAATCAAGGGAAAGTGGTAAAAAAGAAGCTTACTTGTGTTTCCTCCAACACCCACCTCGCTGCGGATGTCACGGTAAGCCCTACACCTGAGACATTCGGCCCCCGATCTTGACTGCCTGGCGGCCCCATTTGCCGCTCTCCTCCCGGCTTGCGTCTTCCATATGGAGGTGTGGCAGCGGTGGTTTGGCCAGCTTTTCTGCGCAGGAGATCGTTGTGGTCATGCATGTTCCTGGTAGAGCTGGACGTTGACGACGGTCGTATGAAATTGCCATCCTCATTTCATCAGATTTGTCCGAACAACTTACAACGTTTCTTCTATTATTGGAATCACTACACTTTTGCCGAGATACCTACGAGGAGAAGATGTGCAACATCACCGTTAGCTAGAGCACACCGCGCAAGAGTGCTCGACTGGAACATCGTGGCGTTGCTGATCAGTCGACTGAGCCACCCAGCCACTACTCCATGCTTGGGGACACGAGGAGATCATCGACAACTAGGAGATTTCTCCAAAATTCTGTATGTCTAGGTGTGTGATGACGCCCTGTCTTCCCCCCTCCCCCTCCCCCCTTCGCTTCCAGAATATCAAGGCCCGCAGACCAGTTCTAGGAACGGTGGGTGCCGGCATTTAAGATGCAGGGGAACGGCACATATACCCCCGCTTTTCGACGTCGTTGCCAAGGGGGGGTAGACGTACGTCGGGCCAACTACACTTCGAGACGTCGCTGCTTGTACGCTGACAATCTGGTACACTAGCAAAAAAATAGTCTTGGGCCTTTCCCCTTCGGCTGGAGGGTGTGATGTCGACGGGGTGCGAGATGTTTGGGTTTTGTCAAGATCATATCATGGTAATGTCAGGTTCAGTTGTTTTGCCATGCCCGGCACGCTGCCGCGGGCCGCTTCTAGCGTGTACGAAACTTGGTACTGGATTGCAGTTTCCAAGGGTGTTCTCTTTCGATAATTCTAGTATCAGGTGAGCTGCGAACAGAAAAGAGGCCCGGCTGAGTGGGAGAATAAAGCGCTTGCATTCGAAATACCCGGTGCTTGTCACTGCAACCCCCGTGTTAGCACCGCGGCGACGATCGCATTTCCCCCTCGAAGGCGGCTCAGCTCCTCTCTACCACTCATCCGGTTGCCCCCCCTCGTCTGCGATACTACCCAAATTATCCCGATGTAGGTCGTCATGCATTTTGCGAGGCTCGTTGGATTCCTTCAAAACCGGCCGTACCTGACGTATGCGGTCCCCGGGAAAGACAGGGAGTCCTATTCTGGACGGCTAGCCAGACCTCGCTACCACCCGCAGTCTCTTTTGCTCCATGCGAGACAAGGGAAAGATGTGCTTGTCCGCGCCCAGCCGCGTTCCCGAATGGTCACTTTCGACGACCGGCGCCCCTTTTTTCCTTGTTTCCCCCTTATTTAAAGGATTGTGTTGTCGCATTCTGCGTCTGCCACTGTCGTCAGTTCCAATTTGCGCGGTTCATGCCTTTTTTTTCTGACCCAGGACGCTGAGGGTTCTGGTACCGATATCTTGTCATCTGTCATTTCATCTCTGAGGTTCGAGCCTTTCGTCACGATGCTACTTGGGCACTGGAGAGCTTGTGCGAGTTGTATCCCGTCTCGGACGGTGTGGCCGGCGACCTGCAGAAGTTATGGACTGCTTTCTTTGGGCTGCTTGCCTGTGGAGTTCAGGGTGGTGGCGATAGACGTAGACGCGAGCATGTTTGTTGTATTCTGCGCCCGGCTTGAATCCGTACTGTGTCGTTACAAGAGGGTGTCATGCAGTTTGCCTTGCGTTTACTTCGGATACTGTCTGCAACATGTCTAGTGATCTGATTTAACGCCGCCTCGTGGATGTCTCCTATCATCTCAACGCCCCCTACTCTCAACACGTCAATCCCTTCTCATCGAGGGAATCATGCCGGATATGCTTGTCTCGATATCCTTGTCCAACGGCGTCTAGTGACTATCAACTACACTAGCTCTACTCCTTCCTTAGTCTGCCTCTTTTCGTCCACTTAGATGTTGACAGGGCCCCCCTTTCCTCGGCGTGCGGGTGAAGAGGACCTATTAGGTTGGAGAGGAAGATTGTTTGTCTGCCAAGCTACGGCTAAGCGGGCTCCAGATGGATTGGACTATAATGCGGAGACGTTGAATGACTCCATTGGATTCAGGTACAGATCTGATTAGTACATTTGGCAATTATACTAGGATGGATAGATTTCGTCTCATCCAACCACAGCCGTAGCCACTTGAAGAGGCGTGAGGGGCTTGTCTCGGCTTGTCGAGAGTAGAGGGCATGAGATCTACAGACCTGAGTTCGTCACTCTACTAGACTGGAGGTATAACCGGCTCTGTATTATGGCTACCGGCTCTAATTTCGATGTTACCTTGTCCAGGGCTAGGTGGAGGCAGCCGAGAGGCGGCGCGCGAGCGCGTCCTGTTTGTTCCAAGAGTTGAGTCGAAGAGTAGAACTTCGTCATCGACAGACGAACTACGGTCGAGGTCAGGACTGTGTTTCTATAGTCGTCAAGCAAATCTGAAATGTCTATATAAGATGATGTCCCGTTCATGTTGGAGACTTCCATCTCCTCTCCTCATCAGCCCCATCGCCAACCAAACAGCTTTACCTCAAGCACCATCTACAGCTCCAGCTCTAGTTCATCATCCTTCTTTGACATTCAATCGTTCTCAATAAACTCTACAAAAGTTTCCAAAGATCAAAATGCAGTTCCTCGTCGCCATCACCGCACTCTTTGCCAGCGTCGCCGTCTCGGCACCCCTTGAGGAGCGTCAGATCTACCTCCCTTGCTCCGGCCTCTACGGAACTTCCCAGTGCTGCGCTACCGACGTCCTCGGCATTGCCAACCTCGACTGCGGCAACCCTCCTGAGGTCCCGACTTCTGCTGATAACTTCAGCGCAGTCTGCTCGGCCATTGGACAGCGTGCTCGCTGCTGCGTCTTGCCCATTGTGAGTTCTAATCGATTTGTGCCTATAAGAAGACTCAATGGATGCTAACTATTTATGATAGCTTGACCAGGGTATCCTGTGCAACACCCCTTCCGGTGTCCAGGACTAAATGTCCTTCTCGTCGAAGCTCTAGGTCTAGGCTTGGACATGAGCTTTGGGACAGATAATGTGTATGAATGGTTGATGGATATCACTGTATGATTTTGATGGTGTAACTTGTATACTTGATTCGTATCAAAGGGCAACGATTGGCATGTCTTTGGAGGGTTCAGGGTTTAGGTGTGATTGGGTTTGATGTGTTTGTTGGTTGGAAAGTGAGCTGCTGCTATGCGGCTTGTATAAAACCTGTTCTATAGGAGAATCAACTTTTCTTGGAGACAGCCGGAGTCCTTTTGTGGCTGATGCCGTGTGGACGACTGCAGTTACGACTGGTAACATATGCGGCTTTCCGCAGTTTGGCTGTTGGCTGACAGTACTAGGCAGCTGAATATCTTGTCCTCTTATCATCATTTGTCTGACTTCTGAGCCAACGATCCATCTTTGACAATTACGGTTTTCAACATGTCGGCAGCGCTGACTTCCGCTTGTCTTAATCCAACATTCATTCGGAGGTCAGATATATCCGATACGACATAAAGAGTTGTAGTAACGGGTAAAACTGTCAGAATGCGAACCCAAGGAACAGTGGCAGGGCAATGACGCCATGGACCGGTCCAGGCCCTCAAAGGCCTGGCCAGAGTCAAGGTGAGGAATTTCAGCATCGGTGAGCCTGTGTGCACTGACAGCCAGCTGGCACCGTATGCCTTACCCCACAATCTCATCTTGTCCGTCCCATCAAATCAAGCAGTGGCGGGACATGAATGGCTAGATCGTCTGCCAATGCCCTGTTAGCTCAAAATGACATCACCGGAGCATTTGGTCCTTGCGGCGTATGATGGTCCAGAGCGCTCAGAGACAGGCAAGGAAGCTGCCGCTGCCGCCGCTGCTGCCGCTGCCGCCGCTGCTGCCGCTGCCGCTGCTGCTGCCGCTGCGACTGGTGCTTGTTGCTTCCCGCTGCCACTGGGAGTTAGTGGTGACGCACGGGCTCTCACGCGATGGAGTTTTGAACAACAGCAAAGAAAGAGAGAGCTTGGGCATTCCGAAGCTATCTCAGCTTTCAAAGAAGTAAGTGGAATAATAATTAGGCAAATATTCTAAAATGGCATGTAGCCCATGCCACAACACAATTAGCATCCCGCATCCCCAATTTTCCCATCAAAGCATACACTGGTTTCATCACCTAAGCTCAAAACTGACCTGCAACCTTAATGTTCAACGCTATGCACGAGACAGCGGGTACGTACCGCACATGCCAGAGGCGATAACCCACCAACAGGGGGGGAAGCTACGTCATGCTCAGCGGCGACAAGCTCTGGGGAGCTCTCTGAGTGGCCACGGCAGGAGCTCTCGCATCGCTTTTTCAGCAGATCATCGTAGCATGTGCCCTCTCCCGGTCGATGCCATTGCATTGAATTGACGTGACCAGCCGCAAAACTTCCCCGGTTCTTGCTGCCTGCCCTGGTTTTTTTTCACTTTTTTTTTGTGTTGTTGTTCATTCTACAGCTAGTGCCACCGAACACAGATGAGAGACACAGAAGCACCACAGCTACAGGTGCGATCAGATCGGAGGAAGGAGCAACCCCCTCTAGTGCACCTTCCCTCTATTTCACCTTCCCACACAAGGCAGTTGCCTCCCTCTCATCTCCTTAGGCGGCTGGTTACGACAGGCTGCTCTCACCTTTTGTTTATGTAAACTAAGGTAAGAGCACCAGTAGGAAGCCTAAAGAGGGAAAAAAGGGTAGGTACCTACCTACGTGCGTACGTAGCTATGCTGTTGTTCTTATGTACGTACTGAGCAAGAGCAGCAAGACGCCGCACCTAATGCAGCCACAATTTCCCACAAACGCAGTATGGTGACGTGATGTATTCCTGACGTTAGACGTGAATTGTTGAATCACCCCCATGGGCCGCTCTTGCTCCCTGTCGTCAACCCTCCACTCTCACGTAGTGTACTTGCCCACCGTCACCGTCACCGTCACTGTGCTGGACCCCCCCGCGTCAAACAAAACAAAAACCACCTCCCCCTTGGCAACTTTTCCACATTTTTTTCCCTCTACTCCCAGTTCACAATAATCTCTTCTTGTGACTTTCCCTCTACTCAGTTCTTCCGGCATTTTCGTGATACCCCTTTCTGTTGCCTCTGCCTCTTCATCGGAAGACTGATAGCAGATCATTATCATCATGCGTTTTATTTCTGTCGTTGCGGCAGCTCTGGCCGCTCAGGGCGCCGTTGCCAGTTCCTGGCTCTCCAAGGCTGGTAAGTCTACATCACAATCCACCTGTTTTTAAAGATCACAGAACTGATGATGTGCCTCTGCAGCCTACAACAAGTGGCACCAGACTGAGCTTGAGCGCTGGCTCTCCGACCACGACGTCCCCTACCCCACTCCTGCCGACCGCAAGGACCTCGAGAAGCTGATCGAGAAGAACTGGGATAACTACGTTGTCACTCCCTACAATTCGTGGGATGCCGAAAGCTTGCAGAAGCATCTCAAGGCCAAGGGTGTTGAGACCGAGGCTTCTGCTAAGGCTACCAAGGACTCCCTGATCTCTCAGGTCCAGAACTCCTGGTACGAGACCGGCGACCAGGCCCAGAACGCTTACCTCAACGTCAAGGACTGGATCCTGGATACTTGGACTGATAGCCAGCTGAAGGCTTTCTGTGACAAGCATGACATCCCTGGTATGATCTGCCCGCCGCCTGAGCTGTGATATTTGAAGCCCAATAACTGACATCACCACAGTTCCTCAACCTCGCAAGCGTGACACTCTTCTCTCAAAGGCTCGCTCTAGCTATGACAACATCGCTCAGAAGGTTGGCGAGACTGCCTCCTACCCCGGCAACTGGCTGTACGAGAACTGGTCTGGTAAGTTAAGCAATGTCTCTGAAGCTACTTATACTAACATAGCGCAGAGTCTGATCTCAAGGAGTGGCTCGACACCCACGGATTCCCTGCTCCCCAAGTCACTGACGTAAGAATCCCCCCTCTGCTGTCACTACCTATTCTAACAGTATACAGCGTGATAAGTTGATTGCTTCTGTCCGCCGCAACTCCCGTCTTGCCTACCTCAAGGCTCAGGAGCAGGCCGCCAGCGCTTCCACCAGCGCCCAGCAGGCCTATGCTACTCTGACTGATATGGTTATTGACGCCTGGAGCGAGTCTCAGCTCAAGGAGTTCGCTGACAAGAACGGCATTCCTGGTATGTACACCTTCTCCTTCCGCAAAAAAACAAAGCTAACCCCCATTAGTTCCCCAGGGCACCAAGGCCAACGAGCTCCGCGCTCTGATCCGCAAGCACCGTGCTGACTTCCTCAACGACAACGTTGCTGGCAAGGCTTCTAGCGCTTTCGGTGCTGCTACTTCCAACGTCGCCCAGAACGCTGCTAAGGCTACCGATCGTGCCTCTCTCGCCGCTCAGGAAGCTTTCAACGAAGCTGTCGGTACCTGGTCCGAGAGCCGTCTCAAGGCCTACCTTGACGCACGTGGTATTCCTGTCCCCCAGGGCTCCAAGACTGATGAGCTCCGTGCTCTTGTTCGCAAGAACCAGCACAAGGCTGCTTCTGGTTGGAATGCCTGGACCTTTGATGACTTCTCTACTGAGAAGCTCAAGAACTACCTCTCTTCCAGCGGTAACGCCGCTGCCAAGAAGGCTGCCGAGAAGAAGGACGCTTCCCGTGACGAGCTTCTGAGCGCTGCCCAGGGTGCTTACAGCTCTGCTTCCTCCGCTGGCGGTGCTAGCTATGCCTCTGTTACTAGCTACCTCAGCCAGGCAACTGACTCTGCCAAGTCGAACCTTTTCGACACTTGGAGCGAGAGTGAGCTCAAGTCTTACCTGGACAGCTACGGCGTCAAGGTTCCTCAGACCTCCAACATTGACGAGCTCCGCGCCGCCGCTCGCAAGCAGTACACCTACTTCAAGTACGGCACATCGTCTCCTTCTGGAACTCTCCTCGCTAAGATCGAGGAGGGTGTTAAGGACACCTGGAACTGGGTTGCCAGCCAGATTGGCATTGGCGCCGATACCGCCCAGAAGAAGGCTGGCCAGACCAAGGAAAAGGTCAAGCAGGAGTTGTAAATCGCATCAACTTCACTTAATACTGCCCTCCCATAATATGGAATGGGCGAACGTGGCTTAATAAGTCACAGGCATATGACGGATGACAAAAATTTGGGTTTCCAGTTTTCTGTACGACAACTTGCACTTGTGTTTTTGGCACGGTTCGAGGGGGTTTGCCTTTTAAGACCCAGCGGTAGTCAGGCACATGGAACCTTTTGTGTGCCGCTTCTGCTTTTGGGGTCGGGACTGTACAATATCAGATAGGGACGATAGCATGAAGAAAGAATCTGGCAAGTTGACTTGCCCCTAACCTTTGTGACTTTTTTGTTTTATAGTGCATAGTAATCAGCTTTTTCTGGTTCATCCCGCTATTCCGTATCTATGTTACTGTTAAGCATCAAGCATTAGTTTTAGTTCCACATTTGAAGACCCGTTGCTGATTAGTATAGAAACGAGAAATTCATAAAAGCAAGTAGTGACTTTTCATATTGACCAGCTATTGGCGTAGAGTTGAGCTTCATCTCATCATTATCATTGGCTTTTTTTCCCCATCCCTCCATGGACCACACCGCCAACGCTTACTGCTGCTTTACGCCCTCGGCGACCTCTCTCAACCACCCCTTCCAAGGACGCTATCTCGAAAGGACGCCCCTGACGGTGCCCTGCAGACTGGGTTTGTTGTCAAAGACAACCTCCTTGATGCCCGTATCCTCGCCCGTGCCGTTCTCCAACCACCGGGCCAGCAGATCGTTGCTCTCCTTGGGCTTGACGTTGTCGTCGCGCGTGCCGACCGTGATGTGCGCGACGGCGTTGACACACTTCCACTGCTCCGTCTCATCGACCAGGCGCACGACGATGGCCATGACGCGGTCATCGAAAACCACCTGTTGACGGAGAGGAATTAGCTTATGTTACTTGCCATAAAAAAATAAGTCATGGGGGACGAGGAAAAGCTCTTACCCGCTCAAGCTCGACGCCGCACTCGCCTAGCGGACGAACGTTGGCCACATCCTGACTACCGGCCTCCTTCTCCGCCTCGGCATGGATGCCAGTGTACCGCTGCCAAAGCTCGGGATGCTCCTTGACGCTGGCGCGGTGCATCAGCGTGACGTGGAACTTTGGCTGCACCCGGCGCGTCTGGATGAGCTGCTTGTAGAAGCGGGAGACGTTGGCGTCGGCCTTGTTAAAGGTGCCATCGAGAACGCCACGGACCTCCTGGGCGGGAACCTCGACGGACATGTACTCGAGAGGCTTCTTCTTCTGCTTCTTGGGCTGCTGGCCTAGCTGATGCTGCTGCTGAGGCTGCTTGCGAGGGCCGCGGTCGGGGATGTTGTGCTTGAACTCGGGCTTGTACTCGATGAACGCGGACTGGACGGCCTGGTCGAGACGCTCGGCGGAGGGTACCTCGGGGACTAGGTTCGGGTACATCTGGTGCAGTTCGGTGATGACCTTTTCGAGGTTGACGCGGCTGCCGGCGGTGGGATCGAGGTGGATAATTCCGTCGAAGCCGTTATCGGGAGGCGAGAAGGCGGAGAGGGGCTCGAAGCGGCTGATGAAGCCCTCCATCACGCCGAGAAACTTCTCTGCGTCGGTCGCAGCGTGGATGGTCTGGTGGTTGTCGCCGCGAGCGATGACGCGCTCCTGGGTGATCCGGCGGACCTCGTCGACATTGGAATCATCATGGTTGAAATGGAGAGCGATCAGACGGGCCGTCTTGTGCTGTACCTTTACATCTGTAATGAACTGCTTCCGCTCGTGCTTCTGGGCGTTGTTTCGGTCTGCGACAACCACGGGGTGGTCCTTTAGCTGTTCGAGAACGGCCTTGGTGAAGCGAGGAGGCCGACCCTTGCCCGAGATGTTGTCGTTCTGGACGTGTCCCCACTGGAAGAGATGTGTCAGGGCAACCGCGATGGTGGTCTTGCCGCAGCCGATGGTGGCGATGGGGCACAGGATGACATCGCCAGTGACCTCATTGTCGACCCGCGTGGGCTCGTCGAGCTCGAGGTTAGCTGCGTCGGATCCCTTCATGTTCTTGAAGGCGAGGAAGTCGTTGCGGAGGGCGATGATGCCGTGGTTCTGCTGGTAGAGCTTGCCGAGGTTAGGGTCTGCCTGGAGGCGGCGGCGGGCGTAGAGTAGGTATTCCTCGGTAATCTTGATGTGCTTCTTGAATTTGGGTGGGCGGCCAGAGATCATGGCCTTTGTGCACTCTCTCCACTGGCGGTACATCAGGTAAGGCTCCTCGAACTTGTACTTGAAGAACCAATCACGGTAGGGGGCTTTTGCAGGGTCGTAGCTCTCCTTGCAGCGGATAACAAAGCCCTCGACATCTCGGCCACCGTGGGCGCCAGTCTCTGCCGCCTCCTCAAGGAACTTCTTGACCTCGTTGATATCATCCATCACAATCAGGCCAACCTGCTTGAAGCCCCACGCGTCGCCGAAGCTCTGGACCGCGGCACTGGGATAGGTCACGAACTCTGGGAGGTTCAGATTGATTCCGTGGATGTACAAACCAGCCTTGTCGGGGCCGTACTCGAGGATGTGCTCCTCAAAAGAGTCGTCGCAGAGCTCGGCTACAGCAGTGGCATTGCGATCCCTCAGCTCCCGAGCCAGATCCTCCTTTGTCTTGCCGATAGTAGCAAGCTGCTTCTCCAGCAGGCGCTCGCCTGCGGTGGCATGGCTTAGATCGGCATCAGCACGGTCTCCAGTCGAGTGCTTGCTGCAGACGAGGAGCGTTCCGTCTTCCAAGCCAGAGATGAAGATGATGCAACCGTTCTCCTTTAACGTGAGTTCATAGGGACCCTTGGTCCTCTTCAGGATGTTGTCCCACTGCGTCTCATTCACCTCACCGATATTGAAGAACTTGTCGTATCCGCGCACAACGATCTCAGGCTCGTTCTGCATGTTCTGTGTTGTGAAGAGACCTCGGGCGTATGTAGGCAGGTCGCGCTTCTTGTAATCCCACTCCTGCATCTTCCAGGAATCCACCTTGATCTTATCCTGGGAGTTCTTGACCTTAAAGGGAGTCTTCTTGCAAGAGAAGCTGGTGACACCCTTCTCCTTTCCGCGCTTCTTTGTTGCGTCATCCAGGGCGCGAACCATGCTGGAGACCTTCTGGACATCCTGGGGGATATAAGGGACCTGGGGCATCACTGCCTCGGCTGTTGTTGCTGTAGCCATGGCTGCAGAGAAAATGTGAGTATTTTTGAGTGGAGATGTTCTAAAAGTAAAAGAAAGAGCCCTGCGGGCAATGAACATGGAGGAGACGGTGGATTTCGTCTTCGTCCTTTTTGCTGGAAGCCAAACTTGCGTGGTGATGATCTCACTTGATGTGTATATAGGTATTTGTGTGTCCTAGAAAGGGGAGGCGGTCTGACTTTTGTAGAAGAGAGAACAGGTCCAATGTCGTTGGATCCACGGATTCAGACGACACAAAGTAGGAGATGAGTCACTTTCTTGACCTGACCCTGTAGGAAGGATAGCACCGCTCTTCGACCTCTTTGAAATGGCCTCGACCAGATGTGGCTTCACCCTGAAGAGTCCTCAAAAAAAGAGTGAAAAGGGAAAACAGTCACACCGAGCCACACACAAATTAGGGATGGTGGAAATTGTGCTGCCTGACGTGAGATCAAATACGGAAGTCGGGATTCTAGGTACGGGAAAGTAAATGCACTTTCCAGGCTTTTGGGGGGGCTGAGCGAGCCGCAGGAAGTGGCGTGGTGCGATAATGTGCCCTGCAATTATTTGGGCTTTGGAGGGGCAGCAGCTCTGGAATGGAGCCACAGCACTGGAAGAAGAAGGCGGTGGGAGCCTATTGGCGGGGTGTGCGTCACATTGGAAGCTCCCCGCATGGCAGAAAATTTCCCATTAGCGCATTTCCACAGGCATTTTTCCAGCAAAAAGATTGGGCTCCGCCACGACCGGTAATATTTTGGCCTCAATTCGATCTGACCCCCCGAGATTTGAGATACGAAACCACCCACATATACGGATATACACATACACACACACACGGAGAAAAAGAAAAAGACGCTAGCAACAATAATTACCGAATCTAGCGAAAATGAGCCCCAACCCGTATCTCCTGGCGGCCGATAACCCCACGGCTTTGCTGTCTCTCCTCCGCGAGAGCCCCGCCATCGCCTCCGGTCAGGATGAGCACGGTTACTCCCTTGTCCATGCTGCCGCAAGCTACAACCACCTTGATCTCCTCCGCGCCTTGATCCAGGAGTTCAAAGTTGACGTCGATATCCGAGACGAGGACGAGGAGACGGCGTTGTTCGTTGTCGAGACCGTCGCGGCAGCCCAGTGCCTGGTCGAGGAACTTGGCGCTGATATCGACGCCAAGGGTGCCGAGGGCATAACTGCTGCTCAAAAGATCGAAGGCGAGGGCGACTACCCCGAGATCGCCGCATACCTTAACAGCGTCGAGTCGAAGAGGTTGGCTGCTGCTGTGGCCAAGGTCACCGGTCAATCGAGCACGAGCGCCTCTACCACCAACAACACTGCTGCCGCCGAGGGTACCACTGCTGCTCCTCCCATCGACCTGCCGCCCGTCCCCGAAGGCCTCGCCGTAACGCTCGGCACCATGGACCAGACCGAAGATGTCCCCGCCGAAGTCGATCCCGAGTTCAAGCGTAGGATAGATCAGCTGGCTGAGAGGGAGGATTTCCACACTGCCGAGGGCCAGGCGGAGTTGCGTCGACTTGTCGAGGACGCCGTTCTCGGCCAGGGACTAGCCGAGGAGCGTAACGTGCGTCCGAAGCAGGGCTAGCTCTATTTTCTTTCCTATATACAAAAAAAGTGTTTAATCGTCGCTTTTGATTTCCCAGAGGAGATAGTGGCCTGGCGACTCGGGCGGCCGGAGGAAGGCGACCTCGGTGCTGTCGCCGACCATGCCCTTGGAGAAGGAGGTGGCGCTCAGCGAGAACCAGGTTCGCGACGGCAGGGCGACGAGGGCGTCGATAAGGACGCTGCGCACCCAGCTGGAAGTGAAGAAGCCCTGCCAGGTGATTTTGCAGACCTTGCCGTGTTGCGGCGAGTCGGAGTCCCCTGGCCCTTGGTAGCGTGATAGGTACGGGTCAATGGAATCGCCTGTCTCAATGCGGGGGCTTTGGAGGCGGACCAACGACAGCCATTCGTACGTCTCGGTTGCGAAGTCTTCCAGGCCGGGTCTGTCGCCGTTCGGGATGGTCTCCGCTGGGAGTGAGAGGGGCGCCATTTTAACCTGGCAGTCTGGCACAAGAGACGGGTTGCTTGTGTATTTGGTTGGGAAGTACTGGTCCAGGGGGTCTGGCGAGGGTGCTAAAGGGGACATTAGAGTGGTTGGTGGATAGCGTTAGACAAGACTTACTGGTAGTCGTCGCGTTACAGAACAGCCATGTCACGGGCGTGTTGAAAACGTTTTTACACGCGTACAAGAGTCTGTCGAAGCCCTTCTTTCCGTGAAGCATGGACGGATCCCGTAATTGGTAGCTCACGACTAGACTCGTCAGTCTTGCTTGTATATAAGATAGCATGCACACTCACTCCATCTAGGCTTCAAGCCTCGTTTGCCCTTGACGCCATGGGGCTTGCCCACCAGACCTGCTCGCTCGTACGTCTCTTTGTCGAGGTACATGGTCAAGAGGCCTTCATGTAGGGAGAAGACGTTTTCGACCGTTGTCCTGCCCTCTGAGAGCATGAGGATGTTGCCTGCGGCGGTCAGTGAAAGCCCAAAACAGCTTCAGGCGATGTTTAACTTACCCCTTTTGATGTATTCATTAAAGAAGGCACCGTCAAGAACTTGGCCGAGGGTCATGGCAACGCGGTAGAACGTCGGGGCGGCGAGCTCCTCCACAAGCTTTTTGTGCACCAGTTCGTAACACTCTTGAGGGAGAATGAGGTCGACCTAAGCATATTTTAGCCTGGAATTGGCAACGTGGTTTAGTAATGTAGTCCAACTAACCTTGTGGTTGAATCCTTGGCCTAGGATAGGCGCCCACGGCTTGCCCTTGGTCGGTAGCTGTTTGGGCTCAACATGAGCCATGGTGCCGTAGGTGACGAAGCATTTCGGCGACTGGTAGATACTGGGAGTAGGCAATGAAAGCATCTTGACCGAATCTTAGCACCTTCTCGTAAAACTGGCGGGTTTGTGTTGAGAAGGTGTACTCTGCCGGCGGTATAGCGGTGGCAGTGTGTAAATGAGAGAGAGCTCTGGTCTCCAGAGTGAGAATTGCATCCTTTGCCTAGGCCCACGCCAGCCGTGCACTAATATGGTGGGGGCCCACCTCCAACGCACAACAGCCACTCTGCAAGACATCTAGAAGGATTTCAGCACGACTGGGGTGTCCACATCCAAGTGAATCATCCACCAAAAAAGTACCATCTCTCAGGTCGCAAGCCCACACAAACCCGACGAGTCAGCGGTCCAAGGCGCTGAAAGAATAGCATTTTTTACCAACAACACTGCAAGTTATTGACTTTTTGGTTATTGAACCGGCGCATCGCATTGATACCGGCTGTGTCAGTATGTCCTTCAAATTTCATTCTAGTACCCCAAAGTTGACAAGCACAGCAGGTCTAAACGTCGCGCAAACGAGGGGCAGAATTCACCCCGCGCTCTACGCCAGGAATTTTTCCCAGTGCCCCTCCTCACTCACCACTTTGCGCCGCGCAGCCTACGTCCACCATGGAATATCTGGTGCGCTTCTCGCAGGCTCACGAGTCTTTCCGGCTCCCTGAGCTACAGGCTCTGGCAGACCTCGAGGGGATTGAGATGAAGGTGGTCGAGTACAGCGCCGACGTGAGTCTCAGTTCACTTCTCATGAGGGGCTTAAGTGAGCATCTCTATTCTGTCCAACTTCATACCACAATACTTTAGTGTGTCTTGCCGTCTCAACCTCTTAATGTCTCTCTCATCTTTCTGGTCGAATATTCATCGTGACACAACATCTTTTTTTCACTAAACTACATCAACCACACTGTCTAAGCAAATTCCAACTCTCTCATCTCATCTCACCCTCTTGTTTCTCAACCACCACCCCTGAATACAACCATTCAACTTGACAAAAGACTAACATCCCCAGACCCCCTTCTGCATCGTCAACCTCCCCTCCGCCTCCTGCGCCTCCCGCCTCGTAGCGCGGTCACTCCTAACACAATCAATCCATGAACTATGGGCCCACGCGCCCTCCCACGACCTCATCCACGACGTCCTCAAACAGAAGATCCCCCCAGCATGCTCCCCGTCCCCAATCTGGGTCTCCTCCTACGAAACAGCGAGCTTCAGATTCAGCCTAGACACATTCCAAAACTCGCGGCCGCACTCCGAGTTCATCAACCTGGTGAACTCCTTCAAGCACCTCCCGCTAGGCGGCCCGATCCGGATGAAAAACCCAGACATCGAGTTCACAATCTTTGAAGACTGGGAGCTGCACGGCAAGGAGCCGAGGCACGTCTACCTCGGGCGCCTCATTGCCACCGGCGCGCGCCACCTCAGTCTCAAGTACGACCTCAAGAAGCGCGGGTACATCAGCACGACCTCCATGGACAGCGAGCTCGCGCTCGTGACGGCAAACATTGCGCACGCCGCGCCCGGGAAGCTGTTCTACGACCCGTTCGTCGGCACGGGCAGTTTCCCCGTCGCCTGCGCGCATTTCGGCGCCCTCGGGTTCGGGAGTGACATCGACGGCCGCAGCATCCGTGGAGACGGCGGGAAGAGGACTCTCAAGGGAAACTTCAAGCAGTACGGTCTGCAAAACCTCGTCGGCGAGTTCTGGACGGCGGATCTGACCAACACGCCTGTGCGGAGAGTCAGGTGGTTGGACGGCATCGTTTGCGACCCGCCGTACGGCGTGAGGGAAGGGTTGAGGGTGTTGGGGTGCAGAGACCCGGAGAAGACGCCGTGGGTTGTTGAAGCTGGACGGGAACGGTATAAGTGAGTTCTTTCCCGCCCCCCCCCCCCCCCCCCTCTTTTTTCTCTCTCCTCTCGGGTTCAGGGGGTGTTGGTAGGGGTGGGTGTGCTGACAATGACAGACAAACGGACTTCATCGCGCCCAAGAAACCGTACAGCTTCCTCGCGATGCTCGACGACATCCTCGAGTTCGCGTCAGACACCCTTGTCGACGGCGGCAGACTATCCTTCTGGATGCCGACGGCCAACGACGAGGACCAAGAGATCCCCGTGCCCATGCATCCCAAACTAGACATTGTTGTAGTCTGCGTGCAACCTTTTAACAAATGTACGTCTTGTTGCTTCCCTATACCCCCCCGTTTAGCCAAAAATAAAAAACTACAAAGCTTGCTTACACTTGCAAATAGGGTCGAGAAGACTCATCACATACCGCCGCATCCCCGACGGCCAAGTCGACCAGGAGAAGCTGGCGGCCTACAAGCGCATATACCATGAGGGAACAACAGCAGATGAACTGAATCCTTTTCGACGGGGCTACTTCACCAAGTTTGAAAAAGAAGAAGCCTAATAAAAAAAGAAAAAAAAAGTTTCATGTACAGCAATATTCCCTCCTTCCCGTCTGTGATGATGCCTTGTCCGTGCCTGATAAACCAAAATAATACTGTTGCGCGCGTGTTCTCTCTACTCTCTCTCTCTCTCTGTCTCTGGTGGTCATTCATGATTTCCCTACCGCTTGCCTTGAAATTATCCGCCACTCATCATACCCAAGGCATTTCCCAAGGCACCGTCGTTTGATATCATTTGTCCAGAAAATAAAAAAAATAAAGTGCATGCATCCAAAATGTCCAACAGAAGCAAACTCCCACGCCGGATGACTGTTCTTCCCGTCGGGGAATTGCGCTCATACCTCTTCTCGCCTCGTGATCTCCATTCCTTTCCCGCTAGACAAGGGGGATCGGACCTTCAAGACCATTTTTTTTTATCTGAATTCCATGGCGCTGAAGCAGCCCCTGTCCTCCACGTGCTTGAGCTCGAGCTGCTGAAACCTGGTGACGAATGTTAGTAACAAAAAAAAAGAAAATCCGAAGTTGAATAAAAAATAAAAATAAAAAAGGTAATCGGCTCGGGGTCTCGGGGTTTTATAAAGGGTATCATCGGCACATACTTTTCGCTCTTGGAGTGGAAGTAGATTCCACTCACTTCACCCTTGACCTGGTTGAAGCAGATGTAGTAAAAGCCCTCGAAGCTGGCTCCAGAAATGGTGCGCACGCGGTGGTCGGGAACCAGAAAATGCTCCTTCCAGCGCATGAAAATATTCTCTCTCTGCGCAATATCGCGGATCACCACGGGGCCCTTGCGCGCCTGCTTCTGGAAGGGGCGGAATGCGTTAAACTTGGCCCAGTGGTTCAAATCAATCTTGTCGGTGGCGCCCCAGCTCTGATGATTTGTGGTGAAGCCGTACTTGGTGCCGATGATCTCGCCCTCAAAGTATGTAGTCAGCGTCGGGTGGTCTTCGGTGAGACCTGTACAGAGTTTAGCAGCTGTTACACAACGCGCAGGGGGTCAGCTGTGGAATGTTCGCACCTTGGATACGCAGGTAACCGCATAGGAATGACTCCCTTAGGTCAACATGCTTGATCTCAACCTGGACGTCGTAAACCTGTCTTTCGGATTGCTGTGTGCCGTGAAATTTGCTTCCTGGCCGCAGGAAGGACGATGGTGATGTTGGTATAATCTATCACAAAGTTCTGTGTGAGTCATGTGATGCATCAGTATAGACATCCCACATCCAACGTACCCGCATATTAGAGTAGTCTGAACCCATGGACGGCGCCATAAGTTCCTCCTCCCACAGCTCGTCGGCGTCAATGGCCATGCCCTTGCCCTGGTCATTTAGTGTCGTAGGCGCTTGCCGGGTATCATGCCTCCTCGATCCATCGGTGCGAGACGCCCGTAGCCTGTCACCGGCCGAGTGTCCCTCCTCATCCGATTCGGTGTGCTTAAAAGAGTCCATGTCGGCCGCAGGCGACGAGTGAGCGGTTTCGCCGGATTGCGGCCTCGGCGACATGGTGGTGGACCTCGATGAGGATACGGCGGATGTGGGCTCGTCATCGAGGATGACTTCTGTGCTTATACCCTCGGTCGGGGACATTGGGGCGCTGACGGGAGCGGGTGAGGTGTCCTCGTCCATGCGGTCGTGATGGGCATCCATAACGGCGGAGCCTTGGTTTGAGTCGGTGGGCGGACGCCAACTGCGTTGTGGGGATCTTGAACTGCTGTCTTCAGGACATGTCGAGAAACTGTGGGATCTAGGGGAGTGAGGGTCGGGAGGAGGATTGGATGACGGGGTCGGCATGCTGGGCTTGTGGGAGGTGGTCGTGTGTGATGTTAGTGAAGACGGAGTAGACTCGGTGCAGTAGCGGCAGCGGTGGACGTCAATGTCGGGCGATGGGGGTCGGTCGCGTCGACGGGGAACGCTGCGGCTTTACCGCCAGCAGGGGTCGAGAGGGCTCCGCAATGATGACAGCAAGGGTTGCCAACAGGATCGCGGAGGGAGCAAATAGAGTATCGTCGGTTCAGAAGCGAGTCTGGCGATGCGGTGACGGGTTATTTGGGTGTTGACGTTAGGTGTTCGTAGGTGTTGAGACAAAGCTCGGTCGAGAGGATGTCAGGAAGTGATTTGGCCCAGTGGGAGTGATCAGTAAGGTCGTCTCCAAATGGAATAGAATCACAGGCTGCCAAGCGAAAGGAAGCGGTCGGGAGCGGACAAGGGCATTGGTCGGGACAATCCAGCACTACAGCCAACAGTGGATGGGTGGTGGTGGAAGATGTCGCAGTCGCAAGACAGACCACAGCGCACCGTCGGGGGATGAGTGACAATGCCGGTGGACGGCAACAAATGTGAGCCCCAAGGAGGTGAAGCTTGTCGCAAGAGACGAAGCTTTCGGGCTGAGGGAATTGCAAAAAGCCACAGGAAAGGCGGATATGTATGACTGATGTGACAGAGGCGAAGTCGGTCAGAAGCAGATTGGTAGGAATGAGGAATGTGAAGGGTTGGCCGGGGCCCCAGTGACAGCACAGCGGCGGCAGTAGCAGCAGCAGTAGTAGTAGTAGCGACGAGACGCAGCTCAGAGACACGACACTGGCAGATGCAGAGACAGAGACGGACAGGACCAGCCAAGGAACGGGAAATGGGACGGGGGCTGACGATTGGGGATTAGGATTGAGACTGGAACTGTGGGCTGCGACGGGGGGGTGGATGGGGAGTGAAGGGGGCGAAATTGGGGGGGAGGAGACAAGGGACTTGCTGGGATGGGACGGGATGGAGACAGGTGATTGGTGAAAAGACGTCAAAAGGTAAAATGTAGATGAAAATGCAAATGGGAGTGAGTGTACGTTTAGTAGAGCTGGGAGTTGGTGATGGTGTCGGATTGGAAACTGGTGGTCTTGATGTAGGTTACAATAGTTCCAGTGAAGTTGGTGTTCGGTATTTACTCTCTTTCTATTCGTGAAGAAACTCGGATCAGAGCGCGTGATGAGAGAGACATTTGAGTGGGAGAGACCAAGTGAGACTGGTATGATGAAATGAGAATCATACAAGGTACTGGATAGAACGAGTATTGCACCACCGACTGAGGGACTCAAAAATGGAAATAAAATAGAGTAATGCTACAAGCAAAAGGGACAGCGACAATAGCAAACGCTACCTACCAAACTAAGGTACCGGTAGACGTGGAAGGTACGGAGTACAGACTCTGGGCCAACAACTGTAGAAAGAACAACCGTCAATGCATTGCAGCAGCAGGAGCGATGACGCCCATGCCGCCCACACATACCCCCGCCTTTTTCCCACGCATCGTTACCGCTAGCCACGTTGGAAGGGTCCCCCCAGCTTGTGGGTTTTTCTGCGCTGTTAAGCCTGCCTTGCCCTGTGCGCTCGTCGCTGGTGCTGCACAACTGCGCTACCAAAAAAAGAAAAGAAAAAAGGAAAAGACGCCACCTGCCAGCTGTTGCTTGTCACTTAATGGGGCGGCGCTAGAAGAAGCCAGCCACACACGAGCCTTGCGCTTTTTGTCTCTAGCAAACTGCTCTAGCGGAGGTCTTTTTAATATTTAGCGGTGGCTGCCGCTTCTACCACAGACTGAAAGCGTCACATGGAGATTGAGGGATGGAGATGACTGATGAAGTGACAAGAGGGTAATACTTTTTTAGAGTGCGATTTGGCACATTGGAGCCTCCAGCCTCTCCCGGCTCCAGCCACACTTGTGTCGTCTGATTCTCTCAGGCCTTCCCAGCCTGAAGCCTGCATTAGTTAGCACATCACAGCGCAGTACAGCACACAATACATTTAACTGCGTCGCATTGGCGCTGTAAAATGTACCGAACACGAACCATTGCAAGTGGGATTTGCTGAAGAGACGCTGGAAAGAATGTTTACGTGAGCCCAGCAGCCACCAGTCTTATCCTCATGTGCAGTTGTCTCTTTTCCCCCTATTTGTTTACTTTCTTTCTTTTTTTTTCAATCTTATTTTGATTTCACTTGACTTTTTATCTCCCATATTCTCCATTCCACCCCCCCTTGGGCCGTTCGGGTTCACCGTACAGAAGCCCCCTCGGGCTTGCGGGGACCTCGCAGTCTCCGTTTTGCAGGCGCTGCCCTGTCGGATCCCGCTGTAACAGAAGGATACGCGCACTGCACAGGTACCTCAGCCAGCAACACTTCAGCGCAACGGAGGCGCCGGCTGGCGCTAGATCCATCGCAAACCTGCTGCACTGGGCACAGACTAGGGCCAAACTCTGTGCTCCTGCAGCAACTCTGCAAATTCCAACTCGTCAGACTAGGTCCAAGCACTGACTGTATTTCGTATTTCTGCTGCCTCACTGCCTCACCTCAACATCTTGCTTTTTCACCTGAGAAGGTCAGCCAAGGTCAGCCACCTCACCTTATCTTACTGATGTCTAAGCCTCATTATCATGCCCTACATGAAATTACACATGAAATGGATAAAAGGCAGTGCTAGCAGCAACGGTGACAGCACTGACACGAGAAAAGCCGTCTATCCCCCTTAACATGACTGAGGCTCTGAGAAAACCATCTCTCAATGTATCCCGACCAAGCAATTTCCCTGCCACCGTGTCTGTGATCTTGCATTCCCTTTCCGCATCGCTGTCACTGTCTGTGCCTGCTCTAATCATGCCATGCAAAATATCTTTGCCCCCTTTATTTCCCAAACCGAGCATTGAAGGAGTCAATCATTTACAACGGTCCGGTTCAGCACAACGCCTTTCTTCATGCATACTAGCAACACCACGTATCCCAAATGCTCAACGACCATCAGATCGTTAGTTCCACTGCCCATGCCACCTGGCCCTGTTCTTACCGTCTTCTAAAGCGATCCGAACACCGGGCACCAGCTCCCGTCAAAAAAAAAAAAAAAAAAAAAAAAAAAAAAAAAACCCTCCACCCCTTCCAGCCATTCCTCATCTTACTCACGCCGCCGCTACCACGCAGTAGTAAAGCCGCGGTTCCGACCGTTGGGCTTGGTCTTGGTATCAGCCCTGCGCTGGCCCCCTTCCTTGCAAGACTCCATAAGCCAGACTTCCCGGCCTGTTATGCTTAGTACAATTTCTCGTTACAAAACTGACTCGGCCTTGTACTCTTGACACTTTGAGCCTCAAACCAACTACTACGTCAGCCAGCCAACCCAGCTATCCGGCCGCCTACCGGACAGCCCAACCAATACGCCGCCTCTCTCCAAACATCCCAAGAAGACGGTAACCTTGGAGCCTAGCTTCTCACTATGGGCTGAAGCTCTCTTCCCGTCGCACCGTCTGATGGCGGCCCGCATGTCAGTTCACCACCCAAGTTCATTTTTTCTGTCATTAAATCCCACACCTACTAGTTATGTTGGAGCCGTGTTTAATGAATGTCCAATTCTTGCGGCGCCTAGGAAGCCCCTTATCTGTACCTGGCAACGCGCATGCATGCATTATCATCGAAAGAAAAGACGTGTCTCGTTATTTCCGGATCACTACCAAAATGGTCATGCCCGTTATGTCTACCTCGTGAAAATAGGGACTGAAGGATTTGCGGATTTACTCTGTCTTCCGTCCGTTCACCCGTATATGCCCATCATGTCCGAGCTGAAGGGCCCAAGAACTCCTTCATGCGCCCCTCCCCTGCAGCATCATGCATTTTTTCCAGAAGAATTTGGTTTTATCCCGCCTCCCACTGTCCCCGCAGATCGCTTGCGGCATATCGTCATGTTCGTCTCGTAGCGGGCCCCTCCCTTTGTTGAACCGTTGGTCAGTTTCTCGGTCACTGGGTATCTCCATTTTTTTGCTCTCGTTTCGTCACCGCCACCGAGAGGGGCGCTTTCGTTGATTGTTTGTTTAGATGGGCTTGATCTTGAAGTGCAGAGCAATCAGACTGAAGACGAGCGCCTTCAGATCCTGAACCAGGTAGTAAAACACGCGCAGTCCCTCGGGGTCTGCCGATTCCGTCACGTCCACCAATGAGCCGATCTTGGCCGTCTGTACCACAAAATGTCAGCTGGACATGTCGGAAGCAACAGCTACAACTGCAACCCACCTCGAATGAAATATGGTCATTTCCCAGCCGGATCTCAAGCTCCTGGCGTCCATCCTTGTTCTTTTGTGGCCACTTGGAGTCGTCTTCCCTTCAGAGGTTGTTAGTCGGTTCATCGTGGTCTCGTCAGCGGGCAACGCACTTCATGATCTCGCTCGTCTTGATGATGCGCTTGATCTCGTCGATAACCAGAGCGCTCACGCACACTAAATGCACATGTCAGTATTTGCATGTTGAGGTGTCAGAGGGGTTTCGCGTCTCATACTCTCTTTGCGAATCAAACTGTCATTTCTGTAGTTGGAGTTGTTGGCATATCGTGCAACAGCGCTGCGTCCATCGCCGACGACACGAAAGTCAAATTCTAGAGCCAATGTCAGCGGGGGGTAACACGAATTGTAGTCCGGCTAGGTGTGTTACCCAGAAACTCATGCCCGAATCGTCCAGAGTGACCGGAGCTGTGACGGTTAGCTATTGTGGTCGAGAGAATGCAATGCAAAGAAAAAAGAAAAGTGACGCACTAGTATCGCATGTAAAACTGATCGTTGGGGCTCGACATGGTGGCGGCGTTGTCGACAAACAAAGCACAATTGTCGGTGTCTTGTCGCAACTGATGTCCTTGGAGCTGCAAGGCTGTGGATGGAAATGCAAGAAAAGCGGGATGGCCCCCGTACCACCCTCAGCCCCGGCGGGGTCAGGCATCATGGATGGACCAAGCTTTGCCCAATAAGAGAGCTCCGTTTCGGGAGGCTCTGTCCCAGCCAAACCGGCAGTTTAATCCGTTCCGAGTTCAAGGGTCCACTATATCACGTGTTTCGCTTAGTGACACCTGTTCGGGGGCGCCAGGGACAGATATTCATGAAGGCCAGATCAGTGGTATAGCGAGATAGAGAGCCCCAGCTTATAGGCGTATATCGGATCGGTGACCGCTTCAAACACAAAACAGCTGGCGACGTATGCCTACGGAGGTCTCGTGTGGAAAGTGGACATATCCAACGGATTGGTTTAGAGTATGTTTTCCACCCGTCCATCGTGTTCCTTGTCCCAGCTCTTTTAGAGAAACTCACTGCCAGGAGCTCCCTAAGCTAACACGTATTCACCCCCCGTCCCTTAGACCGTCCAATCCCAATCCCCACCGCCCAGCTTCGATACATCCCACTCGTAACCCCCGACTCCCAATCCTAATTCCCCCTTGAACACGTCGTCAACCTCACCGCGCCGGCACCGAGCCAGCAACACCACACCCTCCCGCCACCATGGCCTCCTTTCTGGAAAACGCGTACAGCTTGGTGCACCAGGACAATGCTGCCGACGTGCCCAGCCTCTCCGACCTGCGCACGCAGCTCGAGAAGGGCACCGACGAGAGCAAGGTCGAGACTATGAAGCGCATTCTCACCATTATGCTCAACGGCGACCCCATGCCTCAATTGCTCATGCACATCATCCGATTCGTCATGCCCTCTAAGCACAAGCCGCTGAAGAAGCTGCTCTACTTCTACTATGAGATCTGCCCCAAGCTCGACTCCAGCGGAAAGCTGAAGCAAGAAATGATCTTGGTCTGGTTCGTAGTATCTATCTAACCTACAGGCCCATCTCCTTGCTGACAGCCTGGCCTCAGTAACGGTATCAGAAACGACCTGCAGCACCCCAACGAATACATCCGAGGAAACACCCTTCGCTTCCTCTGCAAGCTTAGAGAACCCGAGCTCATTGAGCCTCTTCTGTCTTCCGCGAGACAGTGCCTCGAGCACCGCCACGCCTACGTGCGCAAGAACGCCGTCTTCGCTGTTTCTTCCATCTACACACACGATGCCTCCCTAATTCCCGATGCCTCAGACCTTATCAGCACATTCCTCGAAGCCGAGAACGACCCGACATGCAAGCGCAATGCATTTGCCGCCCTGGCCGCCATTGACCACGAGAAGGCCCTGCTCTACTTGAGCACGGTATTTGAGGGTATTCCTAACGCAGAGGAGCTGTTGCAGCTCGTTGAGCTCGAGTTCATCCGCAAGGATGCTATCCAAAACTCCCAGAACAAGGTAGGAAATTACCAGGAAGTATATCTTTGGCGCATGACTGACCCGATTAGGCGAGGTATCTGCGTCTCATTTTCGACCTGCTCGAAGCCAGCACCTCGACCGTCGTTTACGAAGCCGCCTCTTCATTAACCGCTCTTACCAACAACCCCGTTGCGGTCAAGGCCGCCGCCGCCAAGTTCATCGAGCTCAGCATCAAGGAGGCCGACAACAATGTCAAGCTCATCGTGCTTGACCGCGTGGACCAGCTCCGGAAAAAGAACGAGGGAATCCTGGATGACTTGGTCATGGAGATTCTTCGCGTACTCTCTAGCCCTGACATCGATGTGCGCCGCAAGGCTTTGGGCATTGCCCTCGAGATGGTGTCGAGCAAGAACGTCGAGGAGGTCGTGCTCCTGCTCAAAAAGGAGCTGTCCAAGACCGTGGACCAAGAATACGAGAAGAACACCGAGTACCGCCAACTCCTCATCCACTCTATTCACCAGTGTGCCATCAAGTTCTCTGAGGTTGCCGCTAGCGTCGTCGACCTGCTTATGGATTTTATCGCCGACTTCAACAACACCTCAGCAGTCGATGTCATCAACTTCGTCAAGGAGGTCGTGGAGAAGTTCCCCAAGCTGCGCAAGCCGATTGTCCAGAGGTTGGTCGCTACGCTGAGCGAGGTGCGTGCCGGAAAGGTCTACAGAGGAATCATGTGGATTATTGGAGAGTACTCCCTGGAGGAGCGCGACATCAGGGACGCATGGAAGAGCATTCGTGCCAGCCTCGGCGAGATCCCCATCCTCGCCTCGGAGCAGCGACTGCTTGACGGTGACGGTGAGGAGGAGAACAAGGACCAGGTTAACGGCCACTCTAAGCCCGCGCAACCCACTGGTTCGCGCAAGGTCCTCGCTGATGGAACTTATGCTACGGAGACCGCCCTCACCAGCCAGTCTTCCGTGGCTGCTAAGCTGGAGGCTGTCAAGGCCGCCCAGAAGCCTCCTCTGCGCCAGCTTATCCTGGATGGCGACTACTACCTTGCCACTGTCCTCTCCGCTACCCTTGTTAAGCTTGTGATGCGCCACGCCGAGATCTCTTCTGAGGCTGCTCGCACTAACGCTCTGCGTGGTGAGGCCATGCTTATTATGATCTCCATCATCCGTGTTGGCCAGTCGCAATTCGTCAAGGCGCCCATTGATGAGGACTCGATCGACCGTATCATGTCCTGCGTGCGGTCTCTGGCTGAGTTCAACCAGCACAAGGAGCTCGAGTCCGTCTACCTTGAAGACACCCGCAAGGCCTTCCGTGCCATGGTTCACGCCGAGGAGAAGAAGCGTGCCGCCAAGGAGGCCGTTGAGAAGGCAAAGACGGCTATCCAGGTCGACGACGTCGTCCAGATCCGCCAGCTTTCCAAGAAGAACGCCACTGACGGCTTGGACGAGATTGAGGTCGACCTCGAGAGGGCGACGGGTGGTGAGGCCACCGCGGAGGATCTCTCCTCCAAGTTGAGCCGTGTCGTCCAGCTCACCGGTTTCTCCGACCCCGTTTACGCCGAGGCCTACGTCAAGGTCCACCAGTTCGACATCGTTCTGGACGTTCTCCTGGTTAACCAGACTATGGAGACGCTGCAGAACCTCTCCGTCGAGTTCGCCACCCTCGGCGACCTCAAGGTTGTCGAGAGGCCGACGACGCAAAACCTGGGCCCTCACGACTTCCACAACGTCCAATGCACGATCAAGGTCTCGTCGACCGATACTGGCGTCATCTTCGGCAACGTTGTCTACGACGGCGCTCACTCAACGGACACCAATGTTGTTATCCTCAACGACCTTCACGTTGACATTATGGACTACATCCAGCCTGCTACTTGCACTGAGACGCAGTTCCGCACGATGTGGACCGAGTTCGAGTGGGAGAACAAGGTCAACATCAACTCCAAGGCCAAGTCGCTGCGTGACTTCTTGGAGCAGCTGATGGCAGCGACCAACATGAACTGCCTGACTCCCGAGGCCAGCATGAAGGGCGATTGCCAGTTCTTGAGCGCAAACTTGTACGCTCGCAGCGTTTTCGGTATGTATTTCCAACGCACACACACGATGATCTTTTGATTTTGATGCTAACAATTCCGCAGGCGAGGATGCTCTGGCCAACTTGAGCATCGAAAAGGAAGGCGAGGACGGCCCCATCACCGGCTTCGTCAGAATAAGAAGCAGATCGCAAGGCCTGGCGCTGAGCCTGGGATCCCTCAAGGGTCTCAACAAGATCGGCTCTACGGCGTAAGAAGCGATCGGAAGAGGGTTGTGGATGTAAGTTGCTATATATCAAGACTGCAGTCGGTCGCCCCGAACATGTTTCCTTTTCGGAATTATCCCCCTCCCCTCCGGTTCACGGGGAATAATCGGGTGAGATCTTCTTTTACAAAAAAAAAGAGAGAGATCAGATACGACCTTAGTTTGGGGGGGAAACGATGGGAAAGGGGGGAAGGGGGGAGGGGCGTGGCTGGACAGCGTGCAATGGAAATGAAATTGGGGGGGATGTGTGCTTTTTTTTTTTTGGAAGAGTGAGATTTCCCTCCCGGCGCTCTTCCTTTTTCCCCCCCTCCTCTTTTGTGGTTAGAGTAAAAAAAAAGTGCAGCCCGGACAAGGCGTCATGAGTAGGTAGAAATGAGATGTTCTTCATGTTCTAAGCGAAAGCGGTCTCGAGTTGCTCTGATGAGATGCAGTCACGCGTACATACACAAATAACGACGAGTTCCTGTTTATTGACGAGTAGCAGGCTCGTGGGGTATATGACATTAAGCGTTGGTATACTACAACTACGATTGTCTCATTATAGGAAAATAGTATCTGTATGCTTCCCACCCACACTGCTACTACTTTGAAAACCCCCGTCGAACCTGAAAAAGTGTGGGCAACACCATAAGGTGGATGATGGTGGTTATACGAGCGTCGTGGTCGTGAAAAGTAGAGGACGGTGTGGACGCTAACGAGCAAAAGCCGGGTGTAGTAGATGGCGAATATACTAAAAGCTTTTCTGCTGACAATAGAATATCCTCCTAAACGCCAGAAATAAAGAGAGCCGGACCGCGAAAAAAGGGGGTATTATCCAGACTAAAACCGAAAAGTGTTGCTAGGAAAGGGGGTATGGTGTGTGGAGTGGTATGGAAAGTGACATGGGGAAGTATTAATGGGTGTAATTGTATGTCGTATGAGCGTGAAAAAGGTGGCTCGCAGGTAGTTTGAATGGGTCGGCTTCCAGGTCATGGTAAACATGACTGAGTGGACGCCCTGCTCGTCGATGAGTCGAATGGGAAAGATTCTTCAGCGAAGCGCGGCAAATGCGAGCCGGAAGAAGGCGCTCAAGGTTGGTTACCTCAGGCCCAAGACTTTATCCAAATGGCGGGGCAGATGTTGAGCCATGGGTGACTGCCCTTTCCGATGATGCTATCGGTCGAAGACGAGGGCGTTCACCACGTAGCCATGCTTCCAGCCTTGCTCGGTGAGGGGGAGGTTCTCTTTGAGAATTTTGCCCATGAATGCAATGCGTACTTTCTTCGTCGCGGGGAGCTGGTATGTGTCAGTAAGCCATATAATGATGGATGTGAATCCAAGGTATCTTACCCCCGACTCGGTTTGTATCTTGCGGGCAACTGTAGCGACGCTGTCGGACTTCACAAAGCTGACAGTCACATCGCGTGCCGTTTCGCTCAATCGAGCTAGCACAGAAAGCTGGTCGCGCGCATCGAGAACAGCCTTGCCCTTCTCTTCCTTACGCTTCACATTCTCGTCCTCGTCAAGCTCTTCCGTTGTTTCATCCCCACCGGCCAGGTCGTCTTTCAGATCCCTCGTCGAAAGGCCCTCGTCCGTGCCATCAATGGTGGCATCATCCTCCACAAGATTCGTGGGGTCGGCAACCACCCATTCCGACAACGGGTAGTAGCTGCCTAGCTCATCGTAAGCACCTTGCGCCAGGTCTCCAGTGGGTAGCGTGATCTCCGCAGCATCGAGAATGCTCTGAGCCGTGGCGAGGCCATTTGTGCCGTCCTCGGCAGCGCCCTGGCCGACGGGATCCCAAAGGACCTGCAGCGCGGCGTGAAGTGACTGCCACACCTCGGGGCGGCCAGTGACACGGGTGTCGAAGAATTCGGTGCGCTCATGATCGAGGGCGGCTCTGGACCAGGCACGGCCCTTGGAGGTCCAGACATGTCGGCGGAGAGGCTTGTTGATGTGCTTGTCGAGAGGCATGCTGCTGTGGCGATGACGGCGACTGCGACTCGACGTCTGTGTGGTTTCGGCAGCGGAATCATCGTTGTCACGGGCGCCGGCCGAGGTTGAAGGGTTGATTGCGCGGGCTGAGCCGGTGTTGGTAGGCCCGGGATAGGGTGAGTTGGAGCCCTGAGGGCGGGAGATGCAGCAGCCCTACAGGATGATCAGTCAGTCTGAGGGTTGACAAGAGGTATGCGACGACTACGGTGTGTAACTCTGCATTGCGCTTGGACACTGAGCTTGTGCTCCCAACGAGACGCACAAGATGGTCCGAATTGGGAGAGGGAATATTACCATTTTAACAGAACGTCAACGGCACGAGACAAGTGTGCAGGCGCGGGGTCAGTGTTTAGCAGGTCAAAGTACTTGGTGCCATCGCCTGAGATATCTCGATGTTGCGCAACCTGGACGGCGACCGAGGCGAAAGTGTATGTACGTGCGGTCTATCGTGTAGAAGTGGGCGCAAAAGCTGTGACTCTTGGAAAGGAGTATTTCCTAGCCAAAATAAAGTGAGGGGATGAAGAGGAGAGGAAAGACAGGAGGAGGCAAGATCGGGCGATAGGCTTTGGAGGTCTGGACCCTTGACGTGATGACCTCTTTCTTGGTTGGTCACAGCTGCGGGTATGTGTTGGTGCCAGAAAAGATTGACAGGGTAGGGTACGTATAAGTATGTATAAATGTACGTATATATGAGGAGGGGGAAGAAAAGTAACGAGCGAATAGAAGGGTGTGAACTGAGTAGTAACTAATAAGTAATAGTGAGAGGCAGGCACACCTTCAAATGCAGGTGAAAGTATCCGTAAGGTGATGGATGGGAGGGACGAGGAGGAGCTGAGGTAGTGTAAATGGTGCCGGGGTTACCTTGGCCACAGGGGCAGCGACCAATTAGATAGGAAAGAAAGCGATGGCCTGGGCTGGAGTGACGAAGGAATGACTTCCACCTTCTCTATCTTCTGTCAATTCTTAGTGTAGTGTAATGCGGGAAGGAATCCAGCAGTCTTCAGTGGTTGCAGTTCCCCGGAATAGGATCTCGGCTAACAGTGACAGTGGGCAGGGGTCAGCTTTAGTGTGAGACACCCTTTCCAATTTTGCTTGTTTTCACTGATGTTCTGGACCGTTGAGTGTACCTGTTTCTGTATTCGATTTGATTTGCTTGTTGCTTGCAGAAAAGATACATGGAGAAATAGAGAGGCATCTACTCAAAAAGCATCGTTCGCACGTGAGTTTTCTACTCTTTGAGATGGTTCAGGTACTCTCCCACTCAATCACTCACTCGACAAAGAAAGGGAAGAAAAAAAACTCAATTGATTCACACAATAAAAACGACCTCATCCAGCACGGAGCTCCCGTCAGCTTCATTTTTTTTTATTTTTTTTCTCTTCTGTTTTATATGCCCATTTTTCATTTTATTGTCTCGTCTTCGTCCACCTTTTCCCGCTGTTGACAATAAGCGCCTTGGCATGGACCCATCAGTCAACACAGGGTCCCCTAGCATTATTTAGCCTGGCTCCATCGCTTGCTTCATGAGGGCCAACCCCTCCGCTGAAGCTCCAATAGCGTGTTGTCTAGTGGCCGAGGTTGCTGAGCCACAGTGACATTTCACGACGCCTGACACGAATATACTCTCACATCACCTACACTCTCTTCAAGACTAAAGGCTGTGTTTTTTTTTTATTCCCCTTTTCCTTGAATCCGGAAGCCGTCTCGATATACACGGCTGCGTCATGAGCCATCCATCTGCCGAGCCAACTGGTGAACTGCGACTCGAGACCCAAGACCAAGACCCAAGACCCAACCCAGCACTGCCTAAGAATGGAGACCCGAATCGGGCCTGTCTCGTATTGTCCATTCCGCCCAATTGAGACGCCCTGCCGAATATCCATTACCCATACGGAGCTCTCCGTTACTAATGCAGTCAAGAGATCTCCCCGGTCGAGACCAAATTCAAGATCTTGTATGAGAGAGAGCAACCTCATCTCTCATCTTATGCCGTCATTTGAGTTCTTCCCACTCGGCCATTAAAAATCGCCAACCCTTTTTGTGGGTTCGTTCGTCAAGGCCGATATCGAACCAAGGACATCCTCACCAGATTGAATCGCCCGTCCTTTTCAGATGAACTGGTTGTGCCCATCCCTGAACATGCAATTTTGTGGCTCCATCAGACCACGGCACCTCCGTGCCATGTCGAGCTGTTTCGGCCGCTGCGCGTGGACGTCCATCCTTGAACGCGTGCAAATGGACCCAGTATTCTAATTGTCACCCACCAAGCGGCCGATCGCCGTTGAATGACGTCGAAATGGTCTTTCGGTACAACATATCGCTGTTCCATGAGTGCTCATCATCCTGGGGTATGATTCCATCGCCGAGTCGATGCGACGGTTGTTCGTTCAAGGGGCTGAGTGCATTGGCAATTGTCCGTTACCCAATAGCAATCACCACAAAAACCCACGGCAATTCTTACTGCCACAAAGACATGGCACCATCCGGCCTTGTTTGCTCTTGTCCTTGGCATCGTCGTCTTCCTCAGACACGCCGTCGACATAATCAAACGTGAGTTGCTCGCCAGCAGGGATATCTTCGAGTGCAAACATGGCGATGTCGTGAATGTGCTTGTCGGCGTGGTCTCCCACACGCGCAAAGATGCGCAAATTGGGCTCGCAGGAATGGTTGATGAACCGTGTCGGCCCAGACATGAACTCGCCGTCGATTTCGAGCGGATTCCCCCGGAGTCTGTGATCCGGAGAATCCGGGTCGGTGAACTTGTCCAGGGCAAACAGATACACGTCCTTCCGCTGCGCGATATCCGATTCGTCACGGCGACGCTGCGCTTCTTCGGGCGTGATGATCTCGCCAATGTACTTGTCAACGAACTGACCCTTCTTGATATCGACTAGCGAGCGCACACCTGCGAGATGTTCGTCAGCCTCTCTTCGCCATGCGACCATACGAAACCGACAACCCACCCCATCCTGTATTTTTTGTCCGGTAAATCTGCAGCGGCACTTTTCGGCCCCTCTCGACAACACGGTTCGGACAGTCCGCAGTGCAGGCACAGCCATCATGGCACTCGTAGATGGGTCGCTTCGACTTTAGGAACTTGGATCGCAGCAGCCCCGCCTTTGCGCCGTGCATGTGGTACATGTAGACCTTCTTGCGTGCCTTGCCCTCGTCGTCCGAATCGTCTTCTTGCTCCTGTAGACATAGGCAACCGCGGTATTGGCATTCTTCGTCGTCACGGCACTCGCAGCCTGTTCGGAAACTATCCTCTGCAGCTTGGACGCCGTCGCCGAGCCTCGAGGCCTGGAGGAAGCGGAAGGTAGCCGGAATGACAGCGTCGTCCTCCTTGTTCACGATTGTGATCGGGTATTCCCTGTTGTTGGGGAAATCGCGAATCTGGCACCAGTGACAGATCTCTACCTCCTTTTCGTGAGCCTGCAGCACGAACAGGTTAGCTGCTGGGTAGAACTAATAGATCAGGGATTATTTGGGAATCGTACAAGCATTCTATCTTCCGTAGGCGGCACAAAGTCCCCATGATACAGAAAATGGCGCAAGGTGGCCTCCTCCATCTTGCCACGCTTTCTTATTTAGCTTTTCAAGTGAGAGTCAGCATGCTACTGCAGAATCGCAAAGTGCTCGACGTGCTTGCTGTAGCCTTTCCGTTTGTCGGAGCGACGGCCGAAACTGGGCAAACCACTTTACGCGACGCGTCTAGCAAAGGACCTAGTATGACTAAGCAGACAAGGCGGGGCATCATTCACCTTCTCACCTTGGGACATGCTCGGTCAACATTCTTCACCTTTGACCTACAACACCACTGCAAATACGATATGGATCTTCATAATGACACATTCGGTACTATGAATCGACATTTGTTTTTAACATATTAAACATTTGACTTTTGTATAAAGTCTGTTCCTCGTTTCCATACAATTGTTCGACTACCCTTTAGAACTTGGGTCTGTTCTTGCACTGAGGCTTGAACGTCGAACCAAGCTCACCCCATTTGATGTTGCTGAACGTCACCACAGGCGAAGGCTCGACTTTGACAATGTTGGAAGGGAATCCCTCGGTCTGGTCACAAGGACCGGCCTCTGGCGCGCCGTCCAACCACCTCATGGCACCACCCTCGTCCCACTTGGCTGGTGTTAGCTGAGAGATTCTACCCGATAGAAACAATTTCGCACTTACCCAAATGCTGAACGCAAGCACCATGCCGCGGTCAAAGGAGTCACCCATCTCGCGGTGGGCACCGAGTTCCATGAATCTTCTAGAGCCGGTAGCCGCGCAGAATTCGTCATTGAGGTAGTTGACCTGCGGCAGGTCCGGGTTGTTGACGGTCTCGCTGCGGATGAGGCGCCCGTCCTGGATGTACAAGCGGTGAATCTCGGAGAGCTCGCCAGCCTCGTTGGCGGGGAACTGCGTGATCACGGTGAAGGGCCTCGTCGTGTCGACCTTGAACTCGGGGCCGCGGCCGTAGGTTCCCGGAGTGTTCACGCGGTACGGGTTCCAGGCACAGCCGTTCTTGTCGCAGACACCCTCGAAGGCGCAGTCTTCGCCCTCGCAGAGGTACACGCCCGTCTGGTTGCACGGGTGGGGAGCAACATGTACGGCGCGGGAGTTGGCTTCCCAGATATCCTGAAAGGCGTGTCAGTCTGGTTGTGAAATATCGAAACCATCTACGTTGCTTACCATCTCGTTACAGCAGCTGCCGTACCCCTCGATGTTGGCTTCACCGTTGATGAACGGCGTCGTGTAGCACTGCGCGTCACAGTATCCAGTGCCGTGAGTGGCACCACCCGGGTTGAGCTTGCTCCTGCCGCCGTCGGCGTACATCTCGGACAGATACAGCGCGCTGTTCATGCCACATGGCAGCCGGTTGACATCAACGTCGAAAGTGAACTCCTGGCCCGTAAGGTGCATCATCTCATAGTTCTTCTTGGACGAGTCAAGAAGGTACACACGAGGGGACACCATGGCGCCGTTACGAAGCTGGTGCATTGTCATTGACGCGCCGTCCGTCGTGACACCCACGCGACTGTAGTCGTCAAGGCCCTCCTGGACGCAGTTCTGAGCGCATGCCTCCTTGGTCGGGCATGCCGTCGCGTTGGGTGGGTTGCCCCAGGAGCCGCAGCTCGCGCCGTTGGCCTCCTGGTAGACGTTGTGGGCAAGGGAATCGAGAACGACGAAGTTGTTCACCTCGGAGCAGCCGCCGGCCTTGGTGCAACGCCAGGTCTTCAGTGGCGGGTGGTTCTCCTCCGGACCGACCTGGCGCTGGGCGGATGCCAGGCCGAGCAGGAGAGTAACCAGACCAAACCTGGAGAAGCTTGGGGCCATGATGAGGTGGAGGCGGCGTCTGTCCGATTAAAAGGACAATTGGATACACTAAGAGAAATGCGAGTGACGATTGCACAGGGAGCGTACGGGGGAAAAGGAGGTCACATCATGGCGATGGCGCAAGAGGACTGGTCATTCATATATCCGGAGGGACTTCCCGCTCCAGCTTGAGGATCCTCATATTCTTTCCCCTCCTGCTCCCGCATCATGATTCTTTCTCGGGTAGGCAAAATTACAACACCTCCGCACCCGGGCAAGAATCTCATGTCAAGCACATGCGAGTCCAGTCCCGTTGCGATTGAAGGAGGCTCACGTTCCGAACTTTGTGCCGGGTCGGTTAAGCGCTTTGCCGTGGATGATAGCAAGGGGTCTGGCAGTTTTGGCGCAGATGTACGGCAAGTTAGCCACAAACGGGCTCAGAGTGCTCCGGGGGGGCGGCAGAGAGGCAGAGAAACAAGGCCATCGTGAGCCGTTCGTGGCTTCACGGTATGGCGGGCCAGGAACCGCATCGCGGACGGCCTTGGCGACTGGTTCGATGCAACGCTGCCTTCCGGTATCGACCTAGTGCAGACGGGGCCTGCATCACGACTGGCCCAGCCATTGATCAAAAACTGCCTGCTCATCCAGAGACCATTAGCCGACTGCCATGTTCCTGACAGACGGCGAGGCACCACATCCACCCGGGGTTTTTCCACCTTGAGTGAGGTTCGTTCAGTTGGAGTGATTTGGAGTTTTTGGAGATGTAAGAAAGCGGGGAAAGGCCGATCAAAGACGGCCGGCTTACGGGCATCCTAGTCGAGGTTCCCCAGTTCTCCGCATGAAGCTGTTGCAGGGGCAGAGCCGGGGGGAGGTGATCCGATCTATGGAGCCAAACAGCGACCAGAGTACCAATGGAGGTTGAAAGGAGTAGCATCTCCGGACCTGATATTGCGATGAGCATTCGGCCACTTTGCGTTGGATTGCAACTCTGATGGGAACGGGTCTTACCGATCAATGCTTGTGTGGATTATTGGAACGGTCAAATCAAAACATACTCAGCATAAAAGTCAAATAAGGATGCGAAAGCAAAAACAAGCATAAACTGTTCAGCGAATAATCAGGCCTGGACCTGGCCTCCCTGGTGGTAACGGAGGATGGATCTCATCTCACTCTGTTCATCCATCCACACTCTCACTCTCCCCCCTTTCTCAGTCAACCTTTCCTGACTGTCGGATATACTCGCACACACACACACGCACACCCAACACAACCAACTAACCCTGACCTCGACAACGGGCCTCACGTCGGAAGAATTCAGCGCAATCTCCGCCGATAGAATCACATCCCGCCCTGGCCCATCCTGCAGTTTCCCAATATTTCCAATTCTTCCGCCTTTGCCCGGCTGGGCAGACAGCTTGCCTACTGACTTTTTCTCGTGAACCTCAGACCACCACCCACTTGGGAGGATTCCCCCCAAAATTGAAGGGGCTCTGCATGCCAATCGCCGCGAAGGATCTTAGCAGTTTGATTACGCAGTGCATAGTAGACCTCTGCACAATTTTGATGCAAGGCACAAACCCTTTTTCCCCTCTCTCTCGGTCTGCCAGCCCCATAACTCACCCCCTCATCCGCGGTGTATTCTGTATGCGGTAACTGGTTCCGCAGATTTAAACCCTTCTCGTCTGCTCGCTTGACCCGGCACGCTGGGCGCCGTCTACGGGTCCAACGTCGTAGCGATATTCATTTCCCCCTTGTGATGATCGCTCCTCACGTCAATTATTTGTCCGTAGTGTCTCCGTATAGAAACTCCGAGACCAGCTAATACGATCTGGATATTATCAGGGGAAAAAAAAAAAAAAAAAAAAACATGCCAATCCCGTTCGCCGGAAGAAACATCCGTGCTTCCTGATCAGTGAATTTGAGATGTCGGTAGATGGGGAAATGCGAGATGCGAACACCTCGCTTTCGGGACGGTGATTGATATTGACGTCAACGATCATTCAGTCATCTTCTTAATTATCCGCTATTAAATCAACTCCAACTGCTATGTAACCGCCCGCTAACCCCCCCCCCCCCCCCCCCCCCCCTGGACTTACCCTATTGCCAGTTGTTCTTAATGACATCCACAATCACACCGTGATCCTGGTCCTGCTTCAACCCGCTGACGACGACCACGGCGACGACGCCCTCGACGCCCTGCACGCGGATGGGCACGCCGCCGCCGTGGATGGCGTACTTCCCGGCCTGCTCGGCGCCCATGCCGAACAGCGCGGCGAAGCGGACCTCGTCGCCGGCGAACTTGTTGTGCAGCCACCACGTGCTGGACCCCCAGCGGAGCACGCTGTTGCGCTTGCGCTGCACCCAGGTCTCGTTGTCGGCGAGGGTGCCGGAGCCGACGGCCGTCTGGAAGAGGACCTGGCCGCCGCCGTTGGCGAGGGCGATGGAGACCACGGTGGGCTTCTTGTTGACGAGGGCGAAGGGGAGGAGGCGGGCGTGGAGGAAGTGGCCGAGCTCGAAGGCGTCTTCGGCCGTGAAGGACGAGAGGGTGAAGGAGTCGCATTCCTGCTTGATTTCGTCCATCTGTTTTGGTTAGTTTTTATACGGTTGTTGAGTGTTGCAATTTTTGAGAGCTTTGTTATTGTAGTGAGGCAGTGTCGATACTTGGAGAGGAAAAATAATGAGGAGAACAAGGTAACATGAGGATGATGAGTGCGAGGAAGATAACTGGTAGGGATATGAGAGCCAGGGGGATTGATGGTTTTAGAGGTGAGGAGGAAAAAAGAGTACGATGAGAATACAGTATGAGATAATTCATGGTACACAATGAGAAAAATGAAAGAGACAGTAGGGAACGGCGAATGCCATTCGGCAAAAGAAAACTCACATCGGAGGGCGGCAGAGGAATCGGGACCGGAGCGGCGCCGGGGTTACGGACGGCCTCGAGGGACTTCTCCAGGCCGAAGCCTGCGGGGTTACGACGGGTCCAGACCTTCTGAGACATGACTGCCGGTTGCTGTTGCGGTTGCGGTTGCGGTTGCGGTTGTGGCCGGGGGCTGCTCTGTGCTCTCAGCGTTTGTGATTCGAAAACGAGGTCGTTTCTCTCTGGCGAAGAATCTGCAATCGATACACTGGGGGTCGATGAAGGCGAGTCCTCTTGTAGCTTTTATATTTTGGTTTCGTGTTGGTCAGTCAGTTCCAGTTTCTTCTCCCTTTGTCTCTCTCCCCTTTTTCAATGCGGCCGGCGGACGTTTTATTTATCATCTCCACCGTCCACCACCACCATGTGTGTGTGGTTCCTCCGCCGATACACCAAAAAAAGAGCCCACTTAGTGTCCCATTCTTCAACTCTTACAATTACCCCATTAGGAAGAGCGCAAACAAAAACGTACCGAGTCTGGAATCTCCTGCGCCATCGACTGCAGCAGGATGGGCTGCTGCGTCAATGACGTTGCCGTCGCCGGCGTCTCCAGCGTGCCACCACTACCGACGATGCTCGGTCGCGTATTTCTCCTCTGCTGGGGAGTGGTGGTGGTGGTGGTGGTGGTGTTCTTGACCTTGTTATAACGAAAAAGTCCCCATTCTCGTAGACGTCGCTGGAAGGTCTTGCTGTTCACTTCGATGCCCTTGGCCGCGAGGGACTTGATCATGCTCTCAATCGTCTCGCGCCGGTTCCACGCCTCGATGATCTCGCCCTTGTAGGGGTCGAGGTCGAACTTGGGGCGTCCTGGAGGCATGAGGTCAACTGTTCCATCTGTGGCGGGGGTTCGTGCATGAGCCCGAGTAATGCGGTTTCCTCTTGACGACTGAGGGCATCCCAAACGTCCGTCTCTGGGTAGGGTTCCGAGAAAGGTCGACGCGCGACAATGAGCGTGTTCGTGCTTTTGCGCGCCCTGTTCCGGCTTCTGTCCGCTGTGGGGGGTTTCCATTTACCCCTCAGCGTTTTTTTGGGGGGGGGAGTGCCGGGCTTCTCGGCGGGACCCACATGAGCCCCAGTTCAGCTCCGAGACAATGGCCGATACTCCCCGTGCCGCCACCATCATATCATTGTGGGAATGGTGTGGATATTTGCCATACAGCATGTTGGCGGTGACCTGCCGACATCCCCCATGTTTTATATCATGTTGCTGACAAACCTGTTATTATGATCTGTTCGAAGTCGTGGAACATACTTAGTAGGTTGGGTTTCTTCAACTGTCCCTCTGATGAAGCCTCTTGTTTGTTCCTGGATTTGTACTAGTTGAAAAGGAACAACCGTATCACGCAGATGACTTAAATGATTAATCCTTATAATTCCTAGGATTGTTATATTCTATGTGGACTAAACAGACTAAAGTCGCTTGTATAAGTGAAGAACGGCTGCAGTCATTCCGCGCACTTAGATCAACACAGCGCACGTGTAAAAGTGAGCTATCAAGATCACGATGAAGATGAAAGACAACAGTTAAGAAGTTCAACACACAAACACAGTGTTCATTTCCATCAGGCGCAAGATGCATTTAAGATACTGAAGAGCTTGGCTGGGCTGCTTCGACTTCAGGCTCAGCATTGCGTGCAAAAAGTGTACTTTTTCAACCACTTGGTTCTGTATTCACAACGTTTGTTGTCATAGGCAATATCTCACGTACAGGGCGATTCATCTATTTCCGAGGTAGCGAGGACTTTGTCGATTAAATACCCAGACAGAAAGCAAAAAAAGGGAGTCTAGGTAGTTTGAATGTTTCAGTGATGGACCACTTTAAGCTATTGGTCGAAGTCCTTACTAGTAAATCGGTATCATTGTGCCATTATTCTTGCGAAGCTAGCTTTTCTACCTCATTCGATGGAATATAACACCCCTTATGACCGATACAGTCGATTTCTAGTGGCCTACTATATCAACAGGAGAAATCACTACAGTCATGCTACCAATTGGCATCAGGGCAGGCTAGGTCCGCGGGTAGTCGAAGCTGTAACAAACCGCAGATTGTATAGAAACATTAGTCTATTGATAACTTCTGGTTCCAGCTCCCTTACGCTCTGCTAGCTAAGGTATAGCTTACTACTTCCCCAAGTTTTCAAGACCCAGTTCCTCGAATACGGTTCAATACATCGCGGGCCACACCCCACTCCGTCGCCCAAATCGAGTTATGATCCGCCCCGTCGATAACCCTGCAAGAGAACTGGATGACATCGTCATCCTTGCCGTCCCTGTCCCAGCAGCTCTTAAACCACTCCGGGCCGGCGGTGCCAGGGTCGCCGATCATGGAGTCCGTCTGGCCAAAGAAACACTCCACATTCAAGCACCGATCCTTCTCTGCTAGAGCGCGCCTGAGACGAGGCACCAAGGTATCGTAATCTCCCCAGTCCGACCATCCGGGTTCACCCCGAGTTTTCTGCATGAGCAGAATTGACTCGTTCGATATGCCATTGATAGGCCTGGCGTAGATAAAGTCGGCTAGTTTTGGGTCCAAAGCATCTGCAAAGGCTTTTGCCGGATCGTCGGAATTAGCGGCAGCAGCAGCAGCGGCGTCTCCAGTTTGCGGAGCAGCAAACCACCGCCCAAAAGCAGAGGCGAGGCCAAAGCTGGTGTCTAAAATAGGATCTGCAACGACAGAGAGAAAGGAAACAAGCTTATCTGCCTGTCCTATCAGGGACCTGGGAAGGGCGTGCGTTGCTGACATATGCCAGATTCGAGAATGTGAGGGGTGAATCCATGGAGCCCCAACAGCAAGATAGGCATTATCCGGGTACAGCATTTCAGGATAATGAAAGATAAAATCCAAGGCGTATATTGTACCGCCACTTTGCGCGCCTACATGTACGTGACGGATCCGTAGGTGTTGTAACAATGCAAACATGGCCTCTAGTGATATGTCGGTCAGCCGCAAATAAAACCAAGATAGAGGCAAAAAAGAAAGTTTTGTATTTACTACGCCAGAAAGCTAACCTCCCCTCTGCCTCTACATCAGGTGTATCGCCAAAGCCCGGCCGGTCGGTGCTGATGATACGGACTCCATGTTCTTTAGCCAGAGCATCCTTGGCTATGAAAAGCATTCGAGACCCAAGAAGAGGTCCGAAAAAGAGAAAGACCTTTTCCGCCTGGGCATTCTCCGTATTACGGTACCCAAAGTCTGCGTATGAAATGCGAAAAGCCTCGGGGCGGCCCTCAGCAGGATCCGCGGGATACGTGAAGACTCGGCTAAACCGTTCATCAGCCAAGAATTGTTCCACGTCCTCGTCCCGGACAGTCATCGTGGGTAGACAGAAACCGACGGATACAAGGTAGCAAAAGATAGCCGCTAACTCGCACAGAAATATGATGGTGTTCAACGTTGATCCTAAGGAGAGGGGAAAGATAGAAATGCTGTTTATCTCCGTCTATAAAGGGAAGGAGGTAAGCCTCTAACCGGGATCATACGTTATGTATATACTAAGCCACTGAATCCCCTTACTGTGCCGCCTGGCATCACTGATAGTAGAGCCAACCTAATGTACCTAGTAACCCCTTGCTAACCTACCGTATATGGAAATGCCCCACTTTCATTCGTCTTGTTAAAATCCCCCTCTTTTCACCCTGTTCAGGACAGAGCCGCTCATAAACGTGTGACCAAGGACCCAAATCACTTTATGAGAGGTATGAAGATAGTGAACAAGTCACGGAGAATTTGATACATTAGGGTTCCGGTACTCTCTAATTAGATTGAGCGCCCTGAGAAAAGGCCCTCAAGAACCTCCAAGTGGCACGCAGATCACTCTGATCAGAAGTGTTGTTGCGTTTCGCTGTTGAATCGCTAAAGACCGGCGTGCTAAAATCTACAAGCTCCGATTCAAAAAGACAAGAGATGACACAAGGAAGAGTTTCCATAGCTTGGTCAGATAACAAACGATTCTCGCAACGAAGTTATTACAGCGTTCTTTTATCGAAGGATAAGTTGCCCATGTCTTGTAAACTTGCCTCTACCACAACTGCCCATCACGCGGCCGCGAGTTAAGCAATGGGAAGTGTGGTGACCGACGTCAGGCACGGGCGGCATCAACTAGGAACAAAACGGCTTGTATTCTCTAAGTGAGCGAGCGGAGCGAAGGACGCTTAAGAATACGGTCGCTGGAGCGAGGTCACGTGACCTCGCGGCCGAGACGCGGCAGAGTGGGTCCGGAGGCCCGGAGCCAGCACGACACACCCCCCCAGACGGCGCGTAGTCGTCTGGAAAACCGCGCCTCGAGGCCATATCGCTACTATCGCCTAGATACAAGATTATGAGGCTATTCAGAGCCTCTTGTGAATATATATATAACAAAAGAGAGGTGTTGTTGTATTCGCCTCGGTCTTTGTGCTCGAAGTGATGTGAATATGGCGAAATTCGCCCTTGCGCGCCGCCTGGCGCAATAATCGCACTTTCCTTTATTCAACCGTCGTACTTGCCTCTTATTATTGCCAGTTGAATTTTCTGAAAATCCTGCCTTCTGATTGGCCCACAACGTGGGTTGCCCATCAGTTATTATTTCCTCTGCCCGTTGACTCTTCTGCAGCGGTTCCGGCCGTGGCCGAAGCGGCTGGTCTCCGTGCTGCCATTGACAGCCTTGTTGGAGGACACTTGCCGGCGGCTGTTCTCCCCGCGTACAACGTCCTGATGGACACGTACGCGGCCTCCCTCCGAGGTCGTTAAAAGAGCCCGCCCTACGGGGCGTAAGTACGCTTGCTTTTGCTCCTTTGGGAGCGTATCATGCTTCCTGGCCAGGGGCCAAGTCAAAATTTAACTTTCGGCCTCCGGGCCAGCATTGCTCGCGCGCACCTGTTTCTCTTCGCTTCTTGTGACTTGTGCCCGAATGTCTTGTAGGTTTAGAAGTGCCCTGAAGTGTTCGAACTTCGCTCGGGAGAGTGCTTTTGTGAGACCGTCTGCTGGCATCTCGTCGGTAGGCATATATACCACGTCGAACGTCTTCTTGGCATACTCTTGGCGTAGCCACATGTTCTGTATATCAACGTGGCGAAGGCGCGTTGAGATGCGTTCCTTGTCGCCTACTACCAGGCGAATCGTTTGGCGATTGTCACAATGGATCTTCCATACGTCTCCGAGGTCTAGTTCAATATCCCGAAATAAGCGTTTGAGAGCGATGGTCTCCTTAGCAGTGTTTTCGAGGCTAAGGAGTTCCGCTTCTGTAGTAGAAGTGGTAACGGTATTCTGTCTCGCGGCTTTCCACTGAATGGGACCGCCGAACAGTGAGATGATGTACCCTTGAGATGAACGCCGCGTCTCTTCGTCGTCTGCGAACGAGGCGTCGCCCGCAATTAGGAGAACTTGGGCACCTGCACCCCCCGAGCTACCGAAGCAGAGCGAAAGGTAGCGAGTGTGATAAAGATATCTAATGACTTGGTTCGCGGCCTTCTGATGTTCGAGAGACGGGTTCGTTAGGAACCTCGAGAGTGTAGCGCAAGCGAAGGCGACGTCGGGGCGAATCATGATCGCAGTGTACAGAATTGAGCCGACCTTCTCTTGGTATTGCTTTACCTGGTCAGGGGTCGCTTCAGCGGTGTTCTTCTGGAGCGGGACGAATGGCAATGGTGTATGCGGCACGATCGAGTCGATAAGGTTGAATTTCTTCGCTACGCGTTCGATATATTGGTCGTGTGCGAGGTTAATTGTTCGCTTCTCACGGTCACGTATCACGCGAATGCCTAGATACCACTCGACAGGGCCTTGGTCCTTGAGTTCATACTCGGCTTTCACCCCGTTTATAACGTTTTGAGCAGCTTCGCGGTGGTCCCTATGGTATAAGACGAGGATATCGTCTACGTAGAAGAGTACCATCACTTTCTTGTCGTTTGAAGTGAAGAGACAGGGGTCTTCGCTTGCAGGCTTGAGTCCCAGGCGCCGCAGCGTTGATGAGAACTCCTTATACCAAAGGAGGGGAGCGTCTCGTAGCCCGTATAAGGCACGGCGGAGCTCGACGTACTTCCCGTTCTGTTTGAAGCCGTCTGGTAGGTAGCAGACGACAGGCGGGTCGTTCGGTCCTCTTGTTGCGTTTAGAAACGCATTGACTACGTCGAATTGGTCTACTTCAAGGTCGAATTCCGCCGCGAGCGCCATCGCTACTCTAAACGTCCTTGCTGCGAGGGTCGCTGCGTAGGTCTGTTCGAGAGGATGCTTCGCCTGGAGGTCGCCGCGGACGCAAATTCGTGCCTTGCAGCGGTCGAGGTAGCCGTCTTGATCAAGCTTGTAAGTGAACACCCACTTTAGAGGAATAGGTTTCGTAGACGCTTCGTGTTCGTCAATGATTTTCCAAGCGTCCATCTCCTCTAATTTACTTATCTCGGCTTGGGCCGCTTCGTAAAACAGGTTTCGGAGGTGGGTCGGCATTTTTTCAACACTTTTCCACGTTCGTGGGGGCTTTATAAGCTCATCTGTGTGTATTTTCACTCGCTGTGGAGTGACCGCTCTGGAGTGCTTCGCTTGGTGTATTGACGCGAAGACGAAGCAATGGAGCGTATAGTGGGCTTGGTTCGCTTCCTCCACAGCCTTCTGCTGATCAGGCATATAGGTATAGAAGAAAGTTTCCCAATTACGTTCCGTTTGTAGGAATGCGAAGTGTTGGGCGAAGCGAGGTGATCGTCTCGGTTTGCCCTGTTGTTGGCCGTAGTCCTTGCGGTTGTACACCCGCTTGGTCTTTATCTCGGGTTCGCGCCCGTTCCTATTATCCGAGTGTGGCCGCACCGGGTGAGTTGGGGAGTCACCCCCGAGATCATTACTCGAGTCGGCCTCCACGGCCGGTTCTCGTGGAGGTTCGTTGTTGGTCTTGACGTATATCACGTCTTCGACCGCCTCAGAGAGGGCTTCGTGCCCCGGGTCGGGAACGCCGGCGTCCATCGCTTCGGAGCTTTGTTGGCCGGTCGTTTGCCCGTCCGTCCCCTCCGGCGCTGCGGCCGGCTCAGGGGTCGGTTCCGGGGTGAGCAGGCCCTCTTCGCGTCGGCTGTTAACCGCGGAGCGTTTTACCGTTGTCTCTTCTGAGATTACGGTCGACGGCGCGAAGGCAGGTGGCAGGGGCTGCTCTTCAAGTGAAAATACGAGTTCGCTTGGTTTTGCGAGTCCGAGGAATTGGAGTCCTGGGTTCGCCGTAGCCGGAGGTTCCGAGATCTCCGTGGAGACTGTCTCGGCCACCTCCGCTTGTAAACTAGCTTTTGCATCGTCCTTCGAGTAGAACTTCGTCTCGTCAAAGGTAACGTTTCGCGTGATAATCACTTGATCAAGCGAGGGTATCCAGACTCTGTATAGGTTGTGAGCGTCCATAACGTAGCCCACCAGATATCCAATATGTCCTCGCGGTTCCACCTTGAAGTTACGTCTGTTCCTATCCGCTTCGCGGTCCTTTTTCAGGGGATAAGCCCTACACCCATACGCGTACGTCCAGCCCCAGTGGGGGCGAAGGTCGCGGGCGAGGCTCGCGCTGTATTGTGGTTGCCACCAGCGAAAATACTGTCGGAACCAGCTCTCTTCGACTTGAATTGGTGAGAGCCAAGCTCTTCGCTTCCGTGGTGACATATTGTACAGGTAGGCGGCTGCCATGACTGCTTCCACCCAGAGAGTAGTTGGCAGGCCCGCTGCGCTGAGCATCTTTATCGCTCGGGTTATTAATTCCTGGCCCGCTCGTTCGCCTCCGCCATTGGGTTCCTTGGTGTAGGGGGGTGTCTCTTCGATTTCAATCCCGTTATGCTGGGCCCAAAGTTGATACTTAGTTATTCCGTTTATCGCAATTACCGCGCGTTCTACGTCTTGTCTCAGCTTGCACAGGGTGACGCCTCGTTGGCGAGCGACCCATCGTTCGAAGTGCCTGAGAGCGTCGAAGACGAAGGTGTGCGATTTACTTACGCGCGGAAACGCGAAAAGACGACCGGTATATTCGTCTTTGATCACTAAGAGCCAGCGGTTCTTGTCAAAGCTTGTCGGGTAGTCGAAGAGATCCCATGAGACCCTATAGTACGGTCGAATTGCTTTCCGTTCAGAGGTTCGCCTCGAAATTAACTATTTCGCGTGCGCTGTCGCGCAGTATTCGCATTCCAGACGCGTGGGTCCTTTTATCTTTACTCCTCTCACGTTTGACACCATTCGTTCTAGTGCGTCTGGTGCGAGGTGACCCGAACGAAGGTGCCATAACCAGGCGTCATCATACCTATCAGGTGGTTTACGAAGCGAGAGTCGAGCGGGATCCTGTAGTGCAAGCACCAAATGGTTCACGATTCCTGCGTTACTCGAGGTAATTCGCTTCTGAGCAATATACTGGGAACCGGTCTTATATTCGAAGAAAGTAATGTTCATCTTCCTAACAAGATGCTTGACTACCACGCTGTTTTTGTACGTTCCCTGGCGAAGTGTGTTATCCAATCCGGAGTACTAGATGCCTGTCTTTCGGAGGAGTACTTCCGAAACGATATTAACGTGAAAGTTCTCTACGTATCCAACGTTATGGAGCGTAAGGTCTGCTGTGAGGTCTCCATCAGGGCCATTTAGTGCTTTTGGCAAGATCCACGTTCCCTTTGCTAGGATTGGGTACGAAGCAGTTCCTGAGTCGACTCTCTCGTCGCCGATGCACGTTTTAATAGAAGACGATTCAAGCAAGTCAAGGTTGTTAACAAGGTGCGTAGCTCCGCAGTTGTCGAGAACCGTGCTTCGTGACAGAACATGGGGTCCCGTCAGTGGGGTTGCAAATACGTTTGGTTGGTCGTAGTCCGAGTCGAAGTCGTCCGAAATTTCCCGGAGAAGTTCACGGCTGATCGTTACTGCGTGGATATTTCTCTTCAGTGTCACCTCTGACTCATTCTCCTCTTGCTGCGATTTCGCTTTAGAGCCGGTATTTCCTGACGACCTATTGCGAGGCGGCGCTGGGTTTCGGAAGCTGGGAGGTTCCGTCGCCCAGATCCAGCCTTTCCGAGCTAATTCGGCTCGGAGATCATAGTTCTCGGACTGATTGATACGCTTTCGAATCTCCTTGCACTCGTCCCTCGATAGTTTGTCCTGGGAAGGCTTGATTCGCCCGGTAAGGGCGTACTCCACGCGGGTGCACTCCAGGGGGTTTGCGTTGTGGGGTTTGTTGCAGGGGCACGCTTCGGATTTGCCTTTTCCTTTCGAACCGCTTTTTCCATCTGAGATTGCTTCGCTCGGGCGACCGGCAAGGGTAGCGTACACACCGCTTGTTTTACCCCGATTTTTGTCGTATAGGGTGTCCTCATACAGCAAGTCCTCCAGCATATCCCTGTATTCACTTACAGTAGGGATGCGGTCCCCCTTGCGCTCCATTTTGACAATTTCAGTGAGCTCGGAGGTCGCCCAGGAGGGGGCAAAACGGTGTCCCACCGCTCGAAGAAAAGTTTTCGAAGCGAGCGTTCCCTGGCTTTCCGGTATTCTGAATCGAAGCGCGCGGAGCAGTACTCGATGGAAGTCTCTTAGCCAGGTCTGGGGGTTTACGCTTGTGTTGGCCTTTTCCAGGAGGAGAAGGTACTCTTCGCGAACTGTAGTTTGACTGCTTGATTTGCTTGGAGCGTAGCGTTTCCGAAGGTACTGAATAAGAGCACGGAGTGAACGTTGGTTGTTCGCTAGGATCTCCGATCTCGCAGCGTAGAGGATGTCCTTGTCGACCGTTTCCTTAACCCAACGCTGAATAGAGTCGAAGTCCCGCTCCCGACGAGTTTTGAGGACGTCGCGGCCTGATTTTGAAGCGAGGTAGTTCGTATATCTTTCAAAGATCCCGGGCGTGTTTTGCGTGAGAGTTGGTTGTGCTACAGGCTCCTGGAGTTCTTCCCCTGTATCGTCACTCGCTTCTGCCCTATGCTGGAGAATCGAATCGTAGGCTTTCCGCTTCCGATCATAGGTTCTACGCTGCTTTTCGTTCTGCTGCGTGATCCATGATTCGATCGAGAGTTCTTCATCGTCCTCTCTTGGGTCTGACGGAGACGTAGTGTCGTCTGGGTCTATGAGATCCCAGACGTCTGCTGCGTCGGCTTCGGCGTAGAGAGCGTCGTACCAAACGGGGAAGTCCCGGCGGCAGGTTAGCCTTGTCGTGCTCGTGAGAACAGATATCTGCGACGATATCTTCGTTGTAGAAGTTGCTGTTTGAAGCGAAATTTGTGAAGACCGTAAGGAGTTGATGGTGTTCCGCCACGAACCCTTCGTCTGGTTAACAGTAGAAAGGGGTGATGTGGTAAGCTGGGCTCATAACTGTGGTGACCGACGTCAGGCACGGGCGGCATCAACTAGGAACAAAACGGCTTGTATTCTCTAAGTGAGCGAGCGGAGCGAAGGACGCTTAAGAATACGGTCGCTGGAGCGAGGTCACGTGACCTCGCGGCCGAGACGCGGCAGAGTGGGTCCGGAGGCCCGGAGCCAGCACGACAGGAAGCAAACTTGCCGACGCCAAGGCATGCATTATAGGAAGATACACTGTTAGGATAGTCTTAAAGGCAGGCGATAGTCCAAGGAAAGTTGATAAAGACTTCGAGTGCATGAGCAATCATATGTTTGTTGGCATCTCAATCACGGCCTAAAGCCCCCAGCTCCTGGGGGCAGGCAATTGAGTTTGATTCACTCCTAGTAAGTATCGCCTCTGTGATTGTTACAATTCTCTTTGCGAGGCCGGGCCTACAACATTAAGCGGTAAGAACCGTGATAGATAGATGTGCTGGAAATGAACAGCCAGAAGGCAAGAGACAGCAACAACAGCGTAATCGTAGGTCTAGTCAAAATTGTCCTACTCATCTTGACGTTCTCATGTTGTTGCCATCTAGGACGTCTTGTGATGGGTACGGTCTGCACGTGATTTGCGTGTAGCCCGTTACTGTTCCATAGAACTGTGACATAGACGACAAGGTTCACCACCTCGGCGGTTGAGTAATCCAACTGAAACAAATGTAAGGTTCATCCTAGGTAATCTTCAGAGGAAGAAACCGGATGAAGCCATATAGTTTATGGATCCATGTACCGTTAAGCTTTAATACGTTCAACCTAGCTTCACCAAAAGGTCTTGAGAAACAATCACGACGATGACAACAACCCAACATCAAGTCCTTTCGGACAATGGCCGGTTGGCCCAATGGCAAGGCGTCTGACTACGATCCACCGTGGAATCAGGAGATTCTGGGTTCGACCCCCAGGCTGGTCAAGTTGAATTTTTGTTGCCGACGCTAAGAATCATCATGTTGTGCTAAACGCCATAGTGATGCTTAGGGCACAAAATTTTGACACCACCAGGGAAAATCCCCACATCACACCGTTTGCTCAATGTGGGCCGGAGCACGGTTCGTTGGCTGTTTGCTGGGCGCAAAGCTTGCGTTCATTCGACTGTAAGGATGTAACTGCGGGAGTTGAGCGAGGTATAGAGCGAGATCGGATGCCGCAGTATTTCGCGCCGTCTTTTCGTTAATCCATCGCGGGACTAGCTTTTCACACATACTACGTCACTCGGGGGACCTGTGGACGTCAAATCATGGGCCCGCCAGTTTCTTGGAGTGCATGGACGGATAGTGTTTTCGTGATTAAGATCTGGGGAACGGACGGCTCAAAGCCAAGGGATGTTGGAATCCCGCCGGCACCACCACTCCGTCGGAGACCTTTGAGCACCGGCAACGCCGTGGAACCCTAGTCGGCAGGCTCGGCTTGTGGGAGGCGGCTTGGCTGCCAACTTGTCCGAGGCTTGACGTGCCGGGATTGTGACAGGGGCTCCATGCGTGTTTAGCGTCGCCGTTGAGGCGCGTCTGAGGTGTGTCGATGGAACAAGAATGGAGAGGCACCATCATACCATAACTAGCATTGGCACGCTCGGCATGCTTTATGTATGAACCCAAGGCATAGCGGCATATGTTCAATATAGGCAAGACGATCAGCATCCAGCGCATAAAGTAGAATCAAACTCTATCAATCGGCAAGTGGAACCGCTCACAATCACACACCCTTGACAGTAGCCAATCTCCTTTCGGGGCCTGACTCGTATTCAAGCCGGGATGCTGGTTTCAACTGGGACCTGGATATTATGCGGACCCCACATGATTGGGAATTTCCCCTGGCTAAAATGCCACAGGATACTTCGATCACGACAGAGGCCAACGGAAAGAAGATGAGCCAGGTTGCTCCCTCCGGTCACTGGGTCAAAAGTGCCCCTAATCCCGCACTGGCCGGGTCTCCGGTTCTTCTCCCATTTGGGCTGAGGAGAACTGGAGATTTCAAGGATCTTTATCTGCACAGTTCAAGTGAACCGTGCCATCTCAAGCTCGGAAAGCCCAGAGGGAAACCAGTTGGTCCCTTTTCCTCTACCGTGGTCCCCGTGCCCCCTCCTCCACATCCGCCTACCTAAAACTCTTTACCGTCCCATAGTTGGCAGTTAACCGTTCTGAAACTGCCATCCTATTGCTGAACGTCTGAACTTGCTTGAGAGAGAGTCCAAGGAAATCCAATGTTGAGAAGAGTGTTATCCCAGGCGTTGCTGTCGTCGTCACTTTGCTAGAAATAACACAACCTATATTTCTCGTGGCGCGACGAGCGTCCAACGAAAGAACGACCGAAAATGTCTACGAGACGTCGAAACCGGATCATCGCGCCCTCGTCACTACTCATTTCATACCTCGCGTCCGCATCTTCCGCCGCCTTTCAGAACGACTTTTCTGCTTACCCAGCGGCATCACGGTCATGTCTGGACAAAGCTGCAGCCTCATCTGGCTGCACAGGTGAAACGGTCATCCAAATGAACTCTTGTCTCTGTGGCAATGGGGGAAACTTTGTGACGTCTTCTGCGACATGTGTGGCTAAGACCGCAAAGGACAAGCTGGGTGCTGTTTACGAGATGCTTTTGACGTCTTGCACAGACTCGAACACGCCATTGGCAGTATCTCAGGCCCAGTTTCTCGATGCCGAAGACGACGACGACGATGACAAGTCAACCACTTCTCACAGCACAACCTTTACTACGTCTACTACACCATCCTCGCCGCCACCGACAATCCCGACACCACCACAAGTTACGTCATCATCGACCTACATTCCAGTAACAACATACAAGAGTGTGGCCAACGGAGTCACAGTGACAATCACGAGGGGAGTCGATTCAGTACCGACTGGGACAAATGTTGGAAAGGGGAGCAGTACCAGTCCCGATGACGAGAACACGACAGACGACGAAGGGGGATCCAAACATGGCGTTCTTGCAGCAGGACTCGTTGGAGGACTAGCAATCCTTGCTGCAGTGCTCGCATTTCTCTTCTATCGACGACGGAAGCAACGCAGGGAGCGAGCCGGCGCCGCCGGACCGGGCGGGAAGTTTGGAGCCTTGTCCAGCGCAACAAGCCTCACAACGATGAACTCGCCTCCCCAGGGAGCAGCTACAGCTCAATACCACAACATAAATGACCAACGACCAGACACCGCCGGGACGACGCATATGAACATGGGCGCCGGCCAGTGGAATCAACAACATCAGCAGTACCAACAGCCGCAACAACAACAACAACAATACCAGCAAGGAAACTTGAGCCCGCAATATTGGCAACAGCAAAACGGGCAGTCCACAGGGAACTGGCCTTCACCAGTGTCAAACGGACCTGTTGGTACTTGGGGGGTTTCACCTGTTTCTCAGTACCCCCCGGGAACATCAAACGGATCGCCGTCCATGCAAAACGGCACTTGGAACGGCCAGTCTTCCACAATGCGGGACGGAACGTGGGATGCCCAAACATCGGCGGCCAATGGCACTTGGAACGCACACGCCGTGCCTGTCCCGGCTCCCATACCCCATCCCTCGACTTCTACGCACGCCCCCGTCTTCGAACTCGCCGGAGATAATATCCAGGCTGTCGAGGCGGATTCTACACCCATCGGCTACGCTCAGGGAGTACCCGCACAACAGCAACAGCTACAACAAGCACAACAACAACAACAACAACAATATTCTCAACCTTCATCAATACAAGCGACACCGCAACTTTCCTTAGCACATCCCGCACAGCCGGCACCCGCACATCACGGTATGCCGAGGCAGGTGGATGATGCGTTACAAATATCACAAGTAGAATTACCGCCGCCACGGTATACAGGACCGTCATCACCCAGATGGGTCAGCGAAGACAAGAAATTCGGATGATGACAGGGGTCCTCTTGGCGAGAAAGCTTTTCAGCATAATGATGTTTTATTAATCTTTTGTAATACTAGACTTTTCTGGCACCACTGCTGTCACGATGCCTAAGACAATACAACATTTTCTTGACTAGTACCACGAGTGTGCTCATGCTGTTATTTGGTGATAATTCCTCTCTCCCAATTGTAATGAATAACGCTTAGGGCCCAGTCATCTCATTTGCTCAAGCATAGTGTTGTATAGAAATCTTGATTGATTATGTTATCACGATTGATTATCATTCGCCATGTTGTATGATCAAGCAGTTTTCCATTTCAAAGCAGATATGCAAAAGTAGATGGATTTATGCATAATCTGGTGTTAACACTGGATTATGAGCGCAATACAGCGACATAATTGATTGACTGGGTCTGTTTTGATCAATTTGGCCAAATTGATGGTCCAAAAGGATCAATGGAAAAATTCCAAAAAGTCAATTGTCCCTGGCAAGGCTCGAACTTGCGACCTTTGGATGTCTCTATCTCTGATAGAGTCATATTCGGTGATATGAGACCAACGCTCTTCCAACTGAGCCACAGAGACCTTATTCATTGGTTATTTCAAACACGAACTTGCTTAAGAATTATGGGGATCTGACTCGTGTCCTGTGGGGATCGGAGAGCCCGTCCAACGTCTTGTGCATTAGACAATGTTCCTACGTCGCTTAACGCAACTAGCTTAGTCTGTAAAGCACCCCAATAAGTTCAACAAAGTGCTGACGTAGGACATCTATACTTCACTCAGTAATGGTTGGTCTTATTAGCGTCACTTTGCAGTAGAAACCCGACCTGACAGGGGCAAGATGCGACAAATGATTGGTAGTTAACTCTGCGATATGGTGCTCGATTCTCGATTTGGCAAATAACATGCCCGAGATTCGGGACCATGCAAGACAGCCCTACAGCCACGTTACGTCGCAAACACACCATTTACTTGAATTGGGAGGTGTTCCGAATCGAGCAGAAGAGGCCTCTTGTCAGCCTTACCCAGCCACAGGACAACGGGTGTCGTGTTCCGAACGCGCGTCTTGGTGCCGCTAAAGCGCTCTCTGGGGATTGATTGGACCATCCTCCTGCGGCTGAGCGGCACGAAGGGGGCGCCGTAATTCTGCCTAGGATGAAGGGGAAAAGTCCCAGTGACCTTAGTGTCAGATCGTCATTCCACTACGCAACCGTTCGCTACAGACAGGTTACCCTTGCCTTAAGATTTAACCATAAATCGCCCCCAAAGACCGTGTAAGGTGCCAAGCCTTACCAAAGGAAGTGAATCAACCACCGACTACTCTTAATTCTCGTGTTTGCGACTTGTGACTGCAATATGGCGATGCCCAGCTTCTCCTCCGCTGCCGTAACGTCTAGCTGCGACAATATCACTCATCGTGCCGTTTCGACCTCAGCTGAGCTCGATACTCTCCTCAAAGGCATTGACCCTGGGACTTTGGCAGCTCAACACCTGATTTCTCTCTCTGGCAAACTCGACCGCTTCAAACGCACTACAGAACAGCTACGCCAGTCTCTTACCAGCGCTTCGACTGTGTCGCCTGGCCTTCGAAATGCTTTGAACATCTCCATTCAACCATGCGCCGACAGTGCGGCTATTGTTGATAAGCAAATCCGGAGGCTAGACACCGGAAATGTGACCAGGTTAAACCCAGAGGTCATTACTCTGTATGAGGATTACTACATGGCCAACACTCGCTTGTTCACCCAGTTCACGCAAGTACTTCAAATGTGAGTGACAAACCGCACATCAACCTTTTTTTTTGCTAAACTTATCGTAAGACCCACGCTTGCCGAACAAGACTTGCGGCTCTCAGCTCCTGACGGACACCAATTGCTGGAAAAGGCAGCCGAGGTATCACAGATAATTCTCAGCCGGAACGACATACTTGGCAACTCAAACGAAGCCGGCCACTCGGGAATTGATCTGGCAGCTCTTGACGGCGAGCAGACAGACACACAACCACATGAACTACCGCCAGATTACGTGCCCGAAACCCAAGATAAGGGGAAAAAGAAAGCCACTGGTCTATTCTCGTCCCTGTCAAATTCATTCAAGGCAATGACTGCCGGCCTCCGCCCAAAGCCCGAGCCTATGGTCATTGCTATGTGCCAGGCCGCCACGGATGGCGACGTGGGCCTTCTCAAAGGTTTCGTTTCGCAGGGAATTAACATCAACGGCCAGAATGAGCAGGGCTATACCCCGTTGATTTGCGCCATCCGTGCCGACCAACTCTCTGCCGTGGAATTCCTCATTTCTGCAGGAGTTGACAAGACTGTCAAAGACTCAGCCAGCGGCAAACGGAAACCCCCGCTGTTCCACGCAGCCGAATTAGGCTTTGTTCCCATCGCGGATTATCTGATTAGGAAAGGCGCGGATACGAAGGAGCGCTCGTGGTCCGGCCAGCCATACTTCATCGAGGTTGCGAATAGTGATCAGTTGGATATCATTAAGCTGTTCCTCTCTCGCGGCTGTGATGCAAACATGGTAGCCATCAGCGGCCGTAGTATCTTCACACACGCTATCCAGAATGGCAGCCTCCCTCACATCAAGCTTCTGCAAGAATACGGTGCAGACATCAATACTCGAGATGCGCATACTGGCCAATCCGGGCTGCATGTAGCTCTGGGCCAGAACCGCCTGGACATCGTCTCATGGCTCCTTGAACACGGCGCTAACCCTAATGTCTCGGACTACACCGGCACCACGTTGCTCATTTCTGCGCTTCACAAGAAGCAGTACGAGTTGGCCAAGCTGCTCCTTACTCGTGGCGCCGACCCCAACTCAACAGGACTGATGGGCAAGGGAGTCTTGTGGCAAATGTTGCAAAACAAGGACATGGACGACGGCACCAGAGCTGATCTTGTCAGTGCGCTCCTTGAGAAAGGAGCTGACCCCAACCAGACCGACAACTGGGGAGAGTCTATCATGTCCCAGGTTATAACGCTGGGCAATACCGAACTGCTTCGTACTTTTCTGGCGCACGGAGGTAACGCGAACAAGAAGGTCAAGGAGGATACTTTTCTTCTTTACGCCATTGACCGCGGAAGATACGAACACGCAAAGATGTTGCTCAAACACGGGGCTGACGTTAACGCGCCCGACAACAAAGGCCGAGTTCCTCTTATAGAGGCTCTGCAGATGGACAGCATGCCTTTCGTAGAGCTCCTACTTCAATTCGGCGCTGATCCAAACAAAACTGGCCAGATTAAACCATTAGCTCTTGCGAGGCTTCTGGGGAACCCCGAACTCATCCAAGCATTAGCTGAAAGAGGTGCCGAAGCTCCTAAGAGGCACGTGCATGAAAGAACACCGACGAGTCCGGCCACTCCGTCCAGTCCTGCTTCCGCAACGAGAACGAATGTTGCTTCCGCCCAGAGCAGAGCTGAGCCGAGAAGATCCGATGTGCCACCTCCATACACAGAAGCAGGCGGCTTAAAATAAATCTGGCATCGTAAGGCATCGAAAAGTCGTTGGCTTGCGTGAAAGGGGCAGTGATAAACATCTTGGGTCAAAGCGGCTAGTGGAATACACGAGTAAAATATGAATGTGGTATCAAGGAAGAATTCGTTTCTCGATGGGAGTAAAGGCAAATTTGATATATAATGAGTACTTTGTACTTTAAATACTTCTACTTTTTAGACTTCTCGTTTTGGCTCAGCACGCTGCAGCTTCACTTTTCTCGAAATATGAAAAGGTTCGGCACACATTGAATTAAGTTCATATTTGACATTAAGCTAGCTTCATGAGGTCGTACTCATACCATGTTCATGGTCAAACTTTTTACAATTTCTCAGAGTAAGCCAGACGCCATCAATCGGTAGGACGATCAATGTTCCAAAGCAAGCATGCTGGCTTATTATCCAGAGTCCAATAACGCTCAACTTGAAGGCTGGCATATTGGACCTGGTTTAGACTTATTGAGTTTCAGGCAATGGTACAACCCAAACAGGGAAAGATTAGAAAAACGCTTCCGACCATTCATTCGCTGGCCCGATTAGCTTAAACCAACTGCCACACCCTATTTGTTCCAGAACTTGCCACGGTTTCATAAGCTGTATGTTAACCTAATCTTTGTTTCATGTATTTTAAGCTATCGTCGCTAAGTCCCCGTATTATATACTTAGTTCACAACGGTCCTTTGCTATATTACCTCTCTAGGCTACACAATGTTGATTACATGCAATAATTAATGTCGGCTATTCACCAAAGTTAAGCACGGCGAGGGAGAGATGAAAGCGGAAAAACATGGAAGTCCTATCTGCAATGTCCCAATTTTCGGTACTCCAAAAATCACAATCATCATGCCCGAGAACTGGCCGTGAATTAAGATAAATGGCTAGGGATAGGGCACAGCGACAATGGGAGAAGACATTGGAGTTGTCAAGTGCTGAGGATAACGTTAAGAGCAGGAAGAACATATGATAGAATGGATCGATTTCTAAATGCTTCAGTTGAGCTGTAAATGTGAAAGTGATGAGGATCTGGAACACTGCATAAGAATATGTAGAGTGGAATGTTTGATCCAGGACGAAAGTGTACTCGTACTTTTGAACGCGTACGCGATTCACTGCTAACGACTCAAAACGAGTATAAGTCTTTACCTAAGTTTTTCTATCAGGCAAAGTTATCCAGGCGTAGACACAGATATGGAAGTAGACATTAATCAAGTTGTAAAAATTCTGCTTGGTCATGCTTTAGTGATATGCCGGCTTCATGTCGCCGTGGCGTAGTACATCAATTGTACAAGAAGGTTATCTCGAATTGAAAGCGTTCCATTTTCCATTTAAACATCCTACTATGGCCTAAACTCAACCTTTCATGGCCGTTCTAATGATCTTTTCCAATCCCTCTCTTCCTATCGGCTCGATACCCAGCAACTCATTATCGGTCTCTGGAAAGTAACCACCCCACCCCTTACCAAGGAATGCACGGTTGATGAACATTTCTACAACCTCCTCACTGTGGTCGCCCTGCGCCCAACGTTCAAGGGCAGTCTTCTCCAAATCCTCAGTCCGACAGTGCTTAATATCCCACTCTCCAGTTGGGTCAACACTCTTGGCAATGTCGAGAATCTGGTTCTGTGTCGTCTCAACACTGCTGATTTTCACGGGTCGGTTTGCTGTCTCCTCCAGATGACTCAAGATGCCAATAACGGCCTGGCCGATATGTGGCATGGTTGTGGCATTGAATACAATGTCGCCACCGTCCTTGATGAGCGCCTTTTTCTTCTCTACGTCAACCAAGAAGTTAAGCGCGTACCCAGGAGCCAAGAAAGAGACATTCATAATGATGGTGTATGAGAACGAGGGCCTCTGAGCAACCTTTTCATCAAGGTACTTCCGAATAGCAATTTTGGGCTGGTAAATTGGAAAGGCAGCAAGCTTGGGGTTCTTGGTGTCGTTGCCATATTCGGAAGGAATCATTCTTCGAATCCCCGCGTTGAATGCTGCGTCGACCAGGTTCTTCTGAACATGGATAGCACCGAATGCTAATGCTGACACAAGGGCGTCTTGGCCACGGAGCGCATCTTCCAAGCTGGCAACTGACTCGTAGTCGACTGTCTTCACTGTAACGTTGGCGGGGAACTGGTGCCGAGACCCATCGCGAGTGAGAACGGTAAGCTGAAAAAGGTTGGACTTCAGCAGCACGTCGAGTAGGACGCGTCCAAGAAATCCATTCGCCTAATGACAGTGTTCGTCAGTTTCGGAAACATTCTCCCACCCGCCCGCTCGAGGAAGCCTTAGTTCTTACACCTGCGAGGACAACGGATTTAATCGGAGCCGCCATGGGAGAGGAGATTCTGGTGGTATGGTCAAAAACCCGAACCTGCAAAAACCCGAACCTGTAAAACCCGAACCTGTAAAAACCCGAACCTGAATCGTATCAAAGAGGTTTTTTGTAAAGATGTGAAGAGTTGCGTAGAGGCAAACCACGGATTTTGGAAAAGGGAGAAAGAATGATGACACAATGAGCATACGAAGTGATGATTATAGCACCATATTTATTATCCTCTTTCCAAGAATATGGTATCATTGCGAAGTATACTTCATATCTGGTACATACAGGATTACAATACTAGACCTCCGAATGTCTCGGGTTGCATCAAGCCTAGATCATGGCGAAGCCCGTGCAACTCCACAACTTAGAGTTCGCTAGGGCTGTCGGTCGGATGGCCTCGCCTGTCGGGCGTCGTCGTGCTCCTGCCCGTTTGGAAATACCGCAGTTGACGGAGCCACGGAGCCGATCTGCAAGGGTTAGCCCCCGGCGTCTGACAAGGGGACATGGATAGCGTTATTCATGAAGCGCGCGCTGAAGGAGCGTGCTGGACTTCATCGTATGATTCCACACCGAACCGCAGCATCGTCTTAAGCGAAGTGTAACCTGGGTCTCATCTTGACAGGATCCAGTTTACATACCATGCTGCTGGGACGTGGTGTCATGGCTTGGCTACGAAACCCTTCCCGCTAGAGTTGACATTTGACACGTCATGTGAGCCTACGGAATGGATCTTTGGATTAGATACCGGATAAGTGACACAAAGGTCGGGTACAGGTTCCAAATGAGTGAGTACACCTTCGTAGGTCTATGAGAGAAGCTTGTAGACACGGAAATGTATAACGTGAAAACGGAATTATGACTCTAAGCGTTAACCTGTATCCAGTGGAGAGTATCTGGTATAAATCTCCTGGCATTCTGCTTGGCCGTTTCCTACATGTGACACTTTATCAACTGAGAGAGCTTTTCGAAGGCAAGAAGAACAGAGAATTGATATTATCCTAGACGCTGGACGTGTCTCATCATGTTGCTCCCTGTCCTCACTCTTGTTGCGTCTCTCGCGACCGTAACTTATACACTCTATGTCATCATTACTACGCACATCCTCCGGCACCGCATGAGAAAGGAGTATGGTTGCCTTCCACCGAAGAAACTGCCCCAGAAAGATCCAATTCTCGGAACAGATGTCGTTCTTCAAAACTTGGCTGCTGCGAAGAAATTCGGGTTTCTTGCTTTGTTGAAGAAGCGTCATGCCGAGCAAGGCCAGACGTTCACTACCAACACTTACTTACGCACCACAATCAACACTTGTGATCCGAAACTCATTCAGACTGTGCTGTCGAACCAGTTTGAAGATTTTGGAATGGGGCCTCTGAGACGCAAGAGTGCGTCCCCGCTCTTGGGAAGAGGCATCTTTACCACCGACAATGAAATCTGGGCTCACCAGCGAGCACTCATCCGGCCCAGTTTCATCAGAGCGCAAGTCACGGATTTCGACATTTTCGAGACGCATGTGGATCAGCTGATTCAACTTATTGCGCGTGAAAACTATACCGTCGACCTGCAGCAGCTGTTCTTTCGCATGGTTCGTCTTCCCCCACAGCTGACGTACGTGGTGGATGCAAATGTATTAACTTTGTTGACCTCTTACAGGTTCTTGACTCCAATAGCGAATATCTTTTCGGAGAGTCTGTCGGATTAATGTCCGACAATGCTTCTGATTCCGCACACACTTTCCACCATGCCTTGGATTATGCTCAACAAGGAACAATTCTGCGACTTCGGCTGGGTAACTTGATGTTTGCTCACCGAGACGCGAAGTTCAGAGAATCTTGCAGAATCGTACACGCATATGCCGACAAGTTTGTTAAACAGGCACTTGAGTTCCGCCAACACGCTAAGCTGCATCCCACTGAGAAGCAGGATGAATACACCCGCCAGAAGTATGTTTTCCTCAACGAGCTGGCCAAGGACACCGACAACCCAATCATGCTGCGAGACCAGATCGTCAATATGCTGCTTGCAGCTCGGGACACCACTGCCGGACTTCTCGCCTTTACGTTTTTCATGCTGGCCCGCCACCCTGAAATCTGGAAAAAGCTTAGGGCTGATGTGCTTGAGCATTACACGGAGCCTCTGACTTATGACGCTGTCCAGAAAATGACATATCTTCGCTACGTCATGCAAGAGAGTAAGAATTGCCAAAGATGGTGTTTTGATAATGTCACTAACGGCTTTTTGCAGCGCTTCGTCTTTTCCCGCCCATTGCGACTAACAGCCGTATGGCTAACAAGGACTGCGTTATTCCTGTAGGAGGAGGCCCTGATGGACGTTCCCCCATGTTTGTCGCAAAGAACAACGTGGTTACCTACAGCACATTTGTTATGCACCGCAGGCCAGAGCTCTTTGGTTCTGACGCCGAGGAATTCATCCCAGAGCGCTGGGAGACTTTCCGCCCGGGTTGGGAGTACTTACCCTTCAACGGTGGCCCCCGTGTATGCCCTGGTCAAAAGTTCGCGCTTACCGAGTCATCCTACACTATTGCAAGGTTGCTGCACGCGTACTCTGCTATTGACAACTTGGATCCGACAGAGTGGCGCGAGCAACTTACTCTATCCCTGACACTGAACAACGGTGTCAAGGTACGACTCCACCCAGATGTTTAGAGGATCCACGTGGTATTGTGAATAGCTAGGTTTAAGATGTCATTCCTGGTTTTGATTTCCAGCTTTCGTTCTCAGAATAGAAAATACAAGAAAATTTCAAGCGGACAAAAGACGCGTGTAGGCAGCAGTAGTTACGATTGAACAATTGTTGAGCCTTAATATCAACATTTTGCATGAACATTTTGGGACAGATTTTGTTTGGCATTGTAGAGTACACTGAGAAAAACCATTTTCACGTACTTGGAAACGCTGTTGCGTTATTGTTCCCAGATGAGTTAACAAAGCCGTCGGTGCTATTTCTCCACGTAGTTGCAAAAGCTGGATGAGTTCGGAATATTAGTGAAACCCCGTTATGCCGCTGTGGTCGAAGTCGTTCCAGGCCCATGCAAAATAAGGGTCTGCATGACATGAGCTACATGATCATCTTTACATTCTTTCAACTCAGCCACCACCTATCAAGGTAATAGTCCAGAAGAGGCAATATGGTGATCAGCCTAAGTCGAAATAACCCACAGGACTTGTAAGCGTTACTATATAGGGGAAGTCTATTGACTTGGTGTTAGAGGGATCCAGACAGGGTACCAAGGCGGTAATGCTTCCTCATTCGTACCAGGCTCACCGCTATCATATACATGATATACGGCTTGGCATGAAAACTCAAGATCGAATTTAGATGACACTCTAAAACTCCTGTCGCGTCGAAGGGTGGCGTCTTGGCTTTACTATGGAGTGCTACGTAGTGTAAGGCTCGCCTACAGCCACCCCGTTTCTGCTGCAGAAACAGGGGTGAATTTCAACCAATCAACCCTCACAATCAACGCAGCCGTAGCTGTATCAGCAAGGGATACGTAGGCTGAGGAGAAACCTAATATCAGTTACCACTTCAATATATCTTGTTGATTAAAAGCGACATGCCAGTTGCTACGCAGGACACATGAAGTTTGGTCTCAGCTGTAACCATGTAAAGTTTAAAACTATACCCCGCCCTGTTTGAATCCACCTCCACGGGGACCGAGTCAGCCATAGCTACGGCTGCTCTTTAACTTCCCGTGCTCTCTGCGGCCCGTTGTCTCGATTTCGAATCCCTGCTGTGATTAGAGTTTACCAATCGACCTTGGCATCCCTGAGCACAGATTAATCAGCGGCGCGTTTCGGCCTCCTTGAATGTACGTAAAAGAAACAACTGAGCCCGCGTCTCCTCTCAAAATCGTTTCTACTGCGAATAATGTTGCGTCATCCCAGCCAAGGAAGCGTTCGTCGCCATAAACAGCTGAGAGAGTTTATTGTGGCTCTTCCGACAAAGTAGAAGATAGGGTAGCATTCGCGTATCCGTAGGCCGGTTCAGGCGGAGTTGAAGAGATGCGAGGCAGTGAACTCAGTTGAATAAACGAGCTCTTGTTTTGTATAGCTATCAGTTCCTCATTTGGGGGTTGTATCCGAGCACTACATGTGACCGTGTTTGGCCGCCCTCAACAACTTGCCTTACTTTCCGGCTTCCCAAACCTAGTCCCCGCACTAATTCGTCCTCGTACTTTGCCGGAAGCCGAGGATGTCGAGACTTGATTAGATATCTGTATTCCACTGTATATCTTTGTATTCCTCTGTAATCATCCATTTTTTTTTTTCCGTTTCTATCATCTTTCGGCAAGTTGTCTCAGTGATACGATGTGCGGAATTACGGCTACCATCAAGCTTAGGAGGAGCGTTCCTGGCACAGAAGTGAACGGAACCAATGGCGCCAATCACGGCATTGGATTGAACGGAGAGGCTCTCAATGGGCAGCGTCAAGATACTGGACTACGCGACCAGTTGGAAGAAAGCCTCCAAACCATCGCCCACCGCGGTCCAGATGCATCTGGTGTTTGGATTAGTAAAGATGGGTGCATCGGTAAGTTCTTCATCTCAGTCAGATTTCACTTCATTCTAATCTCATCAATGGAGGCCTGGGTCATCGCCGTTTGGCCATCAATGATCTTTCGCCAGATGGAGTACAACCTCTACACAGCGATGATGGCAAGATTCACGCAGTGGTCAATGGTGAAATCTACGACCATGACGCCCTCAGGGAACAATGTATTCGAGACCACGGTTACCATTTCAAGGGCCACAGTGACAGTGAGGTATTAGTTGCCCTGTACAAGGTTCATGGAGCTCCAGGCTTCTTTAAGTACCTTCGTGGAGAGTTTTCTTTCGTTATTTACGATGAAAGAGACGGAAGGGTTATTGTTGCACGGGATCGGTTTGGCATCAAGCCCATGTTCTGGACCATTCACGGCGAAGGCACTGAGAAACGGCTGCTATTAACCTCAGAAATGAAAGGTTTCCTACCGCTTGGCTGGAAGCCCGAGTGGAATGTTTACGGACTTATCAACGGATCTTCGCTTATGGCCGAAAATACTGTCTTCAAGGATGTTTGGAAAATAAACCCCGGTGCGTGGATGGAAATATCACCAACTGGCGAAATAGAGCATCGCCAGTACTGGGATCCAAACTTCAAAGACAAGGTAAGGACCATGGAAAAAATGTCTGCAAAAGCTCCAGTACTAACATAATTACCAGCGAGATGTAGAGACGCGTAGTCTTGACGAAATTGTCCTCGGAGTACGAGAGCGCCTTGTAGAAGCGATTAAAATCCGGCTCCGGGCTGATGTACCAGTGGGCATCTATCTATCCGGAGGCATCGATTCATCAATCGTTGCAGGTGTCGTAACGAAGCTAGTTCGTGAGCAAGGTGTTATGCTGGGAAATCAGGATGCTACTAAACGCATTGCCTGCTTCACAATCCAATTCCCCGAAACATCTGGCTTCAACGAGGCCGGTAAGTGCTCGACTGCTGGTTACACTGTGATTATATTGATGGAAATCAACTAACTAAATTTGTCATTAGATATTGCTGAGCGGTCAGCTGACTGGTTGGGTGTCCAGATTCTCAAGAAGGACATGAATGAAACCGAACTGGCTAACAACTTTGCTGATGCGGTATTTCATAACGAGCAACACCATTTCGACCTCAACAGCGTTGGGAAATTCTGCTTGTCAACCTTGCCCAGGCAGCATGGAGTACCTGTCGTGCTCACAGGAGAAGGTGCAGACGAGCACTTTGCAGGATATCCCTTCCTTCTGCCAGATTTCCTCCTGGAACCCGACTACGCGTGGCCAGCATCTTCCTTGGCGAAGGATAATGCTGTACGTGAAGGCATGTACAAGGAGATGACGGAAGATATCAAAAACATGTTCAACAGGATTGGCATGTTTGACCATGGCTGGGACGACAATGATAAGTCTACATTGGGGGTCGGGAACAACACGTTGAGGTGGCAAGCCAATGAAGATTTGTTTGCGCCTTGGGTCCAAGACAAATGCAAAGGCTTTGATATGAGAACCATCGTTGCCGATTCGATACCCCTCGAGGTTCGCAAGAAGATGGAGGAGAAATGGCATTCATTGCATTCCAGTCTTTACATTTACACGAAGTCGCCTCTCGCCAACATGATTCTTACTTGCCTGGGCGATCGTACCGAAATGGCACACAGCGTTGAAGCTCGAACACCTTTCTTGGATCATCATCTGGTCGAGTACGTTAACGAACTGCCACCAAGCTTGAAGATTGCATATAGCCAGGCAGATGGGGAAGCGATCGGGACCGGTGCAAGCTTGTGGTGGAAGAACTTGAGTGCAGCGCGCCAGTCGCTGAGCGAAAAGTGGATTTTGAAAGAAGCTGGCAAGCCTTTCATTACACAAGAATTATATGAGCGACGCAAGCACCCCTACTCGGCTCCAGTGAAGTGGCCTCGTGATGGCCCTATAAACAAGCTTATGGAGAGACTGATTACCAAAGAAAATATTGAGAATTTGGGATTCATAGAATGGAATGATGCTCGAGACTGGCTTTGGAATGCTTTCGGCGATGAAGCTGACGCGAGAGCTTTCAGGAGGCTGCTGATGATAGGATCGTGGGTAGTCTTGAGCCAAAGATTCGGAGTCAAAAAGGCAACCAGGGAGTAGCTGGATTCGACATAACTATTGGACGATTTTGGTTTCGGTTTCGGTTTCTCTTAAGCCTGCCTTAAACAGACAACCTGGACCCAAGAATGAAAGTTAAGAGTTTGATCTTGGTAGTGTAAACTTTGATTGTCTACATGTGAGGAGCAGGTATGACAAACTTTGACTCTAAACATGAGGAATATGCAATAGCCAGCATTTAAGATGGGTTTCAAGTTACAACCGGCAGTCAATATGCATTGCTTGGGTCATCAAAGAGTCTACCCATACTAAGCCAAGCATACGTGAAGTTGGTTAATTTCGAAAGCATTAGCTCCTGGAACCTTACCTAGTCATAATAGTATGTCTGATACGTCCTATACTTAACAACTGCAGGATATCAGGGCATCTTCTCCCTGAGTGTTGCTCTCAAGGCAAACGAAATAATTGTTCCAAGATACTTGAGTGATTATACGAAATCGTTTCGTAATTTGAGTTGACATTACTCATACGCAAAGTGCAAAGGCAGGGTTAACTTTTTAAATTGGGATCCACGTTGGATAATTACTTGTCTCTCATCATGGTGTTCTTTTCAACCACAGCTCTATTGAAAAGAACGTATTTATTTATTAAGACGACATATCTAGAACAAGCAAGTACTAAAAGGATATTCGGTAACATTGCGGCTGAATACTCTCTTATAGAACTAGCCTACAATAACCCTTGAACATGTCCAACCAATATGACGTATACAACTGCACTGAATGATTGTCGCCTCAACTGAACTGATAGATAAAGCAAAGGAGGAAAACAAACAACGGAAAAGTTAGAAGCCCTCAAGGACCTTATTTTGCTACAACACGGGCATATCTATGTGCCTTCGAGTTTTGATGAACTGCTTTTGAGTAATAAATGGTACTGATGGAAAAAAGATAGCTATTGGTCCTGGCAATCATATCAAATACCTTCGGCCAATAGATTGAGAAGAAATGAACATAATGTGCGGAGAGGACAGATCCATCATCACAAGTCAAGTCTGAAGGGCGGTTTATGATAAATAAAAGTCAGGTTTATATGTACCTAGAAGTCTTTGATAATGTTACAAGAAGAAACGAAAAAGTACCAGTGTCGTCTGATCACATGATATGAACAGTGTACAGCACAGAAAAAGTGTCGAGAATGAAAAATGCTCAGCGACAACCCTGATGAATGAGTGGGAAGTCGGTGCTTTCGACAGAAGCAAAGTGCTGCTAGAGGATTTAGTAACCCTCCTTGCCACCCTTGCCGTACTTATCATCGTGGCCATTGTTCTTCTTGTTGTCATACTTGTTGTCGTGCTTGTTGTCGTGCTTATTGTCATGCTTGTTGTCCTTCTTGTCATCATGCTTGTTGTCGTGCTTGTTATCGTCCCACCTGTCATCCTTGTTGTCGTTCCACTTGTCATCTTTGCTGTTGCCCTTGTTGTTGTCGTACTTGTCGTCCTTGTCGTTGCCCTTCTTGTCTCCCTTCTTGTTGCCGTGCTTGTTCTTCTTCTTTCCATACTTGTCGTTATCGGAGTCGGAATCAGAGTCGGAGCAATCGCCCTTGTTCTTGCGAGAGTTGCGCTTGCAGTGCTTCTTCTTGGAATTGCGCTGCTCAAGAGCGCTACGATCGACAAGTCTAGCGTCTGCCAGAGCCTAAGATACTGTCAGTATATGGAAACGCGCTATAAAAGAATTTGGAATGACGACGCTTACGGCAATGCCCTCGCCACGGGCCTGATGGTCAAATGTCAGCTTTAAGTTTTCTCAAGAAAGAAATAGCATGTGGGATTGATTGTGTGGCATGATGGCTCTGAAATGCCCCCCCGCCCCAAGAAAACTTACAGTAATCTCAGTAGAACGCTGTTAATGTGTTAATTAAGAGAGAATTTAGTTGAGGTTTTACTGCTTACCTCGGCAAGGCCGGCCTCGAGAGGCTCAGCAACAGGTGCAGCCAGAGCGGCGATGGTGAAGAAAGTCATGCCAACAGTGGCAATCTGTCCGAAAGTAGGAATATGCATTTTGATGAGGAGTTTTGTAATTACTAAGTAGAATAGATGTCAAGGTTTAGCTGTTGTGGCTTTGAGAGCAAGAGTCTGAAGTGAGATGTGAAGATGAGTGTGATGAGGGAAGACAAAAGGGTCTCTAGAGTAAGGTATGGTGATGGTTATTTATACCTGAAGGATTCTCACGAAGAGTAGTTGTTTACAAGAACTTGCTATTACAACCCGGTGATATCAAAAATTGGGTAAACATTCAGACTGGTCGTGCAACAGCCGCAAACAATGACGGCACAACCCGAAGATCTCGGTCTAAGCGTAGCAGAAGCCACCGTAGTAGCGTTAGAGTCAACCTTATGGAAAACTCGCCTTGGATTTGCAAATTGTATTGCGGTTCTAGACCGTAGTAACCAATTCTGAGACCAGCTAGAAGATCCGAGAGTATGGCATGGAAATGCATGGCGCCAGCACACACCCGTCTTGGCAAAGCCACAACTACCCGGTGATCTTCCCGGATGCTTAAGAACGCCGTGGCTTTCATTCGTGCACCAGTGGCCTGTGCTTGCCATGGCTCAACGGAGGGAGCACATCTATGTAGTTTTATGAAGAGCATGAAATGAATTAGTCCTTTGTCCATAAATGGATAATAATCGGAATGCAACGTCTCGACAAAACGGACGTATCGACTGTGTGCATAGTCCTCAATAGAATGGTCCCAGCTAGAAAGAAGTCTGCAACCGCAGATATTCGAGAATCTGCCAAATTCCTGATGTCATGAGTGTCTGTTTCACCTAGAATATCATTAGGTTCCTGAAAGCACGGCCGGAACTAAGACTGCAGCCCGCGATATTAATTTTCAGCTACCTTACCGGCGGGAGCTAAACGCATTGAGTTGGAGATCTAGGAGAATGGGTAGGCCATCTCGCTGGATCAATAAATGCAAATACTGGGTTTAGAGGGAACGTGAGGTAGGTAGTCGGTGCGTAGAAGACGATGCGGGGTAGCGCCAACTCTGATGAGTCCGTAGCCATCCCGCTAATAGCCTACTAGGTGGACAGGATGAGCTAGACTCTAGTCAGTGTAGCATGATTATAGAGCCTTCGCGCGGTTTGTTTCACTAGGTAATTACTCCGAATAGGCAAAGTGACCCTGAATCTCAATTACTACAAGACATGGCAGCATCGAAAGATCTGCAATGTAGAGCCGATCACGACTATCAATCGATATTTCCTGCCCAGGACCTGTATGATCAACCAAACTGTTCAAGGCTACAAATCTGTAGAAAGGTTTGATGATGCATCAACTTCGAAAGCTGATCATGGAATTCTGTTTTGATATAAGCAAAATATCTGTCCAAATCGTATACCGTACTATATTAGTATGGTATTAGACCTTTTCTACTCTCATTATTTTACCCTATTCTCGCACGAGATAATTCAATGGAGGGAAAGCTCTCCAAACGCCACAAGCGCCACCCGGACGTTGCCTCCGGTGTGTTGGAACTGCTGAGATTCTTAACAAGGTCTCGGCGCAACCCATTCCTAAATATAATAACAAGCCTTTTGCTATGATGCGTGCGGGTGGCTTGGTCGATGCCCGGTACTGCGGCGATATCCCCGCGATACCCAAGAACAAAGAGGAACGCCAATTGCACTGAAAAAGCGTCCTACCGAACGGCAACTATGAACGCCTCCATGCGTTGCGATTCAACATTAACGCTGAAAAGGGATGTTTCAAAACGATAATGATGCCCTGATGCCCATTTCGATGGCGTCGAGCTTCTCAGTCGTACAATTTCAGACAAATGTCACAAAATACATTTTACCTCTGCCCAACGCTCTCTTGTGCTATTAAAGCAAGATTTTCCCTATTCGACGAGATTATTGCGGTCACTAAAGCGTGGTTAGCAGAAGAGTCAAGAAAACGGTAGGACTTTTACTTACGGTAGCTCAAAGTTGGGGAGGAACCATGTCAAAATAAGTGCAGGAGCCGATGCTCCCACAGCAGTATATACCATGGATTTCATGACGTCGGTAAACTGGGATAGTGTTAGCTATCAACCCGGTCGAGCTGCACTGGGTAACGTACAGCATGGCTTATTGCGGTTCTTTCTGGAGTACCCCACGCAGGCGCAACTCCGACTATTGAGTCGAAGAGAGAGTCTACAAGCTGTGGAGAGGCGCCAGCTCCAAGATACCTGTATAAGGTTGGCTTGAACGTGTTGGTGTAAATGCCACCGGCAATGCAGGCTCCAATGCTGCTACCGAGGATAGAGCAGCACACAACAAGGGCGGTAATCTGAGGCATCTGCCGGTGGGGGACGATGACCTGTGCCGGCACCAAGATTGACAACTGCATGATGCCAGAGCCAAGGCCCTGAATAATCTGGACAATGAAGAGCTCTCCGACGGAATTGTCAGCGCCACGTAAGCGGAGCATGATGCCATATCCGATGATGCGAATAAAGGCTGCCACGATTAGTAGCCACTTGTAACGGCGGGTGTAGGCCATGGCGAGTCCAGCTATGATGCCCATCACGCTCTGGAACACGCCGTTGGTATACTGAAAAAAAGTTGCGTCTCGCGCACTAAAACCGCGTGCAACAGTGGCCCATGAGTACAAGTAAGTGTGAGTGCAGGAAAAGCCAATGGAGTCGCTGGCAACGAGGATGAGACAAAGAACAATGGTTCGGCTGCGGAAGTAACTGGGGGGCATGATCGGGTGTCTCGCCATGAACTTTTCATAGACAGGCAGCGCAATGAGCAAGCAGACTCCCAGGACTATGAGAGCGATGATGTATGGCGTCTTCCAAGAGCTTGCGCTACCTGCGGCCAAAGTCAAGGGCAGCAGTACCATAGCGAACCCAGCAGAAAGCAAAGCCGAACCACCCAAATCGATCTGAGAACAGAAGCTGTAGAGTGAAGTTTTCTGACGTGGTGCCAGGCCTTCTAGCCTCGCCTTTCTCTGAAAGTAAATCAGAGTTGAAATGATGAAGGCGGCCCCAATGGGCATCAGGAACGCGAACATGCCGATGCCCCAGCGCCAGCCAATACCGCCGGGTTTCACGACATCTTCAACAATGAAAGCAGCTGCCCATGGAGTAATCAAGAACGGAAAGAACGAGAAGCTGATTGCGAAGCCACGCCATCTCGCAGTGGTGATGTCGGCGATGACGATGTCGTTCATGATGTTGGTCCCAGATTGACCGACCGTATAGAACACTGATCCAGCTGCGTATGCGTTGAAGTCTCTTGAGGAGGCCATGAGAAGGTAGCCAAGGATGAAAAAGGAGATAGTCATGATGTATGTTTGACCTCGGCCGATGACGTTACTGAGTTTGGCGATTGGAGGTTTAACGACTGCAAAGATGATGCCGCTGGCGGTACTGAGCGTCGCCAGCTTTGAGAGAGCGGAGAAGGATGATGTCGCATAGTTGGTGTAGACTGAGACAGTCGTATTGTCAAACTCACTGATATCATGGTCAGTAAGATTCGGAAGGAAAGTAGACTGGCAAAGAAATGATAGCAGCGAGAAGGGATACACGCCAGGATAAGCCAGCACTTACTACACAATCATCACTAGAGCTAATCCAGTGATGACTAACCATCGTCCTTTCTTGCCCCAGATCACTTGCGCTGCCTCAATGCTACTCACACCAGGCTCTCGAAGCCCAGAGCTTCTCTCAACATCATGGTCTTCCACCGTATTGTTGTTTTTACTGCGCAGTTCCACATCTTTCGAAGCCCCAGAAGCGATGAATGATTGATTGGCAGATTGATCGGGCGATCGGGTTTCCGAGCTTAATCGCTCCTTTAGGGATGTGATGAAGCGCATCGTAAAGCCGCCAGGTCGTTAGTTGTTACCAAAGAAACGATTGATGTTGAAATGCTGACTGCGGAGGTGCTATCCGTAGCCAAACCTACCGGACAAATGCGGCGGCTCAAAATGGTCTTGAGTCATGGCTGCACGTATTAAACCGACAATTTGGCCAAAGTTTAGGTCTTGAGACGGTCCCCGCCCTCCAAATGGTGAAGTCTGGCAACGCAGATACCACTTTGTCGCAGGGGCCCGACATAGTGAGATTAGAGCCGATGATCGTCCAGACAAAGTTTGGCTTGGGCCAACAGCATCCTCCGTTGTCGTTGTTCCTTACCACCAGATTAAGCATCGGGGTGGGGGTATACCAGGAAACGAGCCTATCATAATGTCGCCATTGGTACCTTTCAAGGTCTTGTGATGTCCTGTCATATCTGCTGATAGCGGTTGACAGCCAAGGGCGGTTGTAACCCGTCTGATTCGACGTATGGTTGAATCCCTTGCTTTATCGTGTATTCTCCTCACTCCCTTACAAGCCGGGCATGTTCATCGTTTGGAAAGCAAAGGTAGGATGTCACTCTAGTGCTCTTAGTGAATTATGACAGAGTTTTGAGTCGACGGGATGGACCCCGGTGGAAAAGGTCTAATACCCGGACAAGTCCACCCCCACTACCACGCCGTTTTGCTGAAAATATCCGACTTCAAGGGCCGGTCGGCCGCTAAGGAATGGGGCCGGTCGGCATCCAGCTTGCCTTTCTAGCTCGATTGACAGTCTCGGCCTGGATGCATCTGAAAAGCAACTAGCGTAAAACATCTATGTAGGGTGGTACCTCTGCGCCTTTCAATGAAATGTCAAAACATTCTTTTCCCTGAGTAATTCCAAACATGACCGATTTGGGATGGCCAAGACATGACACGTGAGCATGCGCCGTCTCCCGCGTTGGAAAAGTTTCTTGACTCTCCCGATGGCCTCGGGCCAGATAATCAGATGAAAATGATAATGCAGCCCTTACTAAACTGGGGAATCAAACGTCTCCCTTATCTCTCAAGACGGTCTTGTCTGAGTCGAGCCGAAAGCCAAGAGGCTCGAAGGATGCGCTAATCCAGAACAAGCGAGACAACTGCTGTGATGGTGCCCTCGTTACTGGTCTCTGGCCATGTGGCCGGCGATCCGGAAAAAGGGTCCCCCACTGAATAAATCAGCTTTGAATATGGTGCGCCAGATGTTTCTCTTTTTTATTTTTTTTATTTTCTGTGAATTCCTCAATCTCTTCCTCCAACCCTCCCTTCGCTGTGCTGCGTTTTCAGACTGCTAGCGAGGCTGTATTACCGAGTGGCATGCCCTCTTCATCTACCAACATGTACAGTAAATCTGCGGCGGACTTCTCCGCTGCCGTGCCGGGAAGTGGACCAAAGCCTAGGGCCAAGGGTGCTGCCGTTGCCGCCGTGCTTTCGATCCTTGGTGTGGCAGCGCTCACCAAGAGCATCCTCCACATTACAAATCTTTGGCCTGCTACTGGATACCGACAATCTCAGCAATCGAACACCACCGTGGACTGGAGTTGGTCAAGCGTATATCAGTCCCTTATGCTTGGAGATTTTCGGTCCAGTATTTCTAACATGCGATCCCTTATCTAGATCAAGCCAAGTCGTACCCTTGAGTGGCACAGCTGTTTTGAGGATGGTGGATACGACTGTGCTAGACTTGACGTTAGTGCATGTGCACCATAAAGCCGAGTATCATGGCTGACTGTTCTCAATAGCTTCCCATGGACTGGCTTGAGCCATCCGATGATCGTAGAGTTATTCTTGCAATCACTAGATTACGTGCCACGGATAGGTCAGATTACCGAGGGCCTGTCATATTTAACCCTGGAGTAAGACAATTCCTAGCGGGTAGAAACTCAAGTTGACTTTTAGGATTAGGGACCCGGCGGTTCTGGTGTTTGGTCATTAAAGCACCACGGGAAGTATCTGCAAGATATTATAGGCGATAACCATGTAAGTCGTGATATCCACACATGTTCCTCGGATCAAGACCTTATGAAAACTAACAACTTCCAGGATCTCATAGGCTTTGACCCTAGGGGCAGTAAGCTTTCAAACATGTCCGCCTGAATATCATCCTCAAGCTAACACTTTCAAGTTGGCGCTTCTGTACCAAGGCTTGAATGCTGGTCTTCTCCTCAGCAAAGCCAATTCTGGGGTCTGCAGGACCCGGGCCTGCCCGATGCTCATGAAGGAGCCATCGCCGAGATGTTTGTAAGAGGAGCTGCATACTCCCAAGCATGTGAGAGGTCCATGAACGGCTCCGGAATCCTTGAGCATATTGGCACAGTCTCAGCTGCCAGAGACATGCTAGAAATCGTCTACCAGACTGGCTATAATAAGCTCAAGTACTGGGGCTTCAGCTACGGCACCATCTTGGGCGGTGTGTTTGCGTCCATGTATCCGGACAAGGTCGAGCGGCTGGTAAGCGACGGCAACGTTGACCTGAGAGAGTGGTTCAACTCACAGCATATCAATTTTCTGCGCGATACGGACAAAGTGCTCTATGCCTTTTACGAGTTCTGCTATGAGGCAGGTCCCGGAAAATGTGCTTTTCACGCTCCCACCCCACAGGCCATCGAGGACCGTTTCAACAAGCTCCTCTCTGACTTGAAAGATATGCCAATAGTCGTTCCAGCCAACGATGCGGATGGACCAGAGGTTCCGACGATGGTGACATACTCCAAGGTGAAAATCCTTCTATCATCAGTTCTCTACCAGCCGCAGTACCAGTTTGAGAACTTTGCCAGGATTCTTGCCGCCCTCGAAAAAAGGGATGGAAGACTCTACTATCAACACTACAATCCTAGCAAGCCGGCGCCAGCACCTGCTTGCGCCCCGCAGCCCGTCTCGCCTTTCGAGCCGCTACCCGGCATTTTCGAAGGCACAGAAGATGCCTTTCCCGTAATCATGTGCGCCGATCACCCGCCAGTGCATCATTTGACTCTGGAGGAAGTAAAGAGACAGTCGGAGGAGTTGATCAAGCTTAGTCCGGCCACGGGCTCTATTAACGTTCCTTTTTCGGTGACCTGTAACCAAAGGAAAACACGCCCACGATGGAGATTTAGTGGTAAGTAGTTTCCAGCGTAGCGTCTTGAGGGGCGACATAACTAATGCAAATCACAGGGCCGTTTGAGGGCAAGACCAGCCATCCTATCCTCTTCATTGCCAATAAGTTTGACAATATCACGCCACTGATTAGTGCGCGAAACAACTCAGCTGGCTTTCCCGGCTCCACTGTTTTGGTTCAGAATTCTTACGGTGTAAGTGATTCTACGGACGGTTATGTCGTCTTCTAGTTTAGACAGCAAGAATAGCTAACATTACTCGACACAGCATACCTCTCTTGCAGCACCCTCGGCATGCACCAAGGCTCACATTAGAACGTATTTCCAGAATGGCACCTTACCTGACGCAGGAGCAGAGTGTGAAGGGGACTCGTACCCCTTTGGAGAAACCATTGGTGCCGAAATCCCTATGTTTCAAGCATCTTTGCGCGTTTAGTTGACGTTGCGGTTTAAAGAGAAGAGTAGCATAGAGCTAGAGTTATATCTAGACAAGTAGATGCTAAGAAAGTAACTGAATTGATGCCTATCAGATGTGCAAATGTTGCAGGTTTTTATCTATCACAACTATCACGTAGACTTGTTGCACTAAAAGAGGCTTTCCCTCTTATTTTTGCTTTCCGTTTGAAGTAGCTGTTCACCTGAATAAGGTACATCAAGCATTGCTTTCAGCAACCTCCCTTAATGAATGTAACTTGATCTTCACACAGACCATGAGTTGTACAGATGTTGGTCTGGTGTGTAGTGAAGGTCGATGCAACTCAACAAGATGATCGTTTGTCTGCGAATTATGGGTATCTTACATCGTATATATGTACAGCGAAATATCTTCAACTCCGAGGTTTGTACTGGTACCAGAGTCCTTCATCAGCCATCCTTTAATCTGTCTTCGTACTTTGTGTATGTATGTGCAGGCAGCTCGTACACCATATAGCTATTTGGTGCCTCGCGTGTGAACGGCTGAGCTGCTGCATCTGGGTATCTCGGCAAAGGTGTTTCGATTTCTGCAGGCACAGCCGTTGAGTCAAGCTCTTTAGCCTTCACACCCGAGCCTCCCATTTCTGCTGGCAAATGGCCCGCATCCAACTCAGTCATCCAACTGCTATTTCTGCTTAAATCTCCCTTTCTAGGCGACCCAACCTCAAGACCATTTATAGAGCACGTCTCACTCAGAGCCGGATCTTCTTTGTGTCTGCCCATCTTTTTGGCGAACCAGGCAATTGCCTTGTCCACATGATCTGGTGGTGCTCCGGGAGCCTGCTTGAGTTTTTTGATGTGGCGGATATACCACAAGATGAATATGATGCCGACGATGACGCCGAAAACAATGCCCACTATACCAATTGGTGATAGGCCATCTTCTGTCTTTGGCTGGCTTTCTTCTTCCAAAGCTGTCACCGTCCAAGTCTTGCTCCAGGTCGCCTGGAATGATTCAATCGGATTCGTTTTGAGAACTGAGTCATCGAACTTCTGCACAACGCTTTGCTCTACCCCAGGGCCAGGGGCCTGGGCAATGTACATGACATTCTTATCGTAGTCGACCCCAAGGAAAGCAGCCTGTAGAAATGCGCGTCCCAACTGCCATTGACCCGAGGATCCATCAACGGATTTGCACGGGAAGTAGCTCACTTTCTCCTCCACCAAGGGCGGCTCCAGTGTCAAGTTGAGCAATTTGAAAGGAACCTTGACTGTCAAGTTGGCTGCAGTGTTGTCGGAAAGGACAAAGGCTAGATATGACGGAGAGTTGATGAACTCACTGACGGAGCCATTGCGACCTGACTGCCACAAATAAAGCCCCGTGTCTTTGTGGAGAGTCAGCCCCAGATTTTCGGCTATGGCTTCACATACTCCTCGCTGCAGATAGATGTACGGTGACACCGGGTTGGGTAACACCACAGCCGATCCTGCCGGGCCACCCAAAATCTTGGAGTTTTCCATGCCCACTCCCGTGGGCTCTACCCAGAAGCTCCTGTTTACTGACGCCGGAAAAGAGGAAGACGCTCCGATCTCGGTGCCCATTATCACATCTCGGAGAAAGACCCGCGGTACGCCTTCCTGGAGTGTAAAGGTACCAACCTCCCCTAGGGCCCTGTTCTGTTCGTAGCCGCCGAGGACGAGTGACCCAGGGATATCCAATGCTGCGCTTCCAATATGCAAGCCCCATGTCGACCTTTCGATTTTCCCCGCAGCCCGTAGTTGTTCCAATATTGAGCCGGCTGACTTGTCATTGCTCCTGGATGTCTTTGGTCCTAGCCCGAGCAGCCCGATGGTTGGAGCAGGTGTGGTTCCGTTAGGGATAGACCGCCAGGCGTTATCAGCGATAATGGTTGCGTTTACACGGAAGTCGCCAGGCGTTCCGAATTTTGTTGGCAATTCCATCTCATCGTAGTATTCCTGACCGCGAAATCCGCCGCCAATGAAGAAATGACTTAACCAGCTGTCTGCGTTCGACCTGAAGTTTCCTGATTTCTTAGCCGAGGCGCCAGGAGTGTACGTGCCGTTCACTTCCTCGGTCAGAAGTTCCGTGGAACTGGAGCCGCCTGGCCAGAGAGGCATTCTGTTACCGTTGATTGAAATGACGACGGCTTGCCAAGGACCGTCGGGGCCGATTTTGGCGTTCGCCGAGCTCAATGCAAAGTCGGTTGTCCATGGCATCAAGAGTTGACCAGCTGCACCAGCCGCCAAAGCCAGCAGGGAGATGCGCTTGCTGTCGCGCATTGCGGGCGAGCTTTTGCTAATACATTTAAAGTGAAATTGGGTGTATTAGAAAGAAAGATCACGAAACCAGCGTGATATTGGGAAAGAAACAGGAAGTTGGCGTCCAAAAGAAAGGGCCAGATGAGAGGGATTAAGAGACGAAGAGGGAGAGCAGATGTCAATTTTGGAATTCCAAAGTAGTGTCCCAGCACGTCTGAGGTCCATCTTACAACCTATGATTTTCCCACTCGCAGCTAGTAGAAAATATCAAAACTCGATTCATCTGTAATACGCGCCATCAGTCCTTGAAACCGGAATTGGAACAGCTGCATTCTGGTTTGTTCACTCTAATTTACACGTTTCACGACCGAATCCATCATTCAAAATGATTGAAATTGATTGGGTATGCTCATTACAGCACCAGGGCGTCTCGCTTCCCTTGGGCGCTTCGGCACGTTGGAACGGTTAGGGGCCGTTAGGCGCTTTCAACCTTGCTTTAAGATTGGCGCACGAAGCAGGGATTGACGTCAACCAACCAGGAGCCTAACAGACATGCACAAAGTTCAATAATAACCCTCAACCATGTCGAAAACATTTGCTGGCAGATTCTTGCGTTCATAGTGATTTTAAGCATCAACGCATGTGGCTCGCTTGACGGTTGTGTCAAGATTTACGGCACCGGAATCGTCGCCGAAATGGACCCTCTCTCGGAGCAGACCCACTTTACCGGCCGGAGACGCAAAATTGGCAGGTAAATGTAAGTAGCCGATAAGCAAATAGCAATGCAAGCCTTCGCCTTTTTATTTTTTTTACAAATACATTTCAGATTCGAATCTAGAATGTTATGCAAATGGAGGTAAATCTCAAAGTCACACTTCGCGACCTTCATGTGTAGTGAGTAGGATTCCCAAATAACGAATATGATTTCTGATGACGAATTAGATGCAGCTCCTAAAGTATATGATGAGGGTAAGAAGCCGTATTTCAATTAGTATCTAGAATGTATTCGCCCCATAAGTGACGTTAAGTCATGAAAAGATTGTTTCCTTTACACTGTTCGTAGTGGTCGATCCTTCCATCGTTTGGCACACAATCGCGGCTGTTACAACGGGGCTTACACTGAAGGGTAAAGTAGACGCTGAATTACAGAATGAAAGCCAAACACTCTTAATCCCCCTTCATCTTCCCCATTTCCAACTCCTCCCGCTCAATCATCAGCGATCCGCGCCGTGACCAACGCTCTTCACCGTCTTCCTCAAGACGCTTCAGGCTTGCAAGGTTCTTCTCCGCAAAGTCGACATGCCACTGGCCTTTCCCGCTTCGAGTCTTCTTCAAACCCTTCAACACGCCCTTGGTCCTCGACCGCCACCACGTCTTCTCTTGATTTGTGGCACACCGCCTCAGGAACATGAGCAGGAAGCATACCTGATCGCTCCTCGCATCCTTGATGAGCATTTCGCTGATGGTCAGAAGACGACTCATCTGAATGCTCTTCTCAAAGTCAAGCTTGGTGCCAGAGCCCAGAGAAAAGGCCGTGGGCGCGGCCAGTGTCGAGAGGTTGGACGTCAAGTACATGATTGTCCAGTGGATGTAGACCTGGATCGTCAGCGACTGTTTCACACTAACAACATAAAATTAGGGTTCTTTACCTCGCATTCGGTGATGTGTTCCTTGCGGAGGTCAAGGTCCTTGATTGTACCGTACTTGTCCGCCATTTTCGATAATTGAGCCACTGTCTCATCTGGGGAGCTCTTGAGATTGGCAATGTCGCAGTAGTGCAGTAAGACAAGCAAATCTTTCTCGGGGTCGTCAATCAGAGCCAAGTCAGATTGTCTAAAGGGGACAGGCAGCCCGCCATCCGCGCTCGAGCTTGGGCCTGGCTCGGTTGTGCCATCTTGCTGGTTAAGAAAGGGGTTGACTGCGCGCGCAAGATCCAACAGTCTCTTTGAAGGTGCGCCATAGTCAGTCGTCAAAGACAGTATTGTCGACTCTATCGCGAGCACGACAAAATCGCGAATGTTGGCAGCTTCTCGAGCCTCCTCAATCAGGGTCTCTAGCCGTTCGACGAGCGAAGCCACGGCCTGGGGCCCCGAGCTTGTCTCGTCCCCCGCCAAATAGCGATTGCGCAACTGAATGGCAGAGTGAATCGCCTGTCGTGCGTCGCTTGAGATGATTGGAGGAAGATGCCGAACCCATACCGTTGTCGACGTTAATGTTGTCGCAACGCGCGGCGGGGGTGGCGGACTGCGCAGTGTTAGGGGAGGGTCACCAGTCGATCTTTAGTGTCAAACTCTAGACTTACCGCGAAGAAGCACCACCCATGTTGGAGAGTGATTCCGACACGGACTTCTTGATAGCTGGGAAATCGGGCGCGCCTAATACAAAGGTTGAAACGAGTTCGTTCATCTTGTCTGTAGTTTAATTCTGGAAATCCCCCTCATTTTTAACGTTGCCAGGTTGAAGTCCAACATTGCGACGAGGCTAACTGCGTATCTCGTGTGTGCCAACTCGTATCTCGTGTCTGCATTTTCTGACCGAAGGCTTTTTTGGGTGGCTGAAGGCCAAGCTCCCAACCCTACGCGAGGGAGACGACTGGCGTGGCGGGAATGGTACCTGGACTTTGATCGTTTGCAAGCTTCGCGAACGCCACCGTCTCTCCCGCTCATCACGGGATGCGTGCGGGGTATAGTGCAGCTGGGCTGAGTTCCCTACACAATGTATCTGGATAGGTAGTCCAAAGTAGATGGGCGGCATCAATCATATGCAGAATCCGAGCCTGAGGACATGGAATGTGAACAAAAAAGATGTTTGTTTGTTGTTTTTGGAGTATCTCGATATGTACTCGAATGCTAGAATATACACGAATCAATCCCTGATGCGTACCAGATATCTTGGTTCGCCTAGAACGCCATTCCGCCTTGCATCCCTTGGGGATGAAAATAATAATGCCTAGTAAAATTGCATAGCCCCAGAATCCGATGACTTTCCCATGGTTCCGTCGCCTAATAATGCTCATATCCGTTTGTAAACGCCGTAGCCAATGCTATGTGTGATCCAATTTGATGTGTTGTTGTTGTTGTTGTAGAGGTTGATTTTTGAATGGTGATGGCCGGTAATGAGATGAAGTGTGGAGGCCTCCTTTAGACCTGGTTCTGCGCTTCGTAGACCTGCATCGCCTTCTCGAGCTCCTCGAGACTGGACCGGTCGCCGTAGGCATCGAGTAATTTTGCCGCACGCTTCCGGTCCTCGACTGCCCGCTTCTCTGCCTCCTCAGCCATGGCGAGGCGACGCTGGACCATGTTCTGTCTGTAGGAATTTAAGCCGTAGCCGACGGCGACGACTGCTACTGTGGGCGGGATCCTGTGTTGCCAAATCCGTCAGCACTTTGCTTTCCCCATATCCTGTTCCAACCCCAGGTTTCGGAGCGCCGAGGGGTATCGTTCGGCTCGGAGTTAAGACGTACCATCTCATGGCGATTCGGCGGGGAGTCTGTAAGAAGTAGCTCGGGTGGATGCGAGCGTTGGTGGAAAATGCTCTTGAAGTTTGCTTGAACATAGTAAGGTTTGCTTCGAAGGGTTGGGGGAAGATGGGGTCAGGTCGATATTTGTATGTTGGACTGTTATATTGATTCGTGGAATGAAACGTAAGGGATAAGAGAGATCTCTTCGGGCTAAACAAGACGCCGTGTGGCAGCAGCCATGCATTCATATAACCAACCCGTCTTGCTCCAAGACCTCCCCCCCGTGCCTCGTCCTCGCCCGCGCCCCCTTGGCATGTTCAACCTGGACCACCACCACCACCACCCCAACAAGCAAAGCCCCTAATGTCCAAGCCCGTAGCATTGGATGGACACACCAACAGGATCCAGCATCTCCCTAGGGGGGGGCAAGTAAACCACCTCCGCAGGGGGCAAAGCGGGATGCGCGGCAGATTTCGTGTGACACCAGCATGGCACCACGCTCAGCGACGGCCCCAATTGGGAATGGTGCTGCCATCGTTCCAGAGTGTCGATTGTGGGGTGATGTCGACCGATTTGCGGGGTGCAATCGGCACAGCCCGGGTTCAGTAACGTGACGGTTGCTTGACCATGCTGGAGACAACTGGAGTCGAGGGTAGACCTGGCTGTCCATTGTGCGATAGGCGGTCTGTTCATGGCCCGTTCCCATGCCGTGGAAGACGGCGAAACGGTACACCGTAGCCGGGCTGGATAACTGTATCCATGAGCTACTAGTAGCTGGAAGGGTCCCTTAGGGAGGCATTCCCGAGGATGCTTCCCGTGAATCGGACTATCTCTTGTCCATCTGAAGATCCCTGACCATACCAAAGCACAGCCACCTAGATTCGGTCTCCTTGCCTAGAAACTGGGTTGCCTGGCTTATTACCTGCTCGCTCCTACAGTATCCATTCGTATGACGGCTGGTGTGCCTTACGATCGGGCTATTGCATGACGAGCATTGAACGAACGGTATGTCGGAGGATTCCGTATCTTTCAGATCTTGCTAAGATGCCGTTCTACAAAACAGTTTAGTGCTCTTTTTGTGTGGTCATGAGCATTATGGATAAGACTATTATGACATCTAGTCGGTAATAAACTGGAGATGTCCCAACAAAGACAGACCCCTTTGACTTTTGACAAATTTTCCATCCGTGCTCAACTATTCCCCGTTTATGAAGCCGCAAGTGATCATCGTCAACAGATCCAAAAGCCGATTCCACCCGCGAAAAGAGAGCAGACTCCACCCAAAAACGTCCCGATATCTCGTCACATAGCCGAAAACCCTCGTTGATGTCATCTCTGGTCCCTTGATTTTTCTTTGCATTTCATTTCCACCCAGAGTCAGGGCCCATTGCAGCCGCACTAGACTGGATCTCACCCTGCGTATCCATTTTACTATGCTTTTTGGTCCAGCCCTCTTTTGGAAGCCTTTTTTCCTCTGGCCTTTGCCCAATCCCCTTTACCAAGGCACAAGTAAGCGAACGCTGTGCCCCCCCTTGGCCTGCCGATGTCATTCAACCAAAATTCCATCAATAAGCTCAACGCATTTTCCAATGCTCGTCTCCACCCAAACACTGCCAACTTGGGAAGTTTGCCAAGAGGGGGGCTATGTTTCGCAACGTCACAATGTGAGTTCGGCTGCGACTCCTCTTGACGGCTGTCGACGCCAGTGAGATGACGATGCTTGAAGCTTGTCGAATTCAAGGTTTCTGTTCAATTTGCTCTCTTTTTTTTCTATTACACATGAGATCCGCCCTACGACACAATAAATTTATTCCATTGGGTCCATCATCAAAAAAAAAAAAAAAAATCGACCACATCCACCATGGGGGGGTTTGTCGATCGGTCCCTTGTGGCCCCCCCCCCCCCTAGCAACACCCAAGCCACCCAAACTTCCCGGTGTTAAAAGACCCGAAAAGGCTTGTACATAATCGTTAAAATAATTCATAAATGCAGCTCAGAACGGTTGGGACGAACTTTGAACCTGAAGCTCCCGTATTTGGACTAGTCTATGCAAGGTAACTTATCCCTGGTCACACCGCAGGGGTTTGTACTATGTAACTCGGAAAATGCAAATTCACCTCTCGATCCTCTGGAATCTAGTGACTTTTGACCCGTCACTCAGCTCCTGCTGGATCTCGCGATGCTTGTACCCAAACAGTTTTGGCGCAATGACAAAGCGCAGAGTGTAGTAAATGATGCCCAGCGATAATATTGCCAGAGCGACGACGGAAGAGAGCCAGTACGGCAAAGAAGTGCTGCCTTTTCCGTTGGGTGGTCGCACAAATGGCATAACAATGAGGAACTGTGAAAGTCAGCCAAGCACCCTAAATTATGACTGGGATGGATAAAACTAACAATGTTCGCTACAAGGTAGATGCCAATAAGAATCCAGGGCGCGGGAAGTGGCGAGTGGAAGTTTGCACGGTCAGTAAGTCGCAGCTTCACCAAGCCGACTGTGATAGCAAACAGAAGAACCGTGGTGGGGTAACTGGACAAGCTGACGACGAAATTGAATGCGTCTCCTGCTGGAGGGGCACAGATGAACAAGATTGTGACACCAAGATGCAGCAACAGAGCGTAGATGGGGGTTCGGAAGGGCCTGTTCTCCATGAAGAGGTTGGAGAAAGGCAACACTCCATCCTTGGCTAGCTCTTGAAGCAAGCGAGCTGTTTAAATTATGTTAGCAAATTCTTGTTTGAACATCTTTAGAAGACTTCGAATAGGTGACTAACGAATTGTAAAGGCAACTCCAAGCAAATGGCCAAGGGCGGAAAGCGCAACCAGCGCAGGCAGCGCTTTCGCTCCAGCTGACGGGCCAAAGATATTCTCGAACAGAGTGGCAGCGACGGTGACTTTGGCGGCAATGAAAGCCTCCTTGGGAACAGCAGCAAACTATTGTGCTGGGTTAGTATAAGAAGTTGAAGATGCCAAGGAGTGGAACCCACATAGGCGACGTTCGCCAAGAGATAGAGCACAGCAATAACACCCATAGAAAGAGGCAACGCCAACCTCAGAGTCTTTTGGGGGTTGCGGACTTCAGATAGAACCTGTAGCAGAACGTTAGTCATCGTCTACTACTTTTCCCACCTAATGACCTACAGCGTTGATGTTGTCATATCCTTGGAACGAGAAGATGACATTGAGGATTGCAGAACCAATGTTGTATCCGCTGTTAGATGTGCCCTCGAATGCGTTCGAAAAGTTCTTGGGCGCCTCTATCCTGAGATGCCCTGCCAAGGCGGCGAAACCGCAGCAGACGATGAACAAAAGCGTAAAAAGCTTTACGGCGGAGAGCACATCTTGAATGCCTCTGCCAATGCGAGGGGCGACGGTATGAATTCCGACGGAAAAGACAGCACCGGCGATTGCAACTCCACGGAGTTTCCACGTTGTTGAATCAACACCGGCCGCAACCAGGATATATGACGAAAAGGTAATGGCGTTACTTGCGGAAACCTCTACATTGGCATTCAGTCAGAAACATAGGCTCATCAACGAAACTCGAAAGGTTTCTTGATAGTACGAAACTCACGTAAGAACACGCAGTAAAAGACATAAATGCATGTTTGCATCAACCTCGGACTGAATGCACGTTCAAGGTAATTCTTGATTCCTCCTGATCTGGGAATAGCAGTGCCAAACTCGAGCATGACAAAAACACCACATGTTGAAATGATTGCGCCAATCACCCAACACATCAACGCCATTCCCACACTACCGGACAATTTGAAGATTGTGCTTGGCGTCGAAAAGATACTGCAACTGTCAGTTGATTGTGAAAAATGGCTCAATTCGATTTTCCCTTACCCTGCGCCAATAATCTTGTTCACAACGAGTGACACAGCGCCAAAAAGACCAATTGTCCGCTCCTGCAGAACGTTGATTTCGACAATCCCGAGCTGGCCATCTTTGACAGACTCATCCGCACTATCGTGGGCAGCGTTGACCGCCGGCATACCTAAAAGAACTCTATTAGAAAATGGTATTCACTCCAAATACACCAAGCCAAGACAACTCACTCTTAATGTCATCATTGGACGCCATCGTCACAACTAACCGTGATTGCTCAAACGCCGAGACTGCCAAGATGCAAGTATCAAGAATCACAACCTAAAATTAACTGCAAATTTCACTGTTTTATCTCTTAAACCTCCCGTCAATTCTGCCCTGGATAGCCAATTTTCAGACGATTGTTGGCCAGCGACCACGTCCGCGGAGCTGGGGTGTCAAGCACGCCATACTGGAGCCAAGATGTCGAATCAACCAAATCAGTGCTGACCGTCCAGCAGCTATTGGGGAATTTTGGGGGTATTCCCCTGATATGGTCAATTCCATGGGCAACCGAGCACTTGGATTCGGACCTTTATGCTGGAACTTCTGTACCCCAAAATGGTGCTGTCGCACTTTGTCGCGCGAAATGGCCGCTGTCGGGTAGTTTCCGATGATGTCGTGCTTTGCATCCAATATTCATCATCGCGATCCTTCATAGTTATTGGGCAGATAGTCAAAGAATCTCCAGATACGGCAGATGGCTTATCCGGGGCACATCCGACTGCGGTCCGAAATCACCGCGTCGAACTGGAATGCTTTGCATTTCGGCCATGACTTGATGCAATAAATGGAATCCAAACAGCACTTTTGCCAAAGTCATCAGAACTTCTGGGACCAACCTATTTGCTACGTTGACGACATATGTCTTGCACGATGGGAGTCGAGTTCGAGGCTTTCAATGTCCCTGGCGCCCGAACTTATTTCGGTAATGCCTTGCCGTACGGCCTCCAGGTAAAACAGGACGGCGCTGACGGCGAGGTCCCGCCTGTTGCCAAGTCGGCTGCGGCTCTTCGCACCCTGGGAGAATCGGGGAAGCTTCAAGAGCTTCTCGATCGCCATGGCGCGATTTTGATCCGCGGAGCGGGTCACCCGTCTGCGGACACATTTGCCGAGCTTGTTAGCGCGGCCGAGAAAGGTCGTGGTTCACAACCTCATGTACAAATCGGTTTGGCTGGCAAGAGAACCGCGGTCGCCGAAAATGTGTGGACTGCGAACGAAGGATCACCATTGACGCGATTCTATCAACATAATGAGGTACGAATCATCTTGAGCCGGTGTAGCTTTGGCAACGAGGAGGCGGCCTTATTCACAGGCGGCAACTAGTATTCGAGATATACGCGATTCCCGTCAAATATTCACTTCTACTGTGTTAAGAAAGCACCAAAAGGTGAGAGGAGGCAAAATCAAAGAGACGAGAAGCTCAAAGCAGGGTATTTCTGACAGGGCATATGACCAATGCAGGAGGCGCAACACCAATCGCCAACAGCGCCAATGTCTTTGAGAAGGTCCAAGCAGAGATCCCTGAGCTCGTGGAACAGGTACACAAGCGAGGACTGGGGATGAAGATGGTATTCCGAGCTCCTGGGAATGAGGCCAAAGTCAACTCTTTCAATTGGGCGGGCGAGCACAGCTTCGGCCGGGAACTTCGTCCGGGTGATGACGACGCCACTGTCAAACAAAAGGTGGAGACGCAGGTTCGCAAACTTACGGATGATTTCAAGTGGCAGGATGACGGAAGTCTTGAGCTTACACAGCATATTCCCGGTAAAACATGCTCTCCTATGATTCTCTAAGGCCAGCTCATCGATACTGACTGACTGCCAAAGGCATTAGAAGGCTGCCGGCCAGCGGAAGACCCGTCTGGTTCAACGGGTTGGTGGGAAGACACGGCATCACTCGAGATATTGGTGCACTGGACCCACCCCATATTGGCCGAGATGGAATGACTTGTTAGTCTCGCACAATAGGATTTGCCTGAACATTGCTAACTATTCCCCAAAGATCTCCCTTGCGTATACGGAGATGAGACGCCTATTCCGCGGGAGTATCTAGACAAGTTGATTGATGTCATTGATAAAGAAGAAATCAGCTTGGTCCTTGAAGAAGGAGATCTATTGCTGGTTGACAACTTCCAGGTATCTCACGGAAGAGAGCCTTGGGAAGGCGACAGACAGATTCTCGTCTCTATGTGGGACACATCTATTCCAGTTGCCGCATACTAAGAGATGCACGATTTTCAAGCTTCAGCAAGGGAACCATTCTAAAGGGTGTTCTAAAGGGTGTATTGATACGCAGGGTGGCATTGCCACCGCTCACCCAATGCCTTTGTTCGTGATCCTTCGCGTGTACCTTCCGCCAGCAGGTCCGCATCTCCTCCCTTTCGTAGCTGGCTATTGCGCCACCGAAGATAGAAGTGGAGGGTTGTGGCAAGGAGAATGCACATGGCAGAGAAGGCCACATTGAGGATGTTGGCTTGCCAGTATTGCGGACCATGAGATTTGGGGTAGAAATAGCTGGCGTAAATTGAGGCCAGATTGGAGCCAGCATTGACTACGGCGTATGATACTGCGCGCTTGGTTGACGGCCGAGGAAGGGTCGTCGAGACCCAAGAAAGAATGCAACCAAACGATCCGTAGACGCTCATCATCATGAATGTTGCTACGTAGCGAGCAGCTACGTTAAGGGTGGTTGCTGAGATTATAAATCCGACGCTACAAAAGATTTGCGGCCACACAATGTGCAGCCATCGTTCGCGGTGTTTATCGCTATGCCATGAGTTGGTGATGCCGAGGATGGCGGCGAAGACATATGGCGGAGACGACAAGAGAAGCGTGTTGCGCTGGTTATAACCAAGAGTTGCCACAATGGTGGGGAAAAAGTTGGTGAAGGATGCTGCCGTGTTGAGGCCGAGTTGCATGAGCCAAATCATGTACAGAGCTGGGTCGGTGAAGGTCATCCTGAGTCCCTGCCATGCTGTTGCTTCACTGCGGTTGTCCTCTTCAACTGCCTCTTCGGTGATTCGAAGAGTAGCAATCTTCCTCTCCTCATCCGATAGCCACTTTGTGGTTGCCGGATAATCGGGAAGAATGAGATATGTGAAGAAGGCAACCGGGATAGGAATAACCCCTTCAATGATAACTGGCATATTTTTGTTATTACTCATCCTTTATGCGCACAATCATTCTTGTAGTGACTTACAGAGCCATCTCCAGTCTGCCAGGCCGAGCTTTCCGTTCATTCCGCCCATGATAGCGCTGCCTAGCAACCCTCCAAAGGCGCCAGCCATTTGGCCAGCTGCGTAGAGGACTGAGATACGCACAGCCAATTCTTTTTTGGTATACCAAGAGCTAAAGAGATAAAGCGCTCCAGCTAGTTATGTGTTAATACGCATATATGCCTTGTGTCTCAGAAGGAATACTTACGAAAGAATGGGGCTTCGACGAATCCAAGGAGAAATCGAAGAACGACTGCACCAGTGTAGTTTTGAACAGCGCCGGTTGAGGCACTAACTACAGCCCAACAACACATGACAACGGGAAGGAAGATGCTTGGTCGCATCTTGTTCAAGATCATGTTCGTAGGTACCTGGGTGAGAATATAGCCGACAAAGAAGACACTTATAACCGTGTTATATTGTGTGCCAACTAAGCCAATGTCTTTTTCGAAGTTGCCCAATCTGGCTGTGGCAATCTGAATAAAATAGTAATGGTAAATAGGTGTTTCCGCAAGAAAGCAATGGGCATTTTGATACGCACATTGTTGCGGTCCAAATAATTTAGAACATGTGCTCGAAATTGTCAGTACCTGTAATGCTTCAGATGGTAAAAATCGGGAAGACTTATAGAGAAGCATCATCAAAGGCATCCTAACTGCACGTTAGTAGCTGACACTGGTCTTCAAGCGTACAAAATAACTTACATTCGAATATCAATCTTGCGTACTAGTCGACGCTCCTTCACTTCTCGGTCTTCGATATCGACATGATCTACTTCACTTGGCTTGATTGGGTCATCGAGCATTTCGACCTGGAGGTCCTTTGGAACCTCATCTTGCCCTTTGTTTGCTGACATTCTATTGACAAAAGTTCAGATCGTGTTGAAGTGAAAGACGACAGGTATGTCAAGCAAAAATAAGAAGCTGGACTTCAAAGTAGACACTGGGCCTAAATACGCCAGCTCTAGTCTCTCGGTATACCGTCCGACTTGATGCCCCACAGTATGTTGGTCCTCGGAGCTCAATCTCTCTCCCCGCAGCCGCGAATGCGGAGAGAGTTGTGGCAGTTGTGGGTCCGGGGTAATTCAAGCATGCTAGTGGGCAGATATCCATACAAACAAGGTCATTCACGGAGTCTGGTTCATCGGAAGCGACAAGCGAGCCGGTCGGCTCGCGCAATCCTAGTTTGCTATGGTCAAGAGAATGAAAGGCAGTGTCGTCCTGCGGGGAAAAGGTTGCGGCTAGAGTTACTTGCCGGGTTTGCTATTCATGGCGATATACATCTAGAGAAGTGAGACGGGTAGAATCCAACGCATAGAGCTTCGAGGATACTCTTGTTGTTTTCATCCCCTCCCCACTCTCCAATAGTTGTTGCAGTTTAGAACATGCCCTACCAATTTGCCGCGTTGGTCTAATCGACCTGTCAAGCACAGATTGAACAACACCTCAACTCTTGGTTTTCCAGAGCCACATGAGCAAATGTGGAAGAAGACTGCACCTGTTTGCCAACAATGTTTTTCGGAGAAATCGTAAGGTGTAAGGTCCAACCTTCTGCATTACTGTCTGAACCCGGCGGCGCCTATCAAGATGTGTTGCCCGGCGTTATCCCCGGATACTTGCAGCCTGGTGTCATGGGGTAGCATCACCTATCGCGGCCATTCGTTATGCGATGATCAGCCACAAAATAGGAATGGTGCATCCGATCGGGATTATGATAACGTGGAAAGCTCATCAGCTTGAGACGAGCAGGAATCCTGCTCATCGGGTTGATCCTCGATAGGCCAGTACCGGCAGTGCCCCGCTTGTATGGTCGGAGGCGAGATATGCCTTACGGAAAATGCAGTTGGAGGTACAACCTGGTCATGTACGCCAAGGTGAGGTGATCGGACAAGTTCCCGATGCCATCAATCCCGCAGATAGGCCGAACAACGTCGACCCCTCTCGTAACTCCGGTGTCGCTGGCTCTTATGGTTATTTACACGTCGTATCGACCGGTGTTCTGCTTTCCAAAGGAACCGAAGATATCAGTATTGCAGCTTCAATGACCAGATAAGTGGAAGCTCATCAGCTTGAAATACATATCAACCAACAAATTCCTACTTCACGATGCCGAGCACTGTAAAGCCAATTGTTCTCCATCTAGGAGACCCCATCGAATACAACCCAGAGTTATATAAGGAATTGGAGGCGATAGCAACGGTTATTAGGCCGGAAACTGAAGAGAGACAAAGAGAGCCATTCTTAGTGGCTTTGAAAGAGAAGCGATGGGGTGACTTCTCAGCCATTCTTCGCCCCTTTTGGAACTCTGGCGGCGAAATGGGCCGCTGGGATAGCGAGTTGATCCCGTATCTCCCAGCCTCTGTGAAGGTGTTTGCATCAGCAGGTGCTGGATATGACTGGGCAGATGTTGATATTCTGGCAAAAGCCGGTAAGAAGCAACATCAAATTTGTCATTGCAATAACCAACTTCTCACGTGGTATAATAGGCATCATCTATTGCAATGGAGCGACAGCTTCTTCCGAAGCTGTGGCGGACATGGCTCTGTACCACATCATCTCGGTCTTTCGAAATATGCAATGGACGAATACAGCGGCACGGAGCGGTAACCCAGAGATGTTTCTGGATGCCCACAGGAACAACAGCGAAACAGCACGTAATCCAAAAGGGCATACGCTCGGCATTGTTGGTCTCGGTAACATTGGCTACCGAATAGCACAGAAGGCATACACAGCTTTTGATATGAAAATTGCATACGTCGACCCCATCTCCAAGCCAGCAGGGCAGGAGGCAGCCATAGGTGCCAGGCGCTACCATGACCTTGACGCGATGCTGGCCGTATCGGATTGCGTGGTGATATCTGCTCCCGGGAGTGCATTAGGCGGCAGAGCTCTCATTGACGCAACTCGTCTAGCAAAGATGAAAGAAGGTTCGCGTTTGGTGAATGTTGGCCGTGGAAACTTGGTGGATGAAGAGGCGTTGGCAGATGCACTGGAATCAGGCCATCTTGCGGCGGCTGGCTTGGATGTCCACAACAATGAGCCCTACATTAACCCACGCCTGCTTGCCATGAGAGACGTTAGTTTGACTTGTCATACTGCGGGAGGTGCTGTCGAGACCCGAGTTGGCTTCGAGGAACTTGCCATAAGGAACGTCATGCATGTCATTTTGGGCAAAGATCCATTAACACCGGTCAATAAGCATTTGTTGAAGTAGGTAATCTCATAGTTCCAACTGGCAAAACACAGTGCAAAATACCTCAGTCGTAAAAGTTTCAGCCTATGTTGTTGAAAAGTCCAAATCGGCATAAAGCGCAAAGACGGCGCAGCATACGGATTCCATTGCTGGCAATGACAAGATGTGAGGCCAAAACGACGAACTTTTTAATCTCATCTTCGTATCCACACATCCTTACAATAGCGCGTCCATTGCCAATTTGCTGGAGCCTAAAGATCACATTTAACCACCTACGAATGTGACTCTGACAGGGTCTTTTTTCTGCTGTGCCGTAGGCTTTACTATAATGGGCGCGGATCCGCCGATATAACTGGATCATTTGATGGAACTTTTGCGCCTTATAGGCCTCTCTTCATCCTCCGCCTAGAAGGCTAAGAAAAAAAATGAGAAATCAGGAGACATAATAAGTCGCGTCGCCCATAGCTATTCCTCTCGCCCCTAGCGTCTCCCAAACACCCTTTCGGTTGTCAGTCTAAACCCTCAACTGAAAGTCCACACAGCGATACAACACGATGCGACCGCGGGATATTACTAGGGCGGTCATCTCAGCGACCTTAGTCCCTCGGGCTAGCGCTGCTTTCTGCCCTTGGGGATTTGGAGGTTACGCAGAGCCCTGCGGAGCCGAAAGAATTGGCGCTGATGACAAGGTTTGGATAAACGCCGTCGAAGCCAGCAATTCAAGCGGGACTTACACTATGCCTGGATATGACGTGTCGAAGCCATGGCCCGGTACACCCATGGATGGATGGACTCTTTCGAAAACCGGGGTCGACCTTAGCGGCCTACGTCGAGATGGGAGGCGCGGCAGCCTTTATTCCGGCCTTGCGGTCGTCTCCTCTGATATTAAAATCATTGCACCAAAGTCACTCTACGTGCCGAGTACGAATGCAAGCGATCATGGCAGACCGGTAGTCAACGCTCATCCGGACTGGATCTTCTGCGCATGGCGCTGGTACACCGCGCCGTACAATAACAAGACCCTTTTCACGAACCCTGACAACCTAGAGTTGCCGGAAGACGGCTCCTGTGCCCAGTGGCTCTCCGATGAATGCATAAAGGCTGTGGAGAAGCAAGCGAGCACCGCATACTGGATAAATTCAGAACCAGGAGGGCGATATGGTTCTCACCACACCTGTCACGACCTTGATGTTCCGGACGAGTGTCTAGGGACAAAGTTGGAGAATAACGAGCCATTAGTTCCTAGTAGGTTTACTTGGAAATCTGCAAACTCTTGTAGGCATCAGAGCTGACAGACCACGTAGCCTGGGGAGTGCCTTTGCAGTACCTCAACGGTTCAACAACATGGCAAGGTGGATATGGTCTCGATGAAAACACCACAGCAGAAGATATTAAAGCGATGTGGTGGGCTCAGACGGTAGAATATCAGCCCATCGTTACCATGTTTGGGCACAAAACCAACAAATCACTATACTCGACGGATCCCGAGCCTGGTTTCGCAAAGCTGAGTTGCATAAGAGGTTTGCCGGCAAAAGGACAGAAGTCCAACACCGGAGGCAGTGGAGGAAATGGAACCACCGGAGAGGATGGCGGTAATGAATCCAGCAACGATGGAGATAGCAAGAGCGAAGCAATTTTAATAAGCAGTGGGGTTGCCGTACAACTAGCAGCTTTCATGGTTTTGGCAATCTGGGTTCTATAAGTCAAGTAATAGAAGTTTTCTGTTCTGATAAGGTATCGTCTTCTAGCTTTACGCACATGTTGTAGTCTGCTGGCATAATATTATACCGAATAGCGATGGCCAACCAAAGGCATACATGGTTTCCATCAGGCAATGCTAGTTCCCATGGAGAAGGAAGTTAAAGATAACTTGAATTTCTATACTCAAACTGCGGCTTTTTAAAGAAGGGTCGACGCAGCCTTATATATATGCATCATCGGAAAATTCCGAATTTGCAAGTCTGCTGAGACTTAATAGCAGCAAATTACGAAAGGTTGCAGGCAAGGGAAGTATTATGGAAAGAGGACTTCCTCCACCTTGCTTCCAACTCCATAAGTTAGAGCTTTTAAGCCTGATATCATTTCGCATTAGATGTCCGAGGCATGCATTGATCTGTAAAGCAAGACTCAGACCTGATGACGAATGTAGCTGGATCTACCTACATGAGGAACGATTGCCACGCAGGATCAGCTGAACGTTGAATGAGACAAACATGGAAAACTTGCATCCTCCTTATTCCTGTACTCGGCTTGATAAGGGTTAATATTAGATCTTGACTTCTCGGAGATTTCATTCAATCGATATCACGACTAGCCACTTGACTTTTCCTGGGCAAACGCTTTCCGCGGAATGGTTTTAGCCCCCGACGTCAGGCTCCATTGTCAGAGTCACTGTTGACGAAATCGTGACCGATGTGGTATGGGTAATTAAGTACGCGGAATAGGACAGTTATACGCGTATAACTCTTACAGAATGAAAGTAGGTTCATCATTCACAAGTTCTGACCGGGATGCCTGTTGCCGAAAGACACGATAGAATGCATATTGCGGGGAAATCGGACAAGGTTCTCCAGATACTTCCCACCATGTCCCTTGACAATGTCAATATCTGGACCAAGCTAGGCAGGTAGTCTCTTAGCTAGGAGCCTTGTGTACATGACGATAGATTCTGCAATGGTACGTTGTATTTACACCTCGAATTCAGTATTAGACTGCGTCTTTCACTTTGAGATGCCTCTCAAGATTTAAATGAAGGAAATACCTGCTCTCAGTCTGTGGGAATGTCGTGATGAGTTCCCTTTAAAAACTTACCTCGTGTCTTTACTTTCTAATATTGCCAAAATATCTCCGAGCATTCACACCAGATCAACATGAAGATCTTTATTCTCCATGCTATCGTGGGATTGCTAAATCATTCCATCACCACTACCGCTTCTCCTCATCATGCTTTGAGCCCACGTGACACCAACTTCATCCCACCACCGCCTAAGCCAGAGCCAATAGAGCTGGTCCGTCTACCACTACCTCCAGGCATCTCCTCCAATACACCGGGCTCTTGTGATGAAAGGGCAAATCCACGAAGAACCGGGTGTATGCGTGTCAAGAGCGAGCGCGACTTCCAGTCCGGGAGTTTCCTCCCTGACGGAAAGCATGTTCTTGCACTTGTGCCGTTTATCGGAGCGCCCCCTGCGCCCGAACCGGCCAGCATTTATAATGGCTCGCAAATCATCATCATCAAGACTGATGGCACGTACTTCCCTAATGGTGATAGCTGGAAATGTATCACCTGTGGCATACCGGTCGAGAATGCCATCGGACGAAGCACAGCTATGGACTACCCACAAGCCTTCATCGATGGCAAGCGTATCTTGTTTGGGACCAACATTGCTGACTGTGGGAATCACCTGCTCACCAGTGAGGAATGTACCCCGGACAAGACGCACATATATCCCATCCGATGGAACACCAGCCCAGATGGCAGTGGCTCAGGAGGAGCCATCAGAGAACTTCGACTCCATCCCGACAATGTCCATCTAGGGTTCAGTTCATTCACCACCGGTGCTAAGCTGGGACAGTTCGGCTACTTTTCTCGTTTACAATTTAACCCAAAGCCAACAACTGGCTTGCCACTTGCCCCGAGGTACGACCTGCTCAACGTCTACAGAATGTACCGGGAAAACGGCCCTAACACGTTGTCGATTCGTGGAGACCAGTTGTACATCAATGAGAGCGCTGTCGTTGTTGGTGAGCTTCGAGGGTTCAGCGGCCGTGGTGACGAAATTGTTTATGTCGGCAATCCTGTCGAATCATCTAACTTGGATGTGTTTGCTGCAAATATGCAGACCGGCCGGGTGCGCCGCATAACTGCTCACCCCGAGTACGTCGACCCCATTGACCACTCCCCCGATGGAAGATGGTGGGCCATCATGGACACACGTGATACCGACCGGCAGATGTTTCTCTCCGGCATGCGCAATGTGCCTCCTATCACCGATCTGGTTACAACATTGGTGACGTCGGCCACTCGGAATAACGGACAGCGGCGCTTCTTCGTGCCTTACCTTCTCGATAACGCTGGTGACAGGCAGAACTACTACGGTCAGAAAATCAATGGTCCTGGCTTTAGCGCTCCTGGCAGTGGTGACTTCAGAGATCCTGAATGGAACGGGCAGGCGGATCCTCGCTGGTCTCCTGATTCCACGCAGCTGGTTTATTGGGAGGCTCATGTTGAGTTCCCGGCCTGCGGCGGTGCGAACCCGCTGCCGTGCTATTCATCCAAGGAGCCCGACGGCAAGGACATTCGCATCATCTTGGCTAAATTCACTGGCCGCAAGCCTTCCAAATATGTGCCTGTGGCCCCTGTCCCGGATGAAATTCCCTGGGGTGAGCTCTACGTCCCAGGGAGCGCCGAGCCGGAGCGAACAGCCTTGAAACCTGGCCGCTTCACTCTCCAAGCTAGAGTGTCGGGTTATGCTGACGTTCGCATCGATCATACTGTTGAGTCAACTGAGCCGAATCAGGTTGCTGTCACTTATCATAATTACTCGGACGATGGTATAACATTCCTCAACGGCTGGGAAAATGTTACTAGCATAATCAAGAGTCCCACCCTCAACCATGTTGATTGGTACTCTGACTTGGTGCAAGTGGGATCTCGGGGCATCCGTAACACCAAAAAGACGAGTGTTGATGGCTTCCATTTGGACATTGACGTGCTGACCAATTTCTTCAATGCTAATGGCACGATGACTACCACCATTGGAGATAAGGTGTACAAGCAGCCTCTGAACAACGCCTAGCTTTCATTTTTCCATAAATTATTGGACCAAAGTCCGCGTTTCGTTAAAACTGGAAGACAGACGAGTGAGATTGTCTCTGTTTTGGCATGATTCCCTATTCGATGCAGACAGGTAGATAGGAGCGCCAAATTTAGCAGATCCAGTCTTCAATTTCATACAAGAATGAAGCTCATATTCAAATCGCCATACGAGATAAAGTCATCTTGTGTATCAGGCAGGAGTACCCGCGAGCTTATCTGATGCCTTTGAGTCCAATTTGGACAGAAAATCTAATAGTTTCTTGAACTGCGATCGCGCCACCTGCTCAATTGTCTTGCTCTCAGCGTTATGTACCAATTCCAGAAGAATGATCCCCACACGTCGAATACGTTCGACCTGTTTTCTGTTATTAGTTTTGAATCCTCATCTATCATCATAGAGTTGGACCCTTCGGATACCGAAGGCGAGGGGCTTTATAGAATAAAGGTAAATGTGGAAGGGTATGTGAAAGAGGGGTGGTTTATAAAGAACACGTACCGCTGTCTCTCCTTGGACCTTGAAGCATTTGAACGGCACCATTTGAAGCTCCTGCAGGAAATCGTGCACGAGCTCTATCTTTCGAATTGCACACGACATGGGCTGTCCGTCTAATCCCACCACGGAAGGGATGCCCAGGGTCACAGATCTTTGTAAGATTACAAGCCTCATGCAGTGAAAGACGGTCATGATATTGCTTCGCTGTGTCCAGAAGCATAACCTTTGGTAGGCAGCAACGGTGTGGTCTGTAGAGTTGTTGCTGTCAGGATCAGTGTTGTCGGGATTCCTCAGCCACATTGGCAGCTGATCTACCAAACTCGTGAAGCTCAGATACATCTCAGCCAGCCCGGTAAGTTTCTCTTTCTGTCCTGGGCCAGACAGTGTTTCCTCTCCGCCCTTGTTACGTGAGAAGGATTTGAGATTCAACAGTAAATCAGCTGCGGCAGCCCAGATCCGCCGCTTTAGATGGAACCCCAAGAAGAGACGGGATTCAAGAGCGTCTCGATTAATCGGCTTGCTGGTATCCAAAAACGGCTCCTCCTGTTGGCCATTGTCAAGCAGCGTTAACTCGTCATCGGTGAAACTCCCCTGCAAAATCGGTGGGCGCGTTTCTAGAGCTATTGACGTCTTATCTGCCAAGTATAACAGCCAAAAACTAGCTCGAAGTATTTGAGATTCTAGTTTGGTGTGTTGTTGCACGGCGCTCTCATCATGAAGCCGAAGCCGTTGCGCGATGAAGGCAGCTTCAGCGTGATATTGGTAAGATGTTCCCACCCTCCCAGTCGTGTTTTGCATCGCGGCTGACTGCCACATGCGAATGGTCAAGGATGTTGAGTCTGGATTCTCGAGGTCATGGTCCTCGTAGACTTGGAGCATCGCTCGAGATGCTGCGAGGAATGGCTTCGACAAGGTAGCTCTGCGAGATAATTGGGCCTCAGGCATGACAGATGTAACAAAAGCGCAAAGCGCCGTGACCAAGGAGAATCTGCGGAGGTGTGTCATCTTGTGATGCGTGTCGACTGCACATGGAGAGGAGCCGGCCACCGCCGAGAAACCGTCTGCGGCAAGGAGCGCAGCAGCATCACGAAGCGTCGGTTCGTGAGCAATAGGCGTATTGGGGAAGAGGTACTGCATGAAGAAGTCAATACACTCATGTGCCACATCCAAAATAGACTCAGGGGCGTGAGGAGTGCCGGTAACAACCAGGAGAGCTCGGTGGATTTGGGCAGCGTCGTAGTGAAAGCTAACATTTGAATTAGCCGCTCCCGCGGAGCTCGTATCGGCCAGCAATTCCAAGCCTGGGCTCAAAAGCCATGGTGGAGAAAGCTGATCGGTTCCGGTAGCTGTTTGCTCTAGATGACTGACAATGATCGTATCTGGTTCAGTTTGCGTGTGCCTGATAACACCGCCGCCTGTTGCGTCCAAAGCACTTCCATGAGATGGAACCCGCTCTGCAGTTCTAAGGCCTCCTCGTGAGCGCTTGTTAGGATGTGTGCTATATCTGCACTGAAGTTGAGATAGCCGGCAGTTAGCACACGGCTCAATTCCGTCACACTTGACTTTGCGGCGTTTGCACGCATCACAAGCGTGGGCTGGTGGCATAACACCGCTGCCTCATCCGAGGGTTATCGACAAACGGCCTTCGAACTGACGTGAAGGGCCATACAAACTAGGAGAACCCACATGGAGGGACATTCCACGGAATAAATCTACAGGGCCATTAGCGAGTGGCTGGTCAGGGATGTAAGGCGGAGGCACATCATGTGGATGAGCCTGGATTTGGCTCCTTTAGCGTCCACCGGGATCTCCGCATGACCTAGACTCCGCGGAATGAAAGTCCGCGTAATGTGAAATTGTTGGCGACCTCGAGTAAATCCCAAATTCACCACTTCAGATTTTAGTGGCCAAGCGGAATGGGGCAATGTGATGCAGGCTTTTGCAAACATTGGCAAATATGGATCACGCATTCTCCAATGCGTCGGCAGAACGGATACCGAATGATGTGATGTAGGTCGAAAAGACCTCGAGTGTCAACCAAACCCATTCGAGTCTCAATGCTTAGGTGATGTACGACGTTCCTCTCATCCCACTTCCCCTCTTCTACTCTTATTGTATCTCAAGCTCCTACGATATTGAGATACCTTCATCACGCACTCGAGTTCGACGCATCCACAACTTTACGTCTCCCTTCAACGCCCTCGCTTGCTCGTGCATGTACGCAATCGCATCGTAACAATGTCGGCAACATTTGACAAAACATGGATGTGGCATCCTTCGTTCCCAGAGCACGAACCCGGCACTGCGGGCTTGTTTCTACATTTCCGGAAAGAGTTTATCCTTAACGCAGGAGAAGTCCCAAAGTCAATGAAGATACACATTACTGCCGACACGAAATACAAGCTCTATGTAAACCGAAAATTAGCATCTTTTGGTCCAGTGAAAGGGGACCACAACATGTGGTTCTTTGACGAAGTGGACATTGGACCATACTTGATCGAGGGAACGAACCGGATCGGTGTTCACATTCTTCGATTCTTCTTCGCTACGCAGTTCGCCCCCGCTTTCCCTCGCCTACCTAGTGGTGGCTTGAGAATCACTCTTCCTCAAGCAGCCGATCCCTGGCCAGAGCGACTCTGTAGCGGACCGCTCTGGGAGACGGCAATTGACCCCTTCGGTCGTCTACGAATTGACGAGCCTGAGGACAGTTTTCTACACATTTACGAAATACATCGCAGAGTGGATGCTGACACTCAACTCCAATGGGTGCCAGCCAGGGTCCTGGAATTCAAAAATTCGACCGGCAACTCGCCTCCATGGCATCTTTCTCCACGCCTCATCCCGAACTACCGTATTCAGTCGTCCAGTTTCTCTGATGTACACAACATTCAAAGTGATTTATCCAGCGAAAGCTGGAGAAAGCTTTTGCTAGCTGATCAGAAGGGCGGGCTGATGCCTCCTAGTAAGGAATTACGACTCACTCCAGGCTCTCGGCACTCTTTCGAGCTTGAAGCAGCTCACCATACAACAGCTTTCCTAAAGGTTCTGTTCAAAAGACCCGAGGACGGTGGGGGCTACGTAAAAATCACATATTCGGAAAGTTACGAAGAACAGCCGGATCTCTACAAGGGCATCAGGCAAAAAGCACACCGTTGCGACAGAACAAGGATGCTGATAGGCCCACACGATCTATATCACTTCCAGGGTCCATCAAAATCCCTTGGCCTGGAATACTTCAATGAAGAAACGGATGAGATATTCATTCCTTTTCATTTTAGATCATTCAGATTTCTCAAGGTCGAGATATGTGTCGAGGCTGCAGAATTGGCTTTTCGGGGTATTGAGATGGCATTGGCCCATTATCCATTAGATGTTCGAGCCACCATCGCAGCCGACAGTCGACCTACCATCGAAGACCACAGTGGTACTCAAGATACATTTTTGAGTCAACTCTGGACCACCAGTATCCGTACGTTGGTCAACTGCATGCACGACTGTTATGAGGATTGCCCATTCTACGAACAGCTGCAATACGCAATGGATACCCGAAGCTCGGCTCTCTTTACTTACTGCGTTTCGGGAGACGACGCACTCGCCCGTCAGGCAATAATTCAGATTCACAACTCCTTTCAGCCCAGGATAGGCCTTACCGCCAGCAGAGCCCCAACTCATCGGCAGCAGTTCATTCCGACTTTCTCATTATATTGGATCTGTATGCTATCTGATCACTACGTCTACTTTGGCGATAGTGGGTTTCTAAAGCCATTCTTGCCGGTTGTCGATGGTATTCTGGCATACTTTGAGGCCCGCGTCGATTCTGAAATAGGGTTGGTGAGGATGGAGTTCGGCTCCGGGAGTGGCTTATGGAATTTCGTTGACTGGACAGAGGAATGGAAGCCATACGGCTATCCAGAAGCTTGCGAGAGAACGGGCTTCTCAACCTTCATCAACGAGATTTATGTCTTTACCTTGAACTCCACAGCTGAACTCGTGAGCGCTTTGGGGAAAACCTCTCTCGCGATGGAATATCAGAAGCGCGCCAATCGCATTATCGCAGCCTTGCGTGAGTACTGCTTTGACGGCGAATTTTTCACTGACAGTATCACCTCTGCGCAGCCGTCAAACACGACTGTGACGCACAGCCAGCATAGCCAGATCTGGGCCGTATTAAGCGGCGCATTAAGCGGTAGCGAGGCTCAGGCCCTGCTGAGCAAGAGCATGAAGGAGACAAATGCCGGAAACTTCGTAAAGGAGTCTATTGCCATGTCTTTCTACACACTTCGTGCCCTTGCTGTCGCAGGGGGTGACCTCTATAATGAGCATTTTCATGCCTTCTGGGAACCGTGGAAGAGCCAGCTGGACCAAGGACTCACTACTTGGGTTGAGGATAGTGTCGCGCAACGCTCAGATTGTCACGCCTGGGGAAGCGTACCGCTGTATGAGTTCCCGGCTGAGGTAGCTGGGGTTCGGCCAGCAGCGCCAGGTTGGAAGGCTATTGAGATTATGCCGAGACTGGGGCTGTACTCAAGTTTTGAGGCTACTGTGCCACTAAGTGTTGTCAAAGGGGTGTCTCTGGGTACTGTACAAGTATCTTGGGCAAAGATATCGAATAAGGACGAAATTGAGCTGCGGATAAGCGGCGAGATCAAAATGGAAAAGGCGGTGCCGCTTTCTATACGGCTACCGCACCAGAACCTCAGTCTCGCATGGACAGGCTCTAAGATATGCCTTACCACCAAAGGCGTGAGCGACTCAGGAAAATTAGAAAGATGATATATTGGCAAGTGGGAACCCGGTGTTCGGAGTGGGCACTCGAGAAAAGGGCAGAGTCTACTGACTCTTGGGCCTGGCTCTACTACCGTTTTCTTCGTGTTTTTAACTGTGTAGATAATCCACAACAGTCTCAGTGAAGCTGGATATCAACGATGTTTCGCTATGCCGCGTGTATTCTTCGCTTTCGCTTTCACCCAAAGAGCTTACACACGACCAGCTTTCTAGACACCGTCTTAGGCTTGCGCAAATCGAGTATAACATCCAAGTCAAGCGAGTAAGTTAGAATTTCGCAACCATCAGAAAACCATAACAGCAAAGACGCAAATTTGAGGCGATTGGCCAGTTTGCTACAGGGTGTGCCAACCCCAGTGTGGTGTGCAGCTACTCCGCGGAATGCGGGGAGACTTTTGGTAGATTAATTGAGTTATGGGGTAACCCATTCGGATCACTCCTCGAAATCCAGTCGGAGCAAATCATGATGGAGGGTAATTCCGGTTTGGGACTTGGACAGATACCAGATGATCCTATCCCGTGGAATAGGTCGTGCGGGGTTGTGCTGAACTAAATCTGGAACCCCAGCTACGCATCGACAAACGTGTTGGAAATCATGACATTATTCGGGAAAGAGTGGCCCGACTTGCCCTTATGGCTGAATTGCAGTAATGTCCATCCATCGTATGTCCGTATTCATCCTTGCCAGTCAGGTTAGCTTCGAAATCCCCATGGGGTTGAACATTAGGTTGAAATGCATATGATGAACACCATTTCCACCAACAGGTTGCAATGTCTTTTATTCCGGACAAGATAAACACATTGTCTCTCAAATAACTCTAATTCAAATATCGCAAGACGACCTTTACGAGCACAGTCTCTGTATTTTGAAACTATGGCGACACAGACAGAACCGAAGATCGCCCCTAGTAGGGATGATATCCAGCATGTCGAAACAGGTCCCAAGAAAAGCTATGAAGAGCCTTCCAAAGCCACGACCGTCTTAAAGTCGACTATCGACGAGCTCGGCATGTGGGACACGGTTCGCAAGTTTCCAAAGGTGAGAAAGACAGCTTGCCGTTGCTATTAAGCAGCCCTTGTGTGCTCACCAGTTTTCAGGCTGTTCTCATCTGCAATCTGATGTGCATAGCAGCCGCAGCTGATGGTTACCAGATCAACTTGAATGGTAGGTGGTCCTTTTTTTTTTTTTTTTTTGATATGATTGTCAGCAACGTGACTGACCTGCCTTGTAGGCGGCATCATTGCTAACCAGGGATTCACCAACCACGTTGGCTTCCGGAACCAGGCTGGTATTTACACGCTTAAGGCAGAGTATACCGCTCTTTGGGGAGCTATGCAGTCACTTGGTCAACTTATAGGACAGGTGCTACTTAACCCCATCTCAGATCGGCTCGGTCGCAAGCAAACTCTTTATTTTCTCTGGGTACTTCTGGCTGGGGTAAGTACGCAGGACATTTGAAAAACTTTCAAAGCTTAAGCGATGGGGCACTGACAGATCATCATCTCCAAGTCCCTTATCATCGAGACCCTCGTGCGTGACTGGCGTGACTGGGCCGGTGCCAAGGTGCTCGCGGGAGTGGGCGTCGGTGCCATTCAAGCCACACTGCCTATTTACATTACCGAATGGGCTCCAGTTAATATTCGCGGAGCAATGATAGTGACCTACGGCTTTTGGAATACCATTGGCAAATTTCTGGCTAATCTCGTTCTCATGTTATGTCAGCAAACTGATGCACTTAACTACAAGATTCCAATTCTGACCCAGTGGGGGTTCTTGGGGTTGATGTTGCCCATTTTCCTTTGGCTTCCAGAAACAGCCGGTAAGTTCAACCTCGGAGTGTTCGCTTGTCAGAAGTTCACTAAAACACCATCGATTCTTCCTGAGTGTGATAGTTGACTGACTCCTGGTTTATAGCCTACTATGCCGCACGAGACCAAGATGAAGAGGGCAAGGCCACACTGCGCCGAGTGAATGGTTCAGCTGACGGGTACGACGTCGAGGTTGAATACTCCATCATCAAGAACACTATTCTGGAAGAAAAGCGCGAGAAGTTTGAACAGGGAAATGGTGAGGATGGGCAAAGCTTCAAAGAAGTGATGGATTCATACGTTGAGTGCTTCCGCGGCACAAACTTCAAGCGCACCATCGGTGCAGCACTGCCATCATGTTCGCAACAACTCTCGGGTCTTTCTTTTCTCAACGTCTATGCAAGCCTATTTTTTAAGCAGAGCGGCTTCACCAACGCGTTCCTCATCACCACTATTCAATGTGCGTCACCAGATATCGGAACTTTCTTGACTGTTGTCCTGGCTCTGACTAACCTGTGTTGAAGGCTGCATTCAGCTTTTTGCTGCTTTTTGCCTCATGTTGGGCTCCGACAAGATTGGTCGTCGCCTGCTTGTCCTCGTTGCTGTTGGATTCTGCATGGGCACTTTACTCATTGTCGGTATTTTGGGCCTTGTGCCTCAAACGTCTGCCCTGAAGAACTTTCTCATCTTTGTCGCCTGTGTCTGGTCATTCTTCAACAGCATAGGTGAGATGCCTCCTCGTTCATTGTCAACAGGCTTTTACATTTGGAACCGAAGGCTAACTTTAGCCTATCCCTGTAGTTGGTAGCCTCGGTGGCGCCTTCTCAGGCGAGGTTGGTGCCCAGAAACTTCGAGCCAGAACTGCTGGCATTTCCCAAGGCATGTCTGTAATATTCGGGCTTATTTTCAATACGACTGTCCCACTGATGCGTAAGTCTTTACTGCCGATAACTCTCTTTAAATTTGAATTATCATTTTCTTAGCTCCGTCACGGTGCTGACATTGTGATTTACAGTCGATGTCAACGGGGCGAACTGGGGATACAAGACTGCATGGCTCTTCTTCGGCACCGGCTCAGTTGGCTGTGTTATCCTCTGGTTTATGCTACCCGAATGCGCTCAACGAAACGCTGCTGAGATCGATGAGATGTACGCCAAGGGCGTACCTCCCAGGAAGATGGGTAAATACGTGACGGAGGCGCAGTCCATGAATGCTGGTCTAGTCAGAGCCTAGGCGGGAAGTCAGAAGCATCAAATGCATTTCATCAGAAGCTAATGATGCAAAAAGAAAACATTTCCCTTGCAACGTGCTGGATTCTCAAGTCACGTATGACAGGTTATCACTTCAAAAACAAGGGATAGTACCTAACTGAACGTCGACTTTTCATAGTTGTCACTTTGAACGCATCTCTGTATCCCATCGACTGAAAATGAGCTACAGGTACATAGCACCTGGGGTTATAGCCAAACAAAGACAGAAAAACTGTGATTCTTCCCAGTCGTATTCCTATCTTCCGCACAGTTTGGACGAAAATGAACATTGAAATGACACTTTTCTCGGATGTCAACAAGATCAAAACTGTTGAGTGGTCAACGAGTAGATGTAGGCCATAAGATTTTATTAAACCAAATTTTGTGCTGATATGGGAATGACAAAAAATAAAAGAAAACCACCTCTATCAATGTAGAACATCTATAGAATATCACGTGCTAACAGAATTTTGCATCGACAGCGATTCCTCAGGATGAATTGTCGGCGGCGGAAACTTCGGAACCCGGGGCGCCACTAAATTTACATGGTACGGGGCACTCGGGCTGCGCCGCGCTAAAACATTTCACATTAAAATCAATGTGCCTTGCTTCTGCGACGTTTATGGCGATGGGGTTTTGTTTTCCCACTGGCTGCTTATATGTCTTCTGGTGATGACCTAGAAGTTTGGCAGGTATGTATCCTTAAAAAGCAGCTTATGACTGTGGTATGTTCGCGGAGATCGCTGACAAACAACAGGCCGGTGCCTGCGCAGCGTTGGGTGTCGATCTTGTAACTCACCCTCTGGATACTCTCATCACTCGCATTCAGTCTCCTATGTACAAAACATATTACAAGACCGTCACAGGCTCTTTCAACCGCACATTCTTCAAAGGGCTTTATCAGGGATTTGGACCAACAATCATTACTGGAATACCATCATCGGCTGTCTTTTTCGCCATTTATGAAAGCTTGAAGACTGCGTCTCAGGATTTGAAGTCAGCAGGGCATCTTCCAAGTATTCCACTGCCCATACTTTATGGCCTCAGCAGTGCGGCAGCTGATCTGGTGAGCTGCGCAATAATCAATCCCGCTGAGGTATTGAAGCAGAACGCCCAGGTTCATAGCGGACGCGCATTGTCCAATGTGGCAAAGCGGTCCCCTATTCTTGCAGCTTTGAAGCATTTCGCAAAACATCCGACAAGATTATGGGCCGGCTACACTGCTCTTGCAGCAAGCAACCTACCTGCGACTAGTCTGACCTTTTGTCTTTATGAGATGATAAAAGAGAGGATATTTTCCAAGTATCCCCAACAACAGGCCAGTACGTCTCGTCAAGTTTCCGTCAGTTCGATGAGTGGCGCTCTCGCTGGTGGTTTTGCTTGTGTATTTTTCGTACCTATAGACATAGTCAAAACGAGAATGAGGCTTGCGGCAGGAAATGTCCTGGAGACTAGCCACAGGTATTCAGAACGCCCCTCGGTAGAAACACAAACAGGATTTCTCAAGTCCGCCCCTTCTAAACTGAATCTTGGCCCACTAGGTGTGGCAAGAGGTATAATGCAAAAGGATGGCATTAGAGGCTTATTTAGAGGAGCCACTATGAGCTTCATCGCGTCAGCTCTAGGAGCTGGACTCTACCTGGGTTCATATGAGGCTTTTCTCATATACTTCAATGAACCGAATAGAGTATCGTCGAATGTGGCGCACTTGTAAGCATACTTTCACACCAAAAGCCGTGATTTTAAATTTCTACTTAGAGAATCTCTTGTACAATAGAAAATACTTTCTTCTCTCTGAAGTTCTGCTGTATTTACATAGCGCCATAAGTGCATATACAGGCTGTGTATTTCTTTGAACATTTTGAATTTTGACACAAATTGTGCTTCATTGTTGTCGCTTGGATGCTTTTCCGATGGCGGCTTCGTTATTCCGGTTGATCTAATATCAATAGTGAGTTAAATTCTCTGATAGTATCGGCAACAACAAAGAGAAGCAACAAATTGAAACCGCAACTCCATACTGCTGCTTAAGCACGCTGCGTTGGCTTTCAAATGGATACGGGTCGAGAGAACACCACTCAGGTAACGGCGGTAATAAGACCACTCTGCCTCGGTCATGCATCACCGCGAGGCCCGAATGGAGCCACTTACCCAGATTTCACCTCCTTTGAGCTTAAAATGTTACCTAAAATCCGGGGTAAATTGATACTTGCATTTAACCGTGAGGGGTTGCATCACCAACGTCATTCCCCGCCATGGTTTTCTGCGGTATAAATTGTGCGCCATTGAGGGCCGTCACAATGAAGGTCTTGAGCCAATTCAACGGGTTATGATAGAACTTTTCTTGATTCGACAGTAATCAGGATGAAGTTCGTCTCGCAAATACTATTGGTCTCGGCCATTTTTAGTCTTCCAGGCAAGTCTTTTGAAAGGGTAATGCAACTCGAATTAATTGTGATTGCAGGACTTGTTTTGGGACTGGTGAATCCTATTATCCCAGGATTCAATCCGGACCCTACGATTATCAGGGTCGGGAGTGATTTCTTTTTGGCAACAAGCACTTTCGAATTCTTCCCGGGCGTGCCCATTTACCACTCTACAGACCTGTACGTGGCCACTAAAATAAGTTATTTAAAAAAAAAGACATATCCAGCTTCAAGTTCTGATTAGAATAGTGTCAAGTGGGAGAATATTGGGCATGCGCTCACCCGGCCATCACAGCTGAACCTGCGAGGAACGGCGCCCAGTGGTGGCATTTTCGCACCCACTTTAAGACATCATGAAGGTGTTTTCTACCTGGTTGATACAGTGTTTGACGTTATCAGCCCTCCTGACAACGTGAGTGTGGTCTATTGGTGGCTGATTTGTTCCAATTGATTAACACTGGTTGACAGGTTACACGAGTACCTAGGTCCTTTTATGTGACCACCACCAACATCTTCGATGAGAACAGCTGGAGTGAGCCCACCTACGTCGATCAATGGGGATTTGATGGGGACATTTTCTTCGATGACGACGGCAAGGTCTACTTCACGTCTACGTTCTCGGAATTCGTCGAGAATGGAAACTTTGCCAACTGGATCACTGAAATTGACGTCAAAACCGGAGATTCGTTGAGCAACTCTCGTCTACTTCATACCACAACAGTTCCCCCTGAACTTGGCTACCCATTGGTGAGTAACCTGCCAAACTGGAGAGTATCGACACTGGTAACAACACTGACCTATGCAAATAGACCGAAGGCAGCCATCTCTACAAGTTCAACGGAACTTATTATATGATAACAGCTGACTCCGGAACCGAAGCTAATCAAAAAGCAAATGTGTATCGGTCAAAGAGCCTTGAAGGCCCCTGGGAAGGCAATCCACATAACCCAGTACTGTGGAACGGCGAGGATATGTCACTGCCAGTCCTCGCAACTGGTCATGCGGATATTGTTGATGATACAGAAGGGAATTGGTGGGCAGTGTTCCTCGCGATCCGACCACAGAACCCTCGAAATGAAAGTGGATCTCCCCAGTTGGGCAGGGAAACCTTTCTCTGTCCGGTTACGTGGGACAATGATGGCTGGCCGATTTTTAACAATAATGAACCCATAACCGAGCATTTACCTAATGTTCTCTACGACCTGGACCGACCGTTAGTGTGGCGTGATGATTTCGACGGTGGTCTTGTGGACAAATCTTACTACTACCTAAGAACACCGTACAAGGACTTCAAAGACTTCGATTCAAGTCCCGGTAAGCTCCGCATCAGAGGGAATGTCTACACCTTAAACGATCGAGAAACCCCCGCAGCGCTCCTACGCAAGCAAGTTGATGTCAACACGACCTTCAGCACAGAAGTCGCCTCGTTTGAGCCCGAGAACTGGAGGCAGGAGGCTGGAGCAAGTATTTATCTCAGCATCCATTACCACAATGAGATTGCCCTTGCATATTCAAACAACACGGGAAAACGAGCCGTGTTGGTCCGCACAAGAACTGGGCCAGACGCGACAATCAACACAACCTACGTGGAAGACGAAGATGTTGCCAATGGCGGACCCGTCAAGCTTTTCATCGAGGCCAAGGACACAGGTTACCGTTTGGGCTATTCAACCGGCTGTAAAGCTCCTCGTTGGTTGGCGAGTGTAGAAAATCGTTGGTTGCAGTCGTATGTCAAAGGCTGGCAAAACTTTGTCGGCAGCCACTTCGCAATCTACAGCACAGGCACGCGACTTCCGACCCTGAATGCCGCTGTAGGTTTCTTCGTTCCGAAGTGATATTGTCTTTTAACTAACAACGGCTACAGGATTTTGAGTACATTCAAACAGAGTTGAACTGATATTTAGAAGAAGCTAAGACTAAGAGACCAGCCGATAGGCGGAGGAAAGGCCATCTCTGAATACATCCATCAGGTTTAGCAAACAAACAGATGTGCACTAATCCAACTTCAATCCAAATAATTCGCATCAGACCGATCTCGACCGCCGTTCAATAGTGAGCCACATGTCTTCAAAGAAGCAAATCCCACCCTTTATTCTGCGCTTTCCTGGTTGTTCTTTGTTCAATACCTTGGGACTGAATGTTCTAAAGAATTGTATGAGGCCTTTTGACAGTTCCATCATTGCCAGATCGCGCCCCAAGCAAACTCTTGCCCCGTATCCAAAGACCATGCTGTATTTCAACATGTCCTTCTTCTTTTCCTCACTCTCCAACCAGCGCTCGGGTCGGAATTCTTCAGGTTGAGACCCGAAAATAGCCTCATCACGATGGATTACCCACCCGCTGGAAGCTACCTCCATGCCTTCAGGAACATGCTGCCCATATAGTTGCATCCCTTCTTTTCCGACCGATCGCGGTATCATGCTAGGGGCTGGTGGATTCAGTCGCATGGTCTCATGGATGCAAGCCATATAATACGGGCAATGTTGTTGTACTTCCGCATATTGAGGTATTTCGGACAGACTGCCGTCTTGAGTCTTTTCATTGATCTCGGCCATTAGACGGTTATAAGCCTCTGGGTGGGTCATCATAAACATCATGAAAGCTTGGAAAATAGTGCCGGTGGTGTCGGCACCAGCAAGGAGGACGAGCAAGATTTCGGCCTTGATATACTCCAAATCAAGGGCGTCCCCTTTTTCATCCCGCGCATCGAGAAACCTTGTGAAATTATGAGCTTCTTGCACCTCTACAATGGAAACGGTTGCCAGAAAAAACTTACGTCTGGAGAAAGTCTACTCGACCCTTGGTGGTTCCCTCTTCTATGTCCCTCAACCTCTGGGCAATAAGGCGATCTCGAAATCGCATCAACGTACCAATCCCGGAGTCTTGCTCCGGTGATGCTACCAGGTACTTTGCAAGAAAAGTGCTCTTGATCCAAGTTGTAAATGGCCAGCATCGGGCCATGATACCAAAAGGAAGAAGACCGTCATGGAACCCCTGGATGAGCCCCGCAACGTCTTTTTCCTCATCGATAAACCCAAATGCTTGCCCAAACCCAACATCAGAGACAATGTCGTAAGCCAAATAGACTGCCCACGGTGCGAAATCGAGGCTCTTCCCGGTGTTGGCGAAGTTGTTGTCAAGCTTCGCTATCCATTTCTTTATGTGGTGATCGAGCAAGGGCTCCATCTTTCGGATATTGGAAAAGGCATAGGGAGCTGCTGCAATTTTCCGAAAGCGTGCGTGTGTTGTGTGATCCTGCATATTAAAAAGCGACTCTATTTCACCGAAACTGCCCGTAACGTAGTGCTGGGATTTGTTGGCGTTGCGGTGATATATTTCCGGTAACTTGGTCGGGTCGCTCACGAGGAGCATCGTAGGCGTGATACGGATGACAGGTCCTTCTTCAGTTTTAGCGAGTGGTTAAGGCACAAACCACTGTTAATACAGAGGAGCCCAGACGATATGCAAATGCCTGGAAAACCAGCTAATCAGATATCTGAAACCAAACTTACCATACTTCTTGTGCAGAGCCTGGTTCACTTCACATTCATCTTCTTTAATATTGTGATAAGTAATCCATAGCCTTGTAACTGAGCCCCAAAATGGGCCGGGAAACTTGGCCAGAGGATGAAAACATCTGTAATAAACAATTTGATACAAGATGTTCCAGGCGATGTAGGCCCCAACCAGAAGCAGAATGTTGGAAAAGCTCAAAACTGCCATGTTCAAAACTCCAGAGACCGATTATGGTCCAAAGTTGAGGTTGTATCGAGATTAAAATTGCACGGAAGACCCCTCGACAATTTAGCTGTCAGGCCATCGCCCGAATAGATAGTCCATGACGATCAGGCGGTGGACAACCTAAATGCATGCTTCCTTTGCGGGGTTGCCATCCCGACAAGAACGGCTAAGGCCGCTTGAGGTTGCATAGTGCCGGACACGCCTGCAATGACCCCGCTTACAGGTTAACCGAAGCCCTGGAAGGATTCATATTCATGTGAATTTGGGTCTCTCCCCGGATGGATTCACAAACAGGGGCGGACGAGGACCAGTCACACAAAGCAATATGCAGGATACTTGCCCACTCTGCTTATCTTTCTGCGGCACAAACTAGCTGGTCCCCAAGAGATCCAATAGCAAAAGGCTTAAAAAATCACTCGGCTAGCCGGTTATGGCTGTGGTTTGCTGGCCAAACACGAACGGCTGGAAGTGAGATTATTTTTGAAAGCGAAGAATAGTGCTGTCTCGCGTACAGAAATCAGTTAGCATTTGAAAACCTCATCGAAATGCACCATCGCTCATCACACAAGATGCATGCCAAGTGTTACGTGGTCCAGCCTACCAGCCTCCCTAGAACGGGATCGAGGTAACTCAGATTTGATAGTCGACTAATCGACTAATGATGTCAACTATTGTTCAAATATGAAAGTTTGTATGTGAGAGATTCGAAAAGTTGATTAAAAATATTCTAAAGAGTTTAACCATATATACTTATGAGTATTATTTTCGTGCGTAATATTAGATGTCATCCATCTTTGCCCTACCAGCAAGCGCACATGCCTTCTGCACCATCGTTGCGACCATTACAGCGGGTCTCTCGAGATGGGCAGCGTCGGCACAAGGCGCCGTTCTCCTGTTGTGCCCACTCATCACTGCCAACACAAGTTTGACAGTAGAAAATCCCAGATGGGTCATACTTTGTTTTAATCTCAATTAGTCTCTTCCAGTTAGAAGAGTAAAAATCTTCCTGGAAGTCTTCTTCCCCCCAGTCCGCTTCGTTCATGTAGGTGCCTGTGTTTGGGGATAACTTCCGGTATACGGGAAGAACATTCCGACGGATATCATCAAACAATTCCGTGTTGGCTGAAACCGTGAGACTTCCATCCAGAACTGGTCTTTCAAAAATATCGAGTATGACAGCATCATACCAGCCTGGTTGCACAGCCGTTGATTTATCCCGCGTCTCGACCGCAGTTTGCAGGCCATGGTGTACAATAGTATGAAACACAGCCTTGCCATTGGCTCCAGCCATAGTTTCCATTGCGAGTCGGAGTTGAGACCGGTTACCCTCCAAGGCTGACTTTCCCAACAGTCTGGAGGCCAATGCAGTGATAGTCCCTACTGCGGCGTCGGTTCCTGATTTGTTGGCATAGTATGACCCATAATTAGTAAAAGCCTTTTGGGTGATAGAAACGGTAAAGCCAGCATTGGCCAGGGGCATGATCCTCTCTGCCAAAGGTTTGAATAGTCGAGTCGTTTCAGCGGCGTCATTTCCCAACGTAGTGAAGGACTGGGTGTAAATAGTACTAAAGTTGCCACCGATTGGTACGGGGCTATTCATCGCCCAAGAACCGTAACCAGCGAAGCCAACCTCAGAAAGATATGGGAACGATGAGTATACTTCGGTCATAGTGTCGAGAAATTGCGTTGAGATGGTCGTGTTCATAGATGAGGTGCCAACGAAAACGTCAATCACATCGATGTTCTTGGTAGGATAGGTCTTCACTGTCATCTGGGTGACGACTCCATAAGTACCTCCACCTCCACCTCGAATGGCATAGAAAAGGTCGGAGTTGACGCAAGGACTAGCCGTCACGATTTCTCCAGAAGCCAAAACGACTCTGGCGGACAGAACCTGATCGGCTCCTAGCCCATAATACCGTGTGACGGGGCTATGCCCACCTCCTTGTGTCCATCCTCCTGTGCTACAAGGACCCTATTTTCATGTCAGTACAACCCAAGTTTAATATTTAGCAAGGGGTTCTCGAATCCTACTCTATTGTTTCCGCCAACAACGATCAAATTCTTCTCAAAGGCGGCTGGATAAATGTCCGACCAAGCATAAGCGCCCGTGATTGTTAGAGCACTACCTTTCCAATCCGATTTAGGACAGTCATTGACGACTTGGTAGTCGTCATGAAAGTTGAAGCCGCGACGATAGTTTTGTAGCCATATTGAAAGACTACCATAACCGGTCGATCTAGTACAAACATTAGTGAAAGTCAAGTCAAGGTAGTATGCTTCATCCTCTCACCTTTGCAAGAAGTCATGACCAGTCGACTTTATTACGAGGCGGATGTTGTGTTCCTTGGCAAACTCTACTGCTTTCGAAATATGTTCCTCATCGGTTACGTTGACAGCAAATACCGGGGAGTTTCCGATAGTGCAACTTGTCGACGGAGCATTTGCAGCGAATTGTGCCAATGGGCAAGACCCGTTCAATGGATAGTCATAACCAATGGGTTGCGATGCGTAGAAAGTTGAACTAATCCAGCCTTTGGTCGCAGCCTCGCAAGCAGCTGCATCACGGAGCGGTCCGGCATAACATGGTGCTGCGGGGGGAGTGGTTTGTATGAGCCTCCCGTAAATGGAGCTGTTGAAACGGCCCCACTCTTTATCTGAAGGCCAGCATCGGTCGCCCGGTGTCTAGTCATCGTCATGGGATTAGTGTTAATGTCAGGTAGAGATGCTTCACGACGCAAGGATGGAAGCTCTTACGCATTTACACTGGCAAGATACCAATGGAAGCAATGTAAGCAACACAGCATATACTAATGTAAGCTCCATGACTTGCAGCTCGAACCAGAGCATCCAATAACAGAAAGTTACTGTCAGCGTACCTTGGAAGCACGCGCAAAGTTCAACAGCTTAACGAATGTAAACATGTGAGCCTTGGTGCTACTTTTGGGGACTGACTGGGTTTATTTGGCCCGTTTACGTGCATGAACCCCAATTAAACGAAAATTTCTTGGAATTACTGCGTAATTAAGCTTTATGTCTGTTTGTTACGCTCGGACTCTAGAGGATGCTGATGTGAGACCTTAGGTCATATGCAACAGGGACCATCGCTGTATTAAATCGACATGGCACAGGTCAATGGTGCAGCAAGGAGTCCTAAGTTGCGTGGTTTGAACGTTTCTGCTAGGTCTGCAAGTAGAAGAATTCTATGCCATATACAACTGACTATTTCCATGGCTAAAACAGTAGAGCTCAATCTGTTGACAAGTTCAAGCTGCCAATTTCTTTACTTGCCATCACCTAGCCTGAAATCGAAGCCATGGTCCAACCTTTGCAGAAGTGACATGATCCCACATTTGGAACTCGTTGACGTTACCAGTTGAGCCCCCGGTAGACAACTGGTCCTTGGGCGACCTAGAGAAGTCAAACTTGTAGAGAATGTGAGCCAAAGTTAGTGTGATCTCGTGATACGCGAACCCTTTTCCCACGCAACTTCGAGGGCCACTGGAAAAGGGGTAAAATGCACTTCGCGCTAACTCTACCGATTCTTTGGTCGAGCTACCTTCCCCAACAACCCATCTCTCGGGCTTGTATTCGAAGGGAGAGTCGAAATAATCCGCGTGATGGTGCAGGCTATAAATACCAGTGCCGACATCAATGCCCTCCGGGAGAAATAGAGATCCTATTTTCATGCCCCCAGGTCGAATCTCTCTCCAAAGAGCACCTCCCACGGGAGGCGACATACGGAGTGTTTCATCGATACAAGCCTTGAGATAGTTACAGGCGCTAAGTTTTGCACCAATGCGGATCTCATCTTCACTCTGAAATGTTGATCTAATTTCATGGCATAGCTTAGAATACGCCTCTGAGTTGCCGCTGAGATAAAAGAGTGTTGCTGCCAAAGTGGTAGAAGACGTGTCAGATCCTGACTCAATGTAAGCAATTGACGCAAAGAATGAATGTTGACAGAGTATACAAACCTGCAACGACCAGAGTAGCTGACTCTGCTCGAATCTCAGACTTGCTAAGTGTTGATTCGCCATTAGGGTCTTTTGCAGTTTCCAAGTATGAAAAGACATTTCCGTTGTCAGTGAACGACGCTTTTGACCGGTTTTTCAACAGAGAGCCTAAGAATCCCAGAAATCTGTTCCTAGATTTAATGGAATTTGAGAATAGATACTTATCTATTCTCCCGAGTGCGAGGCTGGAGGCTTGGACCAACGCGCTAATTCGAACGTTGGACTCTTCCAGTGCTTGCATAACATAACGGTATTTTGTCTCCCGCAAAGCATTATACTTCATGCCAAATATCACTTCTGACATTACATCAAAGGTAAAGTAGTCGCCTAGACATAGGAAGTCAGAAACAATGAAAAGGGGATGAGCACGAATCGCGACGCACATTGGTGTGACATGTCCAGAGCCTTAGCCCCGGACTCTGTTGCCTGTGATTTGGAGTTTTCGGACAAATTCAGGCAAAGATTCTCTATGTGACGTAAGAGAATACTCTCATACGCACGCAGCTGTGCATCAGAAAATGCCAAACTCAAGATGCGACGTCTACGAGCATGATCATCTCGGTTACGAATGGTGAGCGTGTTTGGGGCGCTATGAACAAGCGCTTGATATGCTTTGGATTTGATGACATTTGCTCCATGAGCACTAATCTCTGTAATCATGTTAGTAGTGGCCATACGGGAGTTAAGATGTTGGGCTGTCATACCTCGCGCGGCGTTGTTGCTATTGATCAAGAGACGAGATGGCGAGTATCTGACAACGGGGCCTGAAACATTCTATCAACAACAGCCAACATGGTGAATTGAAGTTGGGAAGAACTCACCATACTTCTGATGGCACCGGTACATGTCATAATGAAGTGTTCCCCTCCAAGCGTGGTACGCAGCGTAGAGATTGGTGCATCTCCCTAACAGAGGGCCTGGGTAGGCTGCTAATGGGTGCCACACCAATTGTTTGACGAGAAACAGTGCGCCCTGATCCCTTTTCAGTTTACAATGTCATTGCAATACCAAAGGACCTACTGAAACTTACGACGGCAACTGCTGCACATGCAGCTAGAATAAGATAACTCATTCTGGTATCGGTTTCCAGTTGACCAGACCTTTCGAAGTTGTCCAAACAAGCACAACCTTTACTTTCATCGGCGGCGTACGTGGCGTGACCTGGAGTGCGGGCAACGACACGTTCGTTTACAGGGAGGTCCTTTGCTCACAGCACCCCTTCGCGCCCGTGAGCATGCTGCGTAGCGACCTGGCAGGTGCTGTGTTTGGCGACTTTCAGCATGAGTCAGGCTTACGTCACGCTTGTACATGTAGAAGTGTTTGTAACAATTGACCTGTGCGGTTTGAGGATCCCAGTCGCGGAATCCCTGCCTGAGCACCGCATACACCCACCAGGGAGGGGGTCGACGTTCTGCCAGTAGAGATCTCACAGTGCTCTTGCTCAAGGACTCCAGAAGCCTTGTCATTAACAATGTTGAGCGCAATTTATTCATCAATAGCCTTTCTAGGTCGCCTATATGCACTGGTAGCCGGTGTCGGCTTTCTTGGCCTCGTAGGTTTCTCGTCTTAAGATTTCAGCGGTAGATCAGCCACTTACTAACTGTAAACTGCGAGATAGGTCTCCATCTGCATCTATAGACTTCATTTTCATCCTTATGCCAAGTACCCTGGGCCTTTCTTGGCGAAATTAACCAGTTGGTATTCAGTTTACCACACCTATATCGGTGACCTTCATGTCGACATATGGAGATGCCATGAGAAGTACGGTGAGTAGCGGCTAAGAATTGCCAGATTGCTGCATGTATCTAATAAGCTGGCGCAGGCGATGTGGTCCGCTATGGCCCAAACAGACTGTTGATTAACACAGAAGCCGGACTGAAAGGTGATTACTTTATCGAGTCTTATCATTTGCAGAAGACATGTCGTGCTAAAGTTTCTAAGGAATATACGGCCATGGTAAGAATGTACGGAAAGCCAAGTCATACCACAGAATCTCTCTCGTCAAAGGTGTTGAAGCAACTCAAAGTGTGGTGGACAAGACAAAGCATGGAAAGCTTCGTAGAATCCTAAATCAAGGACTCTCGGACTCGTACATCAGAACCATTGATTCTGAGTTGACGGAATTGGCGTCTTTGTTTGCTTTAAGCTTAGGTGCAAACAAAGATCGATTTGTTTCCACTTCAGAATCCACCAACGATGGATGGACTTGTGCTAAGAATATGGCTCATTGGTGTAAGAGATCTGAATGTTTGTGGTACGTTTCACATGCTGATACTCAACCCAGGCGATTATTTCACCTTCGACGTAATGTCACAATTGGTTTTCGGCAAATCGTATCATCTTCTTCAAAGCTCAGAGAACCACTGGATTGCAGAGGCGATCTTGGGCCAGATGCGTCGTGTAAGCTTCCTGATGCAGCTACCAGAGTTAGAAGACATGAGACTTCACAAGCTCCTGTTTCCACAGGCCCGAAAAAAAGCGATGAGGTTCTCATTGAAAAGCAAGGAGATCATGGAAAAGCGGAAACAGGCGCTTGGGGAAACAAAAAATGACCTATTTTCGAAGCTACTTGAAGCCAAGGACCCGGAAACAGGAGAGTCGCTCTCTCAGCTGCAGCTTTGGGCCGAGAGTAACCTGTTGATTATTGCAGGTATGTGATGTCCAGCTTTATACAACAACGATGACATGTTGCTGATCTCTAAAACTAGGCTCTGACACATCTTCAACCGCCATGGCTGCGCTATTCTTCTATCTCTCCAGATACCCAGAAGCTTACGAGAAGGTAGTTGAGGAAGTCCGCAAGGCCTTTCGCTCAGCGAAAGAGGTGTCCCAAGGTCCCAAACTATCCTCTTGTTCTTACCTACGAGCTTGCATAACTGAGGCTGCCCGTCTCTCGCCTCCAGCCGCTGGCGCTATGTGGCGTGAGGTACAAGAGGGTGGTCTACAGGTAGGCAATCTGTACATTCCAGAAGGCTATGACGTCGGAACTGGAATCTATTCCATCAACCATAATCCTGAGTACTATCCGGAGCCTTTCAAGTTCTGGCCGGAGAGGTGGATCTCGGAGGTTGTCGGAGATGAAGCTATGTCGAAAGCAAAGTCAGCTTACGGCACTTTCTCTGTTGGACCGCGGAACTGTGTCGGCAAGGGACTTGCCATGATCGAAATTTCTCTCGCTATGGCTGCAGTAATCAGCGAGTTTGATTTCCGCCGTGATGAGACAGGCATGGGAAGAGTCGGGGAAGGTAAAGGCGTTGCAGAGAATGAATATCAAATATTCTGGGCCTTTACTAGCATGAAGAATGGACCATACATACAGTTTAGACGTGTAGAGGCGACGGGACTTCATTAAAGCGAAATTGCGCTGTTCGAAGGATAGCAAAAAACCAGACGACTATTGGAGGTGATTTCAACACCATCAAGTTGCCAGAATTGTCTGATCCAATACGTGGCTAGTTTAAAAAGCGAATGGAGGAAACTTTAAAGCCTCAATGCTCCTATAGAGCCCCTTTCTTCTACCGCACTTAAGCTTAACGTAATTTCAGCTACATTCAAGTGGTTAAATAGGTTCGCAAGAATTATGTTGGGACCCAAGTCAAGTATGCTGATGATCGCGTTTATTACCCTGGATACTACCACTACTATTCCAGGAGCTTTTGGCACCAACCGAAGCTATCTGGTGCAGAACCATTCTGAGTACCTTGCAAATCCGTCCATAACCTGATGAAAGATGGGCCCTCAGGTTGGAAGTCGAATGTTTGGTTTGTCGATTTTCGGTGAATCTGAGATACTGACACCAAACCTGCTGCTGTTCCCGCAGCAAACACTTCTGTGAATGTGGGTAACTCATCAAATCTCACCTGCTATAGCATTAGAACACCTCACTCATATTGTAAGAGTTGTCATGGTAATTGACGGCTCACCGTTCTCTTTTCCACCGTCCAGCCATAACTTGCAGCAAGACGTGCCGCTGAATCAGCTGTTATACTGTCAATGGCTGCTTGACTCTGCGCAACCACAAGACTGGTTTGTCCGTCGACAGCCCGAACGCCTATGAGTCCTGATGTAGAGAATTCATCAATGCAAGTCTGTGTTTGGCTGTCTAGATGCAAGAGCACATTAAAGCCCTCCTTTTTGGCCTCGGATGTCCAACGCATTACGGGGCCGTAGTTACCGCCCACTTTCACCGCCCCTGAACCCCTTGTTGCAGCACGGTCGAATTCATCAAGAACTAAGGCTTTGATGGCGCCGTGTCCGTGGAATGCAATATGAGGTTGAACGTAAACGCAGAAAAGAAACTCGTCAGGGGGTTCCAACCCGATTTGAACGCTTGAACCGAATTGAAACGGTCGGATGTAGAGAGATCCTTTGACTTCATGAGGACAAACATACTCCGCGTTCTTTCTTACTGCAAGATGGACGCTTTCTAAAAAAAGGGCTTCTGGAACCTCCGGCATGGAAACGAATGCAGCTGACTTTCTCATTCTCGCAGCATTTGCGTCTGGCCGAAAAATAAGGATCTCTCCATCAGGGTCTCTGCGGGCTGCATAAACACACGTCAACACGGCGAAGATGTCAACACTAGAGATGGAGAATGTATTACCTTGCAATCCTTCGAATACCTGCTGGCCTAAGTCACAATTAGAAACTGCTAACTAATTGATATAGCCAAGAACATACCATAATGTAGACCGGGCGCTAGGCCATGTATTGTTAGAAAAGGATTTTCGATAAACTCCGGCTCGGTCCACCGTCCTGTCCTTAAATCATAGCGGGACTCTACATGGCCAGCAACTAAACGATATTCAAAGAATTAAGCCAAATATAGAGGCACGAGACTCTGGAACACCAACCATTGTTTTGTTTGCTGTCGTAGACATCCCATCCTGGTCATGTGTTAGCAATCTCAGATTTTGTGTGGTTCAAGTTCACTTGTGAGGGTAAAGTGGAACATTACTATGGCCTGCCTTTGGCGGTATCATGCTTTCGACAGCTTCAATAACCCTTTCTCGAGTTGATTCTATTGGCGCGGCGCTGGCAAGGTCAAGCGGATCATCGAGCAACTGTCTCTGGCGGTGATGTGGGAACAGTCCTTTCGACAGGGGTCCGTGGCCAGTCACTATCTTGTGGTGTGGTGGCTTAACCGTTGCAGTGCATTGACTCCGGACTGATCTGAGCACCATGACGTGAGGTTGTGAGTACGGGTAACTTTCTCTGTATATGCTGAGTAAGATGACACAACGTCTCACGACATGGATACCACTTAAACTGGGTAATCATAGGAACCTTATCTTGGGAACTCCACAAGTAGCGTTGAGAAGGCTGATTGATGAATGAGTTACCCATGAAGAGCAGAGCCTTTGCAGGCCAGGAAATATGTTTCTAGTTGCTGCGCAACTTGCTAAAGAACTGATGCCTCCCAGGCAACATCAGAGTGGTTCAGATAGACTTCCGAGTACTGCCAATGTAAACACTTTAGACTCTTACTACTAGTTGTATTAAGTAGCGCAAATTGATACTCAAGGGAGGTTCAAAATTCAACAGAAAAGCTTGTGATTAATGTAAAGTGCTTTATCGTCTCTCTTTCTCGTTCCAGTTGAAACAAGCCCGACGTAGAATTGATAATTGAGAATACGCTTAGTCTTAAGGGAGCAAAAATATGCAAATCTCTCTTAGATAGTGTCAACGTGCTTTTACCTCGACAAGTGGCCCATTCTTCCAGCTGATAAACATGTCCACAAGCTCATACTCTTCGGATAGATCTGGCCCATCTCCGCCATGTGTGCCGTTGACCCAAGCCTTTTGACATAGCCTCATGTCGTACTTGAAGAATAAAGTAGCGAATAGAATTGAGATTTGGAGGTAGGCAAGTGGTTTTCCAATGCATCCTCGAGTCCCGGCACTGAAAGCCATAAACGCGCTGGATGAATACTTGAGAAACTCGGGAGTAATCACGGTGCCATTTGCGAGTGTCTCACCAACGATCCATCTCTCCGGTTGAAACGAAAATGGGTCAGGAAAATATTCCTTGTCGTGGTGAATAGAAAAAACAGGTACCCCAATGTTGACGCCCTCAGGGTAGAATGTCTCTCCAATTTGCACACCTCCAGATTCTACTTGTCGATGTAGAACTGAGCCCGCGGGAGGTGACAGCCTCAGACCCTCGTTAATGCATGCACGAAGATAAGTGCAGGCCTGTAAGTCTGTACCAAACTCGATTTGCTCAATATTGGAAAAGACGGTCCGAACCTCTGCTTGAAGCTTTGCAAGTTTGTCGGGGTTATGTAGAAGATAATATATGGTAGAGCTAATGGCGGTGGATGATGTGTCGCTACCTGTAAATATATAGTTTAGCATGTAGCCGAAAATGAAGCCAAGTCCCTTGAACTGACCGGCAGTGATCAACAATATTGCCTCTTCCACCAATTCCTCCATGGTAAATGTATCGCCTGTGGCGGGATCGACCGCCCCAGTGAGCCAGAACATAAAGTCCTTTTCGGAATCTCTTAGTTTGCTCACTCTCTCACTAGCTGCATTCTCGATAAAAGTGTCGAATGTTCCTGTAGATCGTACATGGTGTGAGAACAGTAGCCATTTCAGTCGCAAAGTGTGAAGTAGAGTCAATGAAGAGCCAGTCTACCGAAATTAGCAATCACTTCAACCTGTCAGCTGCTTCATTACTTACAACATTGTCTGCCCATAGTGTCTCATGCAATATCTTGATGATGTGCCTGTTTCCGGCGTACCGCATCATATCAAATGACTTTGAAAAGGAGAGATCGCTTGAAACATCAAAAGTGAAACGATTAATCCACTCCGAGAAATTCTTTGGCTTGCTCCATTGACCTGGTTTTGAGACTTCTCTTCCGGAAAGAGTGTAACCTTCCTGTCCATCACTGTCCAGAAACTCTAAACATTGACATAAAGTTGCAACATGTTTCTTGATAGTGACGCCTGCAGTCTTTAGCGCAGAGTCCGAGAAACCTTGTCGTAAGATGCGTCGCTTTCTTGCGTGTACTTGCTTGTTGATGGATGAAAACAAACTAGCTTTTTCGGGGTTTCTTGGAAAAGCGAGGTAATTGTCTGCTTTGCGAGTATAGCGGCTGTTTGTGTACAGCATCTTCACTCCTTCTGCAGATCTGATGCTGACATGGTTGGGACCATAGCGAACAATAGGCCCGTATCGCTCGTGAAGTTGATGAAGATTCCGAGCTTGGTTCTTTTTCAGAGCATGGTAAGTGTTGTAAAGGCTTGTAAGACGTCCCAAAATGGGGCCCGGATGAGAACTCAGGGGATGCAATACTAGACGATGAAAAACGAATGCAGTTGTTGCGATCTGGAAATGATTTAGCTTCGTCACTCTTGATAACCTCAGTGCAGCACATTGTCTTCTGGTAAAGGTAGACCTGTTGCTGGCAAAGGGCGCGCGGATACTTACTAGTAGAAGAGCAAGGGCAGCAGCTACGGTACTGTGAGATACCGGTAGCCTGGCACCTGCAACCTTGTTCAGATCATCCATTGTTGGCTTGATCTTTCAAAGCAACCAAGAGTTGATGCGAGGGCTCTGCAGCTGTTGGGTGCCTGGGTTCCGCCGTGGACAGCAGTTACATGCATCAAAGCCAAGTAGTACATGACTCAGGTAGTCTTTAGCCCTCCCAGAGTTGAGTAAGACGGGTACTAGGTGCTGATGTCACCTTTAAGGTTTCGGGCCATCTGTGTTCCCCCGTGTTTGAGCCGGCCGAAATGACGAAAAAGTCATTTGTGCTTCGTAGTGACGGGTACGACGCAATCTGAGCTATCGAGAAACGCCATGCTTCTATGCGCGACAAAGTGCAATGCAGAAAAGTTCCGATATTCAAGCGTAAATCTCTTTCAGTGGTTCTAGTTCAGAACCCCTGAAAAGTCCAATATGCACTCAGAATCAGAGCGAGAGCTTGCGCATATTCTCCTTGTTGAGTTGTTGGCGTAATGATTTTGTTCCAGAACCAAGCTTCAGGATGTCAAACTAACCTATTTATAGGCATCAGTTTGCATATCCTGTACGATGGTATGTTTTCTCCACAGTACAGCTCTTGGGCACATACTAACTAGAAGGTCTGCGAAGGATTGAAACCCAAAATGCCATCCTTGACGAGTTCAAGGCTGAAAGGATTGTAGAAGTTGGGCCAACAAATATTCTCACAAACATGATGAAGAGAACGTGGCGCCATAAAAATGAAGTTTCCGATGAAGTCCAAGGACTCCGCCGCCGTATATTGGATCCCGAAGCAGACTTATCGGAGATATACTATCAAATTGGCGTGCCGGAAACTGCAGAAGCTGACGCAGAGACTCCTGATATGGTCACGATAGGCAACCTTGAAACTTGTCAAGATGATTCACTTAGCACCCCTCAACTACAGTCAATATCACATTCGGAGGTTAAGGACATAATGACAGTAGAGCAACAATCGCAGTTTGAGGACGCATCATTGCCGGTGTCGGCCGTGGTTCTCACGCTTATAGCCACTAAATTAAAGAAGCCTCGGGAGACTTTAGACCAGACTAAGTCAATTAATCAACTTGTAACCGGTAAGTTAGCATTCAGCAATGGCGAAGACATGTGCCTTTACTGATTGACGTAGGGCGTTCCACTCTCGCCAATGAGATTATTGGTGACCTTCATACAGAGTTCCCAAATCAGCTTCCTGATCGTGCAGAGGAGCAGCGCCTTGTAGATCTGTTTGAAGTTTTACGTAAGGGGCACACTGGAACTTTAGGAAAGAAGACTTCGGCGCTGGTCGCCAACTTCATCTCTGCCAAGTTGCCAGGAAGCTTCAGTCAATCACGAGTACGAGATCATTTAGGCAAGCAATTCGGGCTAGGCCCGATGCGCCAGGATGCTGTTCTGCTTCTAGCCCTAGCTGAAAGGCTTGATGCACGTCTCGCTTCTGAGGATGCGGCGAGAACGTTTTTTGATGAGATAACTACGATATATCTGAAGCAGGAGGGCCTGTCGCTTCCTAGCAAAAGCTCATCTTCAGCTACGGGGAAGATTGTGCAATTTGACCAAAAAGCTCTTGAAGTTCTCAATGAGAGAAGTAATGAATTACTACACGATATAAATGCTGTCATTTTGCAGCACCTCCCTGAAAGCAGTATGAATAGCACAGAAAATTCGAAACCTGGCGAAGACAAAGCAGTATTGGATGAGCTTGACTTATGGCGCAGCGAGCATGGCGAAAATTACGCTGAAGGCATCAAACCAATCTTCGATATCAGGAAGCAACGGTTTTATGACTCATACTGGAACTGGTGTTCACGAGACATCGCTCTTTTGTTCGACCTAGCGAAGGAGCCTAGGTCGCACAATGCCGCGTTGATTGAGGAGCTTACAACTTCCATCATAAATCGCACATGCGAGCGTTCTATTGCCCAGATCCAATATCTTTGCTCCAAAACTCATGGAGAAAAGAACTACTTGGGCCGCATCATGAGGTTTTGCCTACAGGCGAGCATTTCATCGAAAAGCCGAGACCCAGTATTCATGGACAACTCACCCGACTTGGCACCTCTCACTACAATCGACGACGAAGGAAATATCAAGTACTGTGAGATACAACGCAACCAACCAGCCAAGACTCGAAAGTCGTCTATTCCGCAGATGCCTTATTCTGTAGGGACATATGATCACGGTACCTTGACAATGTCTGACAGACTCACCTCGGCATATGCTGAAGACATTGATGCAGCACGTCACTCTGGTTTTACCTTTAGGGGACGAAACATCTTGCTTACTGGCGCTGGTCAAAACTCTATTGGCTTCAGCCTTTTGAAGTATCTGCTTCAAGGAGGTGGGAGAGTCACAGTTACTACAAGCACTTATTCTCCTGACGCCACCAGGATGTACCAGGCCATCTACTCCCGTCATGGAGCAAAAGATTCAGCTCTGAGAGTTTTACCATTCAACCAAGGCAGTCAAAAAGATGTGAAAGATCTATCTAATCATTTGATTGACGAATGGGATCCAGATTTCATTATTCCATTTGCTGCTATATCCGAGAACGGCCGCGATCTAGAAGGATTGGATTCGAAATCGGAAATAGCTCACAGATTGATGCTCACAAACCTCTTACGTTTGCTCGGTGCCATAGCCAGAAATAAGCGCTCCAGGGGCATAACAACAAGACCAGCCACTGTCGTTCTTCCGCTGTCTCCAAATCATGGGTTGATGGGCAACGACGGCCTTTACGCAGAGTCGAAGCGGGGCCTGGAGTCACTCCTCTCGAAATGGAAATCCGAAACATGGGGCGACTATCTATCCATGCTAGGAGTCATCATCGGTTGGACTCGTGGAACGGGCCTGATGGACGAGAATGACATTGTTGCCGAAGGCGTTGAGAACATGGGCGCACGAACGTTTTCCAAGGACCAAATGGCTGCCCTTATTGCCACTCTCTTGGGAGGTAGAATAAATGTCGCCTGTCAATCCATCCCTCTTGTCATTGATATTGGCGGAGGTTTGGGCAAAGTTGTTGACTTGAAGGAAAAGTTGACAGCTATTCGTCGAGATCTTCGCGACGAAGCTGACATTCGAAGAGCGATAATGGACGAGGAGCGCCAAGAATCCACCATCACCGGCTATGACGACGTCAGCCAGAAACCCAAGTTATTGTCTCCCAAAGCGAACATACGAATACAGCTTCCTACGCTCCCTGACTGGGATCGAGATTTATCACCACTTGCAGTTTCACTCGAAGGCATGGTTGATCTTAGCCGAACAGTCGTGATTACAGGCTTTGCCGAACTTGGGCCTTGCGGAAACAGTAGGACCAGGTGGGAAATGGAAGCACACAGCGTCCTATCAGTGGAGGGTTGCATTGAAATGGCCTGGATGATGGGATTGATCAAACACGACAGATCAATAGTATATGGCGGTCAGTCCTGGAGTGGATGGATTGACACCAAGACAAAAGAACCGGTTGAGGAGAGCGATATCTTTCCGCGGTACATGGGTTTGATTCTCGAGCATACAGGTATAAGGAAGATCGAGCCCGCCATTTGCGACAACAAATATGACCCGGAAAGAAAAACCATTGTTCAAGAAGTAGAGCTAACCAAGGATCTACCGCCATTTGAATCTTCGTCCGAAGTGGCCCAATATTTCAAGCTTCAACATGGGGTCAAAGCTGTGATCAGCGAGACGAATTCAGGGTTGTTCACAGTCCAGCTGAAAGCTGGATCCAAGGTTCTCCTTCCGAAATCCAGTGCTTTTAATCGCACTGTCGCTGGTCAAATTCCAACTGGATGGTCAGCCAAGCGGTACGGCATTGAAGATGACATCATTGAGCAGGTCGACCCTGTTACTCTTTTCAGTTTGGTTTGCACAGTCGAAGCACTTTTGTCATCGGGAATTGTCGATCCGTATGAGCTATATGAGCATATTCATCTGTCCGAAGTTGGCAACTGCATAGGATCGAGCATGGGCGGCCTGTCTTCTTTGAGGAGGATGCACCGCGATCGATTCCTTGATAAACCTGTCCAAGGAGATATTCTCCAGGAAACTTTCATTAATACGACAGGGGCTTGGATCAACATGCTTCTTACGTCTTCGACTGGTCCTATCAAGACACCTGTTGGGGCTTGCGCTACATCCTTGGAGTCACTCGATACAGGCTATGATCTGATAGTGGCGGGCAAAGCCAAGGTCTGCATTGTCGGAGGTGTTGAGGACTTTGTCGAAGATGTTTCCTATGAGTTTGGTAGCATGAACGCTACTTGTGACACTGACAAAGAGTTCGCTGCTGGGAGAAGTCCGGCTGAAATGTCACGTCCCACGGCGGCCTCGAGGAGCGGATTTGTCGAGTCGCAAGGGTGCGGTATACAAATCTTGACAACCGCTGAGCTGGCCCTTGAAATGGGGCTTCCGATCTTTGGTGTAGTTGCCCATACGAGCATGGCCGCCGATAGGGTGGGCCGCTCAGTGCCAGCGCCGGGCAGAGGTGTTCTCACCAATGCTCGAGAATCAAATTTAGGACGGAAGTACATGACACCTTCGCCTTTACTTGACATGGGATATCGGCGCCGACTCTTAAACATGAGGCTTGAGCAGGTGAACGACAATTTTCAAACGAACTTGGACCTCATGGAGCACGAGATTCGCTACATCAAGGAGATGGGGACAGAAGGCTTCGACGAGGAGCAGTATCGACGTGACAACATCGCCACCTTTGATGATGACCTCAAAAAGCAAGAAGCTGACTTGAGGTTCGCCTTGGGAAACAATTTCTGGAAGAGCGAGAAGCAGATCGCACCTATCCGGGGCAGCTTGGCAACCTGGGGGTTAGGCATTGACGATCTGACGGTTGCATCCATGCATGGAACATCGACAGTTAAAAACGACCTGAACGAGGCATCAGTACTTCAAGAGCAAATCAAGTACCTTGGGAGACAAGAGGGAAATCTCTTGCCGTGCGTGTGTCAGAAATGGCTCACGGGTCATTCAAAGGGAGCTGCTGGTGCCTGGATGCTGAATGGAGCTCTGCAAATGATGGATTCAGGTCTCATACCCGGCAACCGCAATGCTGACAATATCGACACAGAGTTACGCCAATACAGCTTGCTCCACTTCCCTAACATGACAATCAAGTCAGAAGACATCAAGGCCTGTTCTGTTACCTCGTTCGGATTTGGGCAGAAAGGATCCCAGGCCATTCTCGTCCACCCCAAGTTTCTATTCGCAACAGTTTCTTCCACGACTTACCACGATTATGGTATCAAGAGAAACGAGAGATCAAATAAAGCCAACAGACACTTCAACTATGGGCTGCTACACGAACGTATTGTCAACACGAAGACCTCACCGCCATACCAGACTGATGGTGAATCTGAGGCTTTGCTCGACCCAGTCACTCGTTTCTTTACTAAGTAGTCCCAAAAATGGAGCAAGATTGATGCGATTGCTAGCGTGGCCTGCATATGGAAATCATCAGGGATATATATTAACGTCGCACACCCACTTCTCGCACACCCCCACATTTCGCACACCCATAAATCGCTCATGTAGAATTTTACCCTCTTCAACATTCTTTAATATCTTCACCACTTTTACAGCGATTATTATAATTCTTTGAATAGTTACTCTTATACGCTTAATGGGCCAGTATACGGAAACAGAAGTCAATCAAGCTCTCAATGCAGTTGCAAGTGGGCAGAGTGTCCGAAAGGCAGCTCATGATGCTGGAATTCCACCATCAACCCTCCAGTCTCGATTAAAGGGTTCACAGGCAAGAAATGTAGCTTTCTCTAGCTTCCAGAAGCTATCTCCAGCACAGGAAAGTCACTTAGCTGAATGGGTGCGTATCCAGGCGGCGTTAGGGCTGCCGCCAACACATCAACAACTCAAGGAATTTGCCCAGCGAATCCTAGACATCAGAGGCACTACCCAGCCACTTGGGAGAAACTGGATTCAGTTCTTTATTAAGAGAAATCCATCAATCAAGGTTCATAGAGCTAGAGCCATCGATTCTAAGCGTGTCAATGGGGCCTCAACTAATGTAATCAGGCAATGGTTTCAACAACTCGCCCTTCCAGAGATCAAGGCGATCAAACCACATCATCGCTATAACATGGATGAAACTGGTATCCTAGAAGGCAGAGGATCAAATGGCTTAGTACTGGGATCATCAGAAAGCTCATCAATGCGAAAAAAACAGCCTGGGTCTCGGGCTTGGACAACTATGCTTGAGTGTGTCTCTGCAACTGGTCAGGCGCTTCCTCCACTTGTTATTTATCGAGGGAAATCGGTTCAACAACAATGGTTTCCTCTTGATATCCATAAACGTGATATTTACAGTGGTTGGAAGTTCACAGCAACTGAGAATGGCTGGACTTCAGACTCTACAGCTGTGGAATGGCTTGAGAACATCTTTATCCCTCTGACTAAGCCTGATCATCCCTCTGAGCAGAGACTATTGATCCTAGACGGTCATGGCAGTCATGAAACAACAGAATTTATGTATCTCTGTTATAAACACAAGATATATCTCCTTTTCCTACCGCCACATACATCCCACGTTCTCCAACCTCTAGACCAAGCAGTCTTTGGGCCTCTCAAGGCGACCTATCGAAAAGAGCTTGGATACCTCATTCAACACAACGATTCTACAGTTGTAGGCAAACGGAACTTTCTTACCTGCTATGGAAAAGCACGCCAGATGGCATTTTCAAGCAAGAATATCAGAAGCGGCTGGAAAGCAACAGGACTATGGCCCATTTCGATAGCTCGACCGCTCATGAGCCCTCTACTGCTTGAGAATGCTTCCAAGCCCTCAAAGCCAGGCTATTCTACGCCTATGAGGGCCTCTGATGGTGGAAAAGACGAAAACTGGGCATCTGCTACATCCATAGTAGCCTGGTCAACGCCCAAGAAGACAGTTGATCTATATGATCAACTTAGCTTATTCAGCAAGTTGGATAAAGATCAGCAAACGCAGCGACTGTTGTTTCGGAAGGTTCAAAAGGGATTTGATGAAAAGGACTATCAATTGGCTACAGCAGAGAAGAAGATTGCAATGTTGGAAGCAGAAGTTGAGGCTGGAATGGTACGGAAGCGGCGTAAGGTCCAAATGAGCCCAAATTCGAAGTTTGCCAACATTGAGGCAATTCACAAAGCCCAAATTGAGGCTGGCGAAATTGAGGATAGCTCAGATGAATCTAGCGAGCCTGAATTACCTATTAAAACTGGCGATAGTATCACAGTTGCAGGAGACGAATCAGACTTATAGTTATGAAGTTGATGAATACCTCATGATGACCCAATTTATGGGTGTGCGAAATGTGGGGGTGTGCGAGAAGTGGGTGTGCGACGTTACACAAGAATCCACGTAGAATACAAGATAGCATACTGCACGTTCAAGTCAGAATTAAGTTGCATGTAACAACGTCTGTTAAGTCTTTGACTAATGTTTCTATCATGTCACAGCATAGGACGAATCATGAGAAGAAAGCTTTTTTATTGCAACTGTTCCGCCAAAATTTCAATACTGTTGCGTCAGATATCGTTGCTGATAAACTGGGCTTTTATTTGACGTTGAAATTTTGAATACCATTGTGTGCTGGACCCTCAGGAGTAACATATGCCTGTGACACTTTATCAGCGTCTCGAAGTTTATCAGTATGTTGATAAGTCAAGACATACCTTAGTCAAACCTCCATCCACAACTAGTTCTTGTGCATTAACAAACGAGCTAGCGTCACTAGCAAGAAATAAAGCTGCTGAGGCCTGTTCAATCGGTTCGCCGAATCTCCCTTGAGGTAGATGAATTTCTCTTCTCGCTCTCCGTTCAAGGTCCGTACCCAAGTAGTCCTGCATTAGGGGAGTGTTCAAGGGCCCTGGACATAACGTATTGAATCTTATACCTTCTCTGGCGTGAACGATGGCAAGCTCTCGCGTCATGGCAATGATTGCACCCTTACTGGTGGTGTATGCCAACTGCGCTGTTGCTGACCCCATAAGGCCGACTACTGATGAAGTGTTTATCACGCTTCCATTTGTCTTGCCATGTTTCCTCATGCTCAAAACCGCATACTTGCAACCGTGCCAAGTTCCCTTCACGTTTACTTGGTAAGTAAGATCCCATGCCCTCTGGGTGACTTCGACTGCATCGCCGTCTTCATTAGGGAATACACCGGCATTGTTCAGCATAACATCGACACCGCCGTGTTGATCCAGATGCTGCACTAGTGACGCAACATCATTTTCATCGGATACATCACACGTCTTGTATTCAACGCGCCCTGGGTATGGCCCATGTAGCTCCAAGTTCTGCTGGAGGTCTTCAAGCGCTTTGTTTGATACATCAGAAAGAAGCAGATTTGCACCAGCTTTCGCAAACACGATCGCTGTCTGTGTGCCAATACTCCTACAGTCTATTAGAACTATGTTGGCACGATGCCTGACTTGGGTAGCGAGCATACCCTGCAGCTCCGGTGATTACGACATTCTTCCCCGTTAACTGGAAGAGTTCTGACATGGTTTAAGGTTCCGAATGGTTGGATAAGAACTGAGTATACAAGACCCACAAACAATAAGATACGTCAGGAAGCTGCCCTCAGGGATGAATGCGCTTGAAAACCGTGGTTGACTGTTTGATTTCCGTTCCAGTAGTGTTAAGCAGCGCAGTAACGTGCGATTGTAGGAATATGCACTAAACGAGTCAATTCAGTATCGGGACGTCTTCTATCGAAACATTGAATTTCTTGCAATAGTACAGTTACTGTTAGATTGACGCCTGCGTCCGGATAAAATGCTAGGAAATCTAGCTTAGTTGCATTCTTGCAATATGCTGAAACCGGGAAGAACGGGTAGATACAAAACAGAACCCCGCTTCAACCGGAATGGGTAGAATCACTCAATCAACAACATGAATCACTCTTTGCTCAATGAACCCCAGGTGTATTGCATCAAACTAATATCGTTTATCTAACAGTTACTGCTCATACTCGTTAGGGGCACTGACTCAATCCCACGCTACCAGTCCATGCACAGTTCTTCGTAAGAAAGGATGACGTGATATGAGTCAGGCTGAGTCAGTAAAAGTTAACGCGAGCTCCATGGTTTCCACGTGGGTCATTGTTCACTTTAACTTTACTACATCACATCAGGTATAAGGATGATACATCTAAAGTCCCGGCGGTCACAGGGGTTGGAAAGATCCCCTCATGAATTGTATCGGTCAGCATGTCCTGCAATTAGTAGGTAATATGAGTTGATCTATCCAGTATGGAAGCATAGCATTCATTGAGAAAGCTTCCCAGCCATGTGACCTATAGACATGTGTTCAAGAATATGATGAAAATGAATGGTCTATCAGCTTTCATGATGCTGATCAGTAATGTCTTAAAACGAGAGATGTCAATCCAGAGGAGAACCGAAGATCCAAGCTTGTAACACCATCATATGATCTACCTGTATACCACGATATCGATAATCTGAAGAAAGAGAGAGCACAAGAAGTCGAAGACAGGCAAAGAATGACGAGAAACGTAAAGGAGAGACATCTAGATTGTAATAAGAAATATGGTAATGTCTTTGAGTATTGAGAAAATTTGTCATTATCTACCAAGGAAGGACCTGGCCAGTATGCATCACAAGCTTTCCTGACGTAGTCTCTCGGGTCGCTCCATCAATGACCTTAACAATTCCATTGACACTGGTCTCAATTGTATCAGGGGGTCCAGGTTCGTAGTTCCACGCCTTTGCTGCATAATCGCCCATGTAGGTCTGGACCCACCCGGGATGAAGGGCGACGGAGACGAGGTCCTTGTGCTGCCCGTGGAGAGATTTTGTAATGTGGTTCAGCGCGGCCTTGCTTGGGCCATAGGCGCCACCGGGTACCGGCTCTTGTGTCTCAATTGAACCGACTGAAGACGTGATGCCGATGAACTTGGCCGGGACATCGGTCGCGGAGCGGGGTTTGTCCATCAGGGGCCAGAGACCCTGGAAGACCATCAAGGGGCTAATTGTATTGATCTCGAAAGCTTTTCGGAAGTCTTCGACCGGGGTTGTCGCAATCGGAAGCATGGGAAAGGGGGCTGCGGCATTGCTGACGAGAATATCGATACGGTCGATGGTACCCGCGGTCGCTACTGTAAAAGCTTCGCGTACGGCAGCGGGCGAGGGAGCTGTCGAGAGGTCGAGGAGCATAACATGAAGCTCGCTCTTATCTCCCTTTTTGACATCGGCGATACTTGACTTGAGAGACGCCGCAGCAGCGTCGTTACGAACGGAACCAACAATGGTGGTGGAAGGACGGGCGAGCAAGGTCTTGACAAGACCAAGGCCGATGCCCTTGTTGGTGCCGGTGATCACGTATACCGTGTTAGCCATTGCGAGCACGATGCTGATAATTGGTCTCGGAGGCTTAAAAAGATCGGGAAAGCTACGTTTCAATACCGAAAAGATACAAGGAATAGAGCAATAGGAGAATTGAGTTAATCCTGGTGCGGGCAAAAGGTAGAGAATGAACAACCTGGTAGCAGGTTTCCCGTCTCTATTCCGTGTAAGAGGATTGGGAGAAGCAGGGCGGGGAAGAAGCAAACACGTGAGTGAATTAGGGCCGTTGCTGTGCCGCAGGAATCCTTCTGTCTCAAAGCCACTCATCACGTCAGCCCAATCAGATTCGTCCAAAACAACCATTTATTTGCCCGACGATCTTTGAAACGTAGCACATGCTTCTATGTACATCTATTGGTGGTTATCTGAAGTGGTCTGGTCTGGTCTGGTCTATTCCATGAATCTCCGAGGCGTTATGTCAATGCATTGAACTTCTCATGAGCCGTATCTAAACCGTTCGCAAAGCCGTCGGCTATCTCCAAAGCCTGAACCCGCTCTTCTTCCACCCGGGCCCAAGTCCACTCATCGGCCCCAGCCGCCCCGTTCCCGCTCTCCGCATTCGGATGAGCCCCATCTTCCGCCTCCACTCCCGAGGTTTCCGAAGGGAGCACTCCCGCTGCTCTAAAGAATTTCTCTGGTGGCACTGTCAAGCGCCCAGCTTTGACTACACACTTGGAGATGGCCGTCGCATATACCACGGGTGCTCTTGAAGGTGCCTTGCCATCCGCAGGCGTCTTCCATGGCTGATATGTCAACAAGGCACCGCCCTTTCGTCTCTCAACGAAATGCGTCACAACGTAGATCCACTTGCGATCCCATGTGAGAATCCTACTGTACATGTCAAAAGCTACACCGGGCTTGATCTCTTTCTTGAAAGTACACGATGTTCCGGCAAGGAGGACCATGACGCCATTCTTGTACTCCTTGTAGAGGCCGCCACGGATCGCCTCAGACCGAATAGCGGCAAGGAGGTCTGTCCTTGCGACATCAAGGTCAGAGAAGTAAGTGCTGTTTGATTTGTGCAAGTTGTAATCAGTCTCCAAAAAGGCCACACGTGATGGGGTGACGACAGGTCGGAAAATGGAGCCAGGCTTTTTGTCAAAATAGCGCTTCTTTGGCCACCAGATATTGTAGAATACGCGAGCCTGCAGATAATTATAAGTCATGTGAATTGGAAATCGATTGATCGGGGTATTAACTTACGTGCCACACAAAGGGGAATCTCTTGAAGTTGAGATAGAGGAGCGCGGCTGCGACTCCTCCCCAGCAAGTTTGTGCTTTGTTTTCCGTCACCCATCTTAGCACCTGTTCGAAAGCCTGGAGAACGGCAGGCTTAGCCGCCTCCAACACCTCTACTGCTCTTGCGCGTAATGTCGAACTCATTTCTTACGGTGTCGTTTAGCTGAACAGCGAAGAAACTTAACTGAAGGCCTGCCTGGCAATGGTCTGCTAAATTCTATCAGCTTAGGCTATGACCGACCGCTGAAAGTCTTGCTCCACGTGGCCTCATGAGTCAGCTGTTCAGGGGAAAATACCTGAGTCAGTTACTGTGCACAGGCGAACTCAATCCTCTGTTGCCAAGATGATGAATCTGAGAAGACCTACCCATCAGGCAGGCCTGGAAAATTGCCGACCAACAACGTGAAATTGAGTTTAGTGGGCGGAGACTACCGTCTTCTTGAGATTGGATTGCACTCATTCTCGCAGAAGTGACTACATGCCCAACGTTGAGACCGACTTTTTATTAACCATGTACTATCTATGCTTCAAAATATGTCCTGTTATATCCTCATAATGCCTGCTGCGTTGTAGCTTCTGGAGTTTTCGCGTTGTCGTTGGACGATATCTCGGCTGGGTTCGGTAAAGGTTTCGGGGGTTTGAGCGGAATCCACGAAATGCACACCCACCCAAATGTACTGAGACATGATAGAATGATAACAAGTAAGAACACATTTTGTATACCGCTGTTGTACTCTTGAAGTGCAACTGCGAACTGGTCTTTGGTTAGCAACTCTCTGATAAAGCTAAACCGATTCAACAGTGTGGCACGGTCAACACCAGGAATAAGCTCCGTCAGCCTCTCAATCCTGGTAAGAAAGAGATTTTGAGCAACGCTGATGAAAATTGAGCCACCAACAGTATTGACGAGAATAATTGCAGCAGTGCCGTAGGGAACATCTGCGGGAGCCAGAGCGACCTGGACGCCAACGATCGACTGCTGTACACCAGCACCAGTGCCGAGGCCAAACAAGACCTGGTAGCCAATCCATTTGGCATTCTCGGTCTCGGGTTTAAAAGTATAAAGCATCCCAGCACCTGTTGAAGCCAAAACTGTGCCCATGATCATAAAAGGGGGGATATACCCAAGAAGGGAGGCTCCTATCCCGGCAAATACTCCAGAGATTATCAGGGCTAAAACCATGGGCAGTAGTCTGACGCCTGACTCTCGAGCAGAGACGCCTTGAATAGCCTGGAACCAGATTGGTAGCTGGAGCGATCGAGTTAATATGCATGCCATTGACGTTTGCCAGGACCTGACTTACATAGTAGAGGATGACCATTTGGGCACTGGATAGTGAAAAGCCATACCAGAGACAGGAGGCAAACGACCTGTTCCTCAGCAGTCGGGTTGGAAATGTCGCCTTTTCTTTTAGCCAGTGCTGATGAATGCCAACCGAGATAAAAGACACTCCAAAGACCACAAGAAGTATGATGAGTCGTTTGTCGCCCCAATTGGATTCTGTTGAGCTCCATTCCAGGGCAAGAAGTAGACAAGTAATACTTCCAATCAGACCCGCGCCGCCGACAAAGTCAATCTGCTTGACTCTATCTTTCAAGGATTCTTTTTCACCCAATGTGTTTGGTGGTCTGAAGAACAAAACTAGAACGATGAAAAGCATGCCGCCTATTGGTAGGTTAATCCAGAAGCACCATCTCCAGCCGATGTGGCTTGCAATTGCTCCCCCGATGATAGGGCCCAACACAACAGCGACACCCTCTAGAGAACCGAGAATCCCGGTAAACATTGGTCTTTGTTGCAGGGGCACAACCACTGCCGTGATACTTTATGAGTGCTGGTCAGCATATATGCTGAATAGGATATGGAGGCATCAACAGAGTTTCTTACATCAAGGCCCCTGAAATACATCCAGCACTGCCGAGGCCCGCAATGGCTCTCCCAGCGATGAAGCTGCCAGAATTCCGTGCAAGGGCGCATATCAATGAACCTCCTTCTAGTAACAGAAGAGATGTCAAGAAGACTATTTTGCTCGGAAATGTAGCGTACAACTTCCCAAACGTGGGTTGAGTAGCGCCCATTACCAGTAGACTGCACAATCGATTAGCCAGTGCTGAAGCTGTTGGGCAAGTAACTTTGTCATACTATACAGAGCCATACCAGCCCACGTCTTTCACCGACTGGAATTCATCCGATAGGGTGGGAACAATGGTGGAAACCATTGTTGCATCCTAAGAAGTACGATTAGCTTTAGTTACATACATGAGAGAAAGTATAACCTACTAAAGCCGCGATCAACAGCGACAAGCCCAAGGCTGCGACTATCAAGGCTCGGGTGATCGTGGGAGGAAAGTTTTGATCTTCATCATTACTTTCTAGTGTAACATTTGCTTGTGACGCATCTTGGGGTTCAGAGGGCGGGTTTGTGTCGTCGACTGCATCAGTAGTCGGGACTGAGGCCATAATGAGGTTGTCTGATTTGGTGGGTTCAAGCCATCAGTCGCTTGGTTTGTTTTAGTGCTGTCCTATTTCCAGATGATGGAACTTCGGAGTCGACCAGCGCTGTCTGGAATTGGAACTTGGTTGTTTCTGTGGGTGGCAGGCCTCGCCGGCCCGTCACGTGGGCTGACGGCCGCCACCACTGGTCTTAGCCAGCCTCCACAGCCCTCTAGCCAGTTAGTTAGTTCTTCCACCAACAACACCACTTTTCCCATTCTGAGCGTTCTGTGCTGGTTTCGCCTACAGGTTATAAGCCTAGCGTTATTCTTTCGGAATAACGTCGTTTTACCTATTATTCTACTCGTCTGTCAATTTTCTATTGATTCACGAATTTTTGCGATTTTATTCGCTTTATTTACTTTTTTATACGATTTTCTCGCCTTATTTTCCTTTCGCTAACGAATTTTACTTTCTAACGCGATATTAGCTGCCTAGCGCGTACGAATATTACATAGCACGCGACCGACTACTATAACCTACTAGTTTTTATAAATACTACGGAATTCTATTATAATAATAGACTTTTTAGTTATAACTATATTATAACTATACTTTTACTTCGATTTCCTCGTTTTTACGAGAATTTAACTATTTTAGCTTCGGTTTTTTAAACTAGCTTATTAGTTTCTTATATCTTCTATAAGTATTTATTCTTCCTTTCGATTTACTATATTTCTATAGTTAGATCTTATAATTCTACTTATTTCTTATATTCTTATATAAGATTCTCCTTCTTATATAATATTTATACTTCTTTAATACTATTTACTTATTAATACTTTCCTTTTCTAATAGCACGCGTAGGTAGTAGCGAAAGTAAGCTATCTAACGTATAGACACGCTTCTAAAGCTACGGCCTCGGAGAAACGCTTGTAATCGAGGTGTGACTATAAGTCTGTCCCGTACTATTGTAATACCCTTACTTTTAAGATGTTTTAAAACGACTTTAAGACCGTCTTTACGCTTCTTCCTTGCTTAAAAGGTAAATCTAACTAGAATATATAGCGTATGCTTATTATAGCGACCTTATAAGGATACGACTTCGAGATATTCCTTAAGACTAACGTCCCTCGCCTTGCTAACCTTATCGCTATAGAGGAATAGAGAAAGAAACGTAACGTTACGTATAGTCTCCTTATAAACGCTAGCGAATCGGTTCTTAATAGACTTTATATAGCAGGTTAGGTTAACGATAGAAACCCTTACGAATTATAGCAGGCGCTCGAGAAGTATATTCCGAGAATCTTATAAGACGCTATAGCTACCTTTGTTAACAAGTTTGCTAAGACTACTACTAACGATTATAAGACTCTTTACGATACCCTTAATCGCTATTACTACCTTAAAAAGCGTATTAAGACTATTTACGGTCGTCTGCTAGACTCCTTCCTCGCTATTTTCCTCCTTAACTTCTTTAAGGACCGACTTCCCGATATATATAAGCATTTTATATCGAAAGGCGCTACCTATCCTACGTAGAATAAGGTAGCTAATACGATTTATATACTTACTTAAGACGAGGATTAAAAGCATAGTTATGCTACTATTCGTAATATACCTAGAGGCAAGTCTGCTAGCAGTAGGGGTCTTGCCTCTCTAGCCGTTACTACTACCGTTACCTCTACTATTACTACCTCTAAGGAAAAGAAGAAGTACGACTATTATAACTATAATTACAAGACTACGAAGTACTATATCGCCTACCTTAATCTTATCCCTCTATACTATATTAACTAGGATAAGTTAATTAAAAAAGTAAGAAAGTATATATATAGCGATCGCTACTACTAGGATTAGCCTACTTCTATTAATAATACCTACTAGACTATTATTAAAGCGTTACCTACTATCTTAAGTTAGTCTACCCTTGCCTCTATCGCTAGCCTAGCAGTTTTTACTACTACCTACGATAACCTTATTACCTAAGACGATATCGTTCTCGATTTTAGTTATATTATTTATGTTGGAACGGTAGGTAGGAATCTCGTAGATAGTACGATATCCTTATAACAGGGTATTAGAGTAAGGGAACTTGTACTTATGAAGTAGGGCTTTAATAGTAAAGAATGTATAGGCTTATATTGAAGCTGAGTTGGTTGAGGAACTAATAGCTAGCTAAGGGAGAGAATTAGGCTAGTTATATAGTAGTATAACGTCGCCTATAATAGCTAATATAGGAAGCTATAAGCTAGGTTTAGTATACGTAAGTATATACGTCAACTAGCTTATAAAGCAGCTTATAAATCAGACTAGAATCTTCTTTAACTAAATAGACTTTTAGATAAGGTTAAAGAGAGTATTCCATAGGGATCTGAATGTCATATGTTTAAACTAGCAAGCAGCCATTCTTAGCTAGTTACTTTTGTAAGTCCTACTAAGTCTTAGATAAGACTAAATAGGATAAATAAGTAAAATAGAAGTATAATATACTTATACTTCTAACAGGATCTGAATATCATATGTTTAAACTAGCAAGCAGCCATTCTTAGCTAGTTACTTTTGTAAGTCCTACTAAGTCTTAGATAAGACTAAATAGGATAAATAAGTAAAATAGAAGTATAATATACTTATACTTCTAACATTTTAACTTTTAATAACTTACGATATTTTATTAAGTATATTAAAAAAAGCGATTTAATACCTTCTACTTCTGCTTCCGGCGCCTTAGTCTAGTTACTTAGCATAGGTACCGTCTTCTTCTAGACCTAAGACCTTACTAACCCTAACGTTATTTACGATTAGATACTTTATAACGTTAAGTATAACCCTTCTAGCCTAGCTAACTTACTAAGCCCTAGAAAACTTCGTCGTAATTACGTAGAATATAATTAGCAAACCTTAAGCCTTATATACGTAACATAGCATACTTCCCTTACTAAAGTTTATTAGGTTTCTAACGTCTACGTCGTTAAGACTTATAATACTAGAAATTATATACCTCGAGATATTATTATCAGCCTTGCCGCCTTCTAAGCTACCTAGCAACCGTCTCTTAAACTAATATACCGCCGGCTAGTTTACGCCTACCTATTACGTATTATAAAGGCTTGCTACCGTATTAGCATTCGGTTTATAACGTTAGAAATTAACGCTTTCTTCTATAAGTCTTACTATCTTAGCAAATCTACTAAACGGATTAGTCGAGACTAACTACTTCTACTTATAAGTATTAGCAATGAAATTTACCTTAATCTCGTTAGTATTCTTCCCTTATTAATAAAAGGGAACCGTTAGGTTTTATACCTTATAGATAAGTATAGTAGTTACTACTAGGTTGTTTTTCTACCTAACTATAAGTTTGCTACTATCTTAATAGCTATTAAGAAATAAGATACTAAATTCTATAGTCTTACTAGCCTTAAGCCTAAGGTTTAGGTTTCTAACAATACTCCCGAGCTAATCAAGGTTTTCAACGACCCCTACTTCGAAGGTACTTGCTATAATACGACTATTGCCTATACGCCTTCTATAAACGGTACTATTAAGCATACTAGTCGTACTATCGTCGAAAGCGCCTAGATATAGCTGATTAACATATCCCTTCTAGAGGAACTATAGGATTATAGTATCGATTCGGTAACTTAGATTCTTAACCTCTTGCCTATACCTTCTAAGGGTAACTTAAGCCTTTACGAGATTATAGCGAGAGAGCTAAACTTAGCTGCTAAACGTAAGGCCCCCTATATTAAACATCTCCGAACGTTTAGCTATGCTGCCTACGTATATAAGAAGGGCCCTCGACGCCCTATACGCTTTGCTAAGATAGAACTATAAGCAATTAAGGGATTCCTCGTCGGTTACGGTTCTCTTCGTAGCTATATTTACTACGTTTACCTACCTAATCGAAAGGAGGTTATTTACTATAGAGATGTTCGATTTCGTAAGGAACCGTATAAGATAGTATTGCCTCTAACTACTAGCATACCTAATATTAATAAAATTAAACATAATACTATGTTTATTAAACTAGATATTATTATCTAGTATACTATCTATTAGAAGCCTATTAAAAGTAAAAAACCCGTAACTAGTAATCCTAAACTAGATAAGACTATCGTTAAAAAAGCGATAATACCTACTAATATATATCTTATATCTCCGCTACTAGAGAACCTATTAGAGACTACTACTATACCTCGTAATAGTATTACTAACGAATTAAATAATAACGAATTCGTCGCTTCCGTAGAAATAATAGAAACTAATTACTAAGACCTTGATTCCTTCTCTACGATTGTTAAGGAAGTAATAAGTCAACCGGCAGAGTCTTCTCGACCTTGCCGCGCCTTAGCCTAGCGACTACCTAGTTACTACTAAGCTGCTAGTAGCGTACGCTCTTATACTAAAAAGACCTTCCTATCTACTAATATTCTAGCTTTACTAACTTCTTATTAATTCTCTCTTAGTATGCTTTCTACTACTACCTTTTCGAAAGTCTTACCTAACGGCGTAGCGATTCCGAAGTCCTACCGCAAGGCGTAGAAAAGCCTATAGTAGCCTTAGTAGGAATAAGCCTTCGAACGAGAGATAACTTAATTTACGGAAAAGGGGGTTTACGAAGTCGTTTACTTACTACGTAACGCTAAAGTCTTGCCTAGCAAATAAGTATATAATATTAAAATAAATAAAAATAACGAAATCGTACGCTATAAGGCTTGATATATAGTTTATAAAAACTATAAGAAAGGTAACTAGTTATTATAAGAGGTTTATGCTATAGTTACCTCTACTACCGTAACCTGCCTTTTCTTCGTAGTTATCATACTTCTCGATCTTAAATACGAAGTATATAATTTCGATACTACCTTCCTAGCCGCCTCGATTCTAGAAGGGGTTAAGGTATACGTCCGGCCTCCTACTAGCTATACTATTAAAGATAATAAGGTATAGTTACTATATAAAGCACTTTATAGCTTAAGAAAATCACTACTTTAGTAGTTTCGTCTTATCAAAAGCGAAATAGA